GCCTCGTGGAAATGCAGCATATGCAGGCGAAGGGCACAGTCGAGGGCGCAAGCAATCGTCGGACAGGACTCGACCGACTCCCTCCTGGAAACGCCCGTCCTGGAAGCACTGCAGCGTCGACATTCCGACGCCAAACTCGGGTCAAACCTCGCGGCCGGAGGACAGGCGAGCGGCCTGGCACCGCCGAGAAGCCCGGAGCTGCGTCGACACAGCGACGTTTCTCCCGCATCTTTAAAAGAGCTGGAAAAGGCAAGGACGTCCTATTCGAATGAGAGGATTTTAACATTAAAAAGTGGGTTTTTCAGGCCGTACTCAAAGTAGCTAGTGATAGAGAGTGGAGGCAGAAAGGAAGATCCGCTTCTGGTTCGCCAACCGGAAGCAGAGCAACATCGCCTTCCGTAGAACGTCGGCCATTCCCTACCTCACCAGCAAAACCAGGTAGTCTTATCATTTTGTCTATCTTTAAGCTAAAACAAGTAAAAAGTCACATCGTAAATAACCTCTTTTTATTCGAGCAAATACGAACGTGATAAACTTTTTTAATCTTTTGTAAAGGTTTTTTTTTTTAATGTATTTGTTACCGATACACGATCGTATACTATACAAATATGTACATATGATTAATGTATCACACAGCTCTACACTAGCACTAATGCCATGCACTGCACCGGTAGAACACATGCTTTGAGGAAACAGCCATTGCGGGAAATCGATGTGTATGATTAGGTGTCAAAGGTCCCGAGGACACCGTCGGTTGAGGTGATCTTTATGATGGTTCGAAAGGTTGGTGTGGAAGGTTTGTAATCAGGATCAGTTCGTTGTCAAAAGGAATATTGTCGTCTTTGTGGATAGTGAAGTTCGTGACATAATAAGGTGTTTTGGCTAATTGTCTACGGACTTTCGATTGGAAGGCATGGGTGCGCTGGCTATTGGATGGCTTGGCAGTACCCCACAGTCCGACTCCATATGGCCATATTGGGTTTAGTAAAGTCTTGTACATTGTTAGCTTTGTCTTAGTTGTCAAAGTCGAGTTCAGTCTTAGAAGTCTTCGTAGTAGTCCAAGTCTTGTATTAAGTTGTTTTTTAAGTGGGGATTCCACGGCAGTCTGCTGTCGAGATATAGTGCCAGTATTTGCCTTGAGTAGAAACAGGTATCTCTTTATTGTTGTTGTACAATGGAGACTGCTTTCTCTGCGTAAAAATACACTGAGTGCATTTTTCTTCGTTCAGTCTTGTCCTCCATTTTTTACACCAGTCTTCGATAAGCTCAAGGTGTTCCTGGATATTGGAAGTAGCTTGGACGGGATTGGAATTAGAGGATAGGATTGCGGTGCCGTCCGCGTAGGTGGTGATGATAGTGTCAGGATGTATTGGTAGATCAACAGTATAAATGATTACAATTAATTAAGGTTTTTAGTTGAGATAAAAAAGTCAATGGCACGAGCGGGATTCGAACCCACGATCTTCGGCTTGATACGCCGCTGCTCTACNCCCGCTCGTGCCATTGACTTTTTTATCTCAACTAAAAACCTTAATTAATTGTAATATATTAATTGGTCAAGCGGACCACGAAATTAGTGAATTTATTCGGTATAAATGATATAGAAGATAGGACCACGGATACAACCTTGCGGCACGCCGGCCTGTTTGACTTCCGAGAACTCATTGCCACCCCCCACTCTAAAACAGCGATCAGTTAGATAGGATTTCAATAAAAGATAAAAATGAGAGGGTAGGAAGCGCTTAAGTTTAAAAAATATGCCAGGATGTTAGACCCTGTCGAAAGCCTGTTCTACGTCTAAGAACGCTTTTGTAAAGTAAAATGTCAAATTGACGTCAAATCTCCTGGTAGATTCAGAAGTGCCCCACGGCAAAAACAGACAATTTTTCTGGCTTCCAGCAGGTATCATAGACTCAGATAAGGTTCCCTCCAGATAAGGACAAGTTTTCATACAAAAATTCCAACCTCATTCAGTAGCTAGCAGTCTGTTCTTCCTAGATAGAGTTATTTTTATGTGGGATTGAATGTTATTTAAAGTTTTGGGCCCAGAAAAACCCTTGCTGTTTTTGCCCCGTGCCTAAAGTACACACGTTCAGAAACCTAGGAACGTCTACGGAAGAAAAAGAAAAAATGGGATTTAATGGAGAAGGGTGCATGGGAATGGTTCCTGGAATTGGTCTAGATAGGGAAAGAAGCCATTGGTTGTATTTGAGTTACAGTAGGATTTATACTTTTCCCTCGTATTTTTTTTAAAGTTTTTATACCGTTTGCTTATCTGTCCTTTAGAGGTGCCAAACCAAACGCAAGTGCAGGTGGAGCTGGAACCGGACGATGCCTGGAGGCGGTCGCAATCCGCCAGAGGAGGCAGAAGGAAATCAAGGGTTCAGAAACAACACAGTTACGACGATGAGATGAAGGCAGCCCAGGGAGCGATTCCAGCCGCTGAACCAGCATTAGGTCAGTACTGGAGTTATTTCGAGGAAGATAAAAATATTTAATCAATAATCTGACAGTCCCGGTCATCAACGTTTTCTCTTTTTACCAGGTTTGCCAGCTGCATTGCCCAGGAGGGCTTCGGCCTATGACGTATACGCACCGAGGGGTGATGTCATAGTTCCGGGAGCTGCTGGAGGAATGGTTCCAGGACCGCGAACAGATGAAAGACGCCGTTCCTCCTTCCGGGGTCCTCCAAGCGAACCCGATGACAATCCTGGTAACTAACATTAGTCATATACTTACAAACCTTTTTTTAACAAAATTAATATTTGAAAAATGCTATACTAACTAAAACCCAAAATAAATGGTCAACATAATCTCCCGATCGGTGGTAGATTTTTCTGAAGTCCTTGATAAGAAATGTCTAATATACAATTTCTCCTTCTGTTCTAACACTAATCCACTTCGGGTCCAAATCACTTAAAGACCTATATTTTGGCAATTTGCTGTAAGTCACAGAAACAAGTAAGCAGTCAGAACTATTTTTCAATCGATTCAATTTCGTAATTTCGCATTTTGGCTGAATCGGAATGTATCAAAGCGGGTTAATTTTTTTTCTTTTTGCCTACAAACAAAGTTGATATTTTGTTTTCTGTACCCCAAATACCGTGAATATAATGTTGTATGAAAAATCCTCAAATTCTCTTCACCATTTTTTTTTTAATTAAAAATTAATCAAAAAAATTTTCAAATGACTAATAATCTACAAGAAACTTAAGGCGTGTTTAGCACTTTATAAAGTACAAAAATGGCCCAGATTTTGTACTTGTAAGTAAATTATAACTGGAGGTAAAAATAAAATATTGGAGTAGATTTATTTCATTTTGTTTTTACTTTTTTATTTATATTGACGTAAAATGAAAACTTTGCCGAAGTATTACAATTAATTAAGGTTTTTTGGTTGAGATAAAAAAATTCAGTGGCACGAGCGGGATTCGAACCCACGACCTTCGGCTTGATACGCCGCTGCTCTACCACTTGAGCTAACGTGACCTCGATCCATTCGGACACTAACTTCCCATCTCAACCCCCACCTTTTGAGTTTTCCCTCCTTTTTGCCATTTTTCAAATGTCGTGTAATCGGATTGGATTCTCGACGACAAATGAAATGGCCACGGAGAGCTTTAGTGAAGTGTACTTCATTTTAAATCATTAAATTCACTCATTTCGTGGTCCGCTTGACCAATTAATATATTACAATTAATTCATTAACAGAAATGGCAAAAATGAGGGAAAATTCAAAAGGTGCGGTTGAGATGGGAAGTTGGTGTCCGAGTGGATCGAGGTCACGATAGCTCAAGTGGTAGAGCAGCGGCGTATCTAGCCGAAGATCGTGGGTTCGAATCCTAGATACGCCGCTGCTCTACCACTTGAGCTCCCGCTCGTGCCATTGACTTTTTTATCTCAACCAAAAAACCTTAATTAATTGTAATATATTAATTAGTCAAGCGGACCACGAAATTAGTGAATTTGCTGAAGTAGTTCAAAAAAACAAAAGGTTCAGTTTTGAAATATGAAATTATAACCATCGAACCCCGACTAATCAAGGCCAAATATTTATATATTTTGTTTGATATAAAGTTTCGTATTGAAAGCATAGGTAAGTAACCCGTGTCGAATTAGTTTTAAAAAAGGAAACATCCAGCTTGGGTTGTAATACAGTATTAGATTAAAAAACGATAGCTCAAGTAGTATGTCATTTATTTTTTTATTTTTTGAGTTCTCAATTGTGGGCTCTAGCATTTCATTTGTTTCAAAATGAGCAATTGGTTATATACATGATAAATTGCCCAGCGTTTTGTCGATCCGCACTCACGATAGTCCGGACCTTGTCCCTTCAGCCTATCCTCTGGTAGAATCTATTGGCCAATCCTTCCAAGAGAAGAAAAAACAGTTGGATAAATTGGATAATATAATGCTTATAATATTCTATTGCAATAAAACCCTGAAGACGCCATCGATCTACACTTCTTTAGCCAGATCATGAAAAGACCGTCTATGTGTTGGGGTAACAATGGAGTGCTTAGTAGACAACCTTGTCGAACCTTATGGAATATGAATACATTTTAATAATACAAGAAAAACGTTTTTTACGATCCAAATGTAAGTAGTTCCTTCAAAGAAACAATAATAAATTTCCTTTCCACAATTAAAAATATATTTGGATATATAAAATTAGCTCAATTTGTTAATGTCGAAAGAAATGATAGATAACTCGTTTTAATATAATTTCAGAAGTTAATTAAATAACAATTGGCTTGATAATATTCAAGTAGTTCTGAGCGCTGTCTGGGCTATACACGACAGGTTCTCTGTGGACCTTCTCGTCGTGCTCTTGTTAGAAAAATACGCGGAGCTGGAGCCTCTCGGAAAAACGGTGGTTGTTGTCTGGACTCCCGGACACATCGGCCTAGCGACACGAGGCGGCGAAAGTCGGTACGTCCCACCCTCCGGATCGGACCATTGCGATCAGGCCCCCTGACGCTAATCTCACAGTTAAAAATATGATGAAAGATGGCAGCGTCAGTGGGCGGGGTCGTCGAAGAGGCTCTTGCGAATCAAGAGCATGACCGGTAGATGGCCCTCAGAGAACCTGAGCAGGAGACGAGGGACCGTCCTCACCCGACAGAGGATTGGCCATACGCGGTTGACACATGGGCACCTGCTTTTGGGCCAAAGCCCGCGCAGTTGCCCCTTATGCAGAGAAAGGTTGCTCGATGTGTTCCACATAATAGAGGCATGTCATGCCTTGGCTCCATACAGAGAGCGTGCAGGCATGCCGCCGGACTTAAGAAGAGTTCTCGAGCACGGTAGCGAGTTTCAAAGTCCCCTGTTCCGCTTTTTAGGGGAAATTGGTTTTTTTATTGTATATAATATGTCTTATGTGTTGTGTCTATATGTTTTGTCTGAGTGCATGTATTTATTAGCGTGAATGGCGAGGGGTGAGGGTGAAATATAACGTCATCATCGCCCCTGGAACGTTGAAAGCGTATGAGTGTGTGTTCGGGGTCGATGGCAGAATATTTATAAAAGTACTCCATCGACCCCCAATGTAGATTAGTTTGAGTATAGGTCGGTGGAGGAATATCAAGTACTCCACCGACCAAACGGAACGAGTGGTCTGTACTGTATGGATGTATTTATGTGTATGAATGTATTTATTTGGATGAATGTAGTGTTTGAAAGGGTAAATAGAATATAGACATAGTTGGGGGCTGAAATGACCTAGATGTCGGAAGCCCCAGTCAAAAAAAAAAAATTCAAGTAGTTTAAGTCAATTTTAGGGTAATGATTTTTTATCTTTTATATTTTATGTTGTGTTAAGAAAAGATAATCTTTGTACACATTTCATATTCTGATGAGTTTATTCCGAAAAATTTGCCTTTTTTTATTTCAACTGTTTCCTTTATTAACGTTCAAGTTGAATGACTTTTTTAAATAGAAAAATTATAAATTAAGATTTTTTTGTTTAGTTGTTTCAGTTACAGTCCCTGGGTCGTCGCCAACGCCGGACGTACCTTCGTCCCTTTGCATCGACGAAGAAAGAAGATCGAGAAGACGGGGTTCCCAGCTGTAAGTCGTCCCATGTGAAATTTATTATTTCTATAATAAACCTGCAACAGGTCGCGACGAGTTTATTCTTCCACCCTCACACCAAGTTTTTTTTATTACTTTTCCCTTCCGCGCTCACCCCTATAAATATAAAACGCTGGGAATAAACACGGTTTATTGGGATATCGGGCGACATAAAGGCTGATTTGACAGGGCATATTTCAACCAGGGCGGCCTCGACCGACGGAACCATTGTCATGCTAAAAATCCTGGGAAGATTGACGACTTAGACGCATGAATTTACCTTTCAAGGAAGAAAATAAATTAATAATTAAACAGAATTAATATTTTGTTCACTATGTCTTACAAATAAAAATCTTATTTTCAACGCATTACCGGACGAAAAAAACTTGTTATATTTTTTTACAATTAAATGAGAAACAGAAGTTTACCATGATAGGTCAAGTCCATGTAGTGAATTTTTTTGGGTGTTGATAGGTTAATTTAAAAGGCAGAGCACGGAGACTATCATTGGAGGGGAGACGGGAACTGTTGATTCGGCTTAATTAAGCTATCTGACATGTCAAACCTTTGTTTCTAGGCCGGATATCGCCGTCATCCGTGGGCAGACCCGCGTTCCGCCCCAGGTCGCCCGGATCGCGGACAGCGAGGCCATGCGGAGGCAGACGTCCGTTACGGACGGTGAGGCCATCAAGATCGTTATACACGACGTCGACTGTGATGCTTCTTACGGTAAGGGGAAAACACTAAAATTCAGAAAATTTGTAATTTCCCGTGCAATCGTTACAGGGCCGAGGACGACGTCAAAGAGGCGAGTTACTCTGAGACGAGACCCTTCAGATAAAGCGCACAGAAGTAATATATCTCTATTACAAAATATTTCTTTTTATTAACTCTTGGTTATTTCATTAAGCGCGAGGCTTTGGAATGAGAGTGGTCGGCGGGAAAACTGGTATCGACGGAAGGCTCTTCGCCTATATAGTTTGGACAGTCCCATCCGGACCTGCTGAAAAAGGAGGCCTGCAGCAAGGAGACAAGGTAATTTTTATAATAGTTCTAACGTCACTTTCTATTTCAGTTTAAAAATTGTACATAAATAATAGGTGCCAACATACCCATAAAATCCTCCAACCAGGTCTGTACGATCTAGTCATGTTTAGCCCTTGTCACTATTTACCTGTAACTTACAGTTAACGATTCGAATTGAGGCAGTTGAGGGTGAATTCCTGTCTCAAAGAACAAAGCCAATAGGCCTGCTCTTATTTTAACAGCTGTTTCACACCTTTCATAAATTAGATATTCCCATCGGTTTTGGAAGACAACAATTTTAGAAAGGCAACAGCATCACTCTGAGCAAATGGTTTACGCATTTCCAAAGACCGACAGGAATGACATTATTATATTACGCTTTTTTTTTCTTTTTTCCCTTAATGAACTGGAGACAGTAATCTATGGCCTCAAAAGCAAAAAATCTCCTCGTCCTGACATAATCCCAAATGGTTTCTACAATTTGTCCTCCCCCTGAATTTCTACATACTGCCCTAGATTTTTTTTAATTACATTAACATAGTTGCTCCATTTTTCGGAAAAGCGATTATACGATCTCTTTTTAAGCGTGGCAATATCAATTACGGGGGGAATTATAGGGGAATTTCATGCCTACATGCTATAGCAAAAAAATTTTCTAGCCTTCCTGTATAATTAACCAGTTTCTTACTGATGATGAATGATTTTCTCAGCGAATACCAAATGGGATTTAGAAAAGGCTACACCACTTTTGATAACATCTTTACTCTATTTAACGTTCCTAATTAATTAATCTGTATTTAAGGTATTGGTTGAAATAAAAAAGTCAGCGTCACAAGCGGGATTCGAACCCACGACCTTCGGCTAGATTCGCCGCTCCTCTTCGTTAAAAGCTCTCCGTGGCCATTTCATTTGAGGCGAGAATTAAATATATAATACGACATTTGAAAAATGGCAAAAAGGAGGGAAAATTCAAAAGGTGAGGTTGAGATGGAAGTTAGTGTCCGAGTGGATCAAAATCACGAGCTCAAGTGGTAGAGCAGCGGCGAATCTAGCCGAAGGTCGTGGATTCGAATCCCGCTCGTGACACTGATTTTTTTATCTCAACCAATATCTTAAATACAGAATAATTAATTGAAAGAGATTATTTGGTCAAGCTGACCACGAAAACTAGTGAATTTAATAAGTTAAATTAAGTATATCTTCGTTAAAAGCTCTCCGTGGCCATTTCATTTGAGGCGAGAATCAAATAGATTACACGTCATTTGAAAAATGGCAAAAAGGAGGGAAAATTCAAAAGGTGAGGTTGAAATGGAAGTTGGTGTCCGTGTGGATCGAAGTCACGATAGCTCAAGTGGTAGAGTAGCGGCGTATCAAGCCGAAGATCGTGGGTTCGAATCCCGCTCGTGACTAATGATTTTTTTATCTCAACCAATACCTTAAATACAGAATAATTAATTGAAAGAGATTATTTGGTCAAGCGGACCGCGAAAACTAGTAAAGTTCCTAATCAATTTGGACAAAGCCTAACAAAAAACTACTGCTTTTGGCAGTGTTGTCAGAAGGGGTCTTCTCTTGAAATTAAGCATTTTAGGAATATCAGTGATAATTCTCTTCAATTTAAAACAAATTCAACTTGATCAAACATTAGAGTTTTATGTCTAAAAGAAATTAAAAATAGAGGCAAAATAAAAATTGTTCGTCTAAAAAACAAACCCCCTTAAACTATTCAACCTTTTATTTACATAATTAAGTACGTTGTTTTAATTCTGGCAAAGTAGGTGCTTTCCTGTTGTCAGTGCATTACTAATCAGTTCAGTAGTCCTAGGCTGAACTTCATTTTGTTATATTTCATGTCTTTATCTGGTTCTAGCTTGACTGTTTATGATTCGATTTGAAGCATTTCTTATTTATAGGATTTTTATATTCTGTTGATCCTGAACATATACGTATTATATTATAAAGGTTTGTTTTCCAATAGAAGTGTCTAATGTCAATCTAACATTCCTTGATCATTGCTTCTTTCAATACAAAATTATAAAACGATCAAGATGAGGAAATTTTGGTCTAAATTGGTATGGTTTGGGAGTGTGCAAGTAGACCTTTTATGTTAAATATTGATTTAATCAGACCGCAAGAGTCGTGTGTAGAACTTCATTCAGGACTTTGTGTGAGTCCGTTGTCTTTTTTGTTAGAATTGAGTTGATTCTGTTTTCAGGTTCTGGAATGGGGAGGAGTCTCTTTAGTCGATAAGACTTTTGAAGAAGTGTGCTCGATAATGGACAGGACAGGAGACACAGTCGAACTTCTGGTCGAACACGGATCCGACTTGTACGTTGACTTAATTATTCAAATTGAAAAGGAAAAACAAATACGAAATTTTTTACAGGAGGATGTGCGATTTGCTCGACGAGCCGATACCGAACCAAGTCAGGAAAAATTCTGGAGAAGGGCTAACTCTCGGACTTGGTAAAAAAAAAAAACAGCGAAAAGTCGTCAAATAAAAAATAAATTTAAACAATATATGTTCATTTCAGAAAATACTGACGATAAATCTCCATCATCACCGACAAGAAGAAAACTTCCCAAGACACCGGTATAAGTTAAATCTTGATAAAGGAAAAAAACTTTAGTTTTAAACAAAATGGAAAATTCAACCCGTAAAAATTGAGAGCGAACCGAAAAACAATAAAGTTTTTATTTGGTTTTATAGATTCACTGCATGAACTTGACATAGGAAACCAAAATTTTGTTCACCTCATACAGTGCAATTTTTTTTTTTTTTTTTACTTTTTCTTTTTGTTTATTAGTTTTTATCCTGTAATTTTAGTTACAATTTAGCTTAAACTTCGATTTCTGAACCAATTAAGACAGTCAAACGTATGTTATCTTGATGTGTGTATCCAGTAAATGTTTCCTCTTTTTGTATTAATATTTTTGATGAAATTTGTTGAGTCAGTTTATCAAATTTGGCCATGGACCAGAAGTAATTTTAAGTATTTAACATTGCATAACTTTTGTATAAACTGATTAAATCAACAAATTTTTAGAGGTTTTCTTTATCTTGTATCCTTGAAATAGTTCCACGTATAAAATCCATGTGTAAATGACCACTTTTGTATATTTAAAATTTAAAACAGCAAAAATGACATATCAGCTAAAAGTCAAATTTCACATTGATCGTTGATACACAATAGGCTTGGGTTACATTTCCCATAACTTAAGCTACTTTAATCATAAATCTCTGCACTTATCTGAAGACAAAAGAAGCATTTTCCCAAGCACGTGATAAAACCAAAAAGCACTCTTAAATTTTAATATTTTATTAAATATTTTAACCAACAAAATTTTCTTTCTCTGCAGATAAGTGCACCGTAAAAGGGTTAAAGGTCCACCCAAATTTCAATTGAATTTAGCTACCACTTCAGGGTCGATTTGTACAATCATAAAAATTACTATAAAACTATCCTGTACATATCAAAATCTCAGAAAAGAAATTGAACAATGTTGAAAATATCATTAAAAAAAATCACCTTTTAGAGCATTCATGTACAGGATTTGTACATATATATGAGAAAGAAAATGTAAATTAAAAGTAGACAGCTTTGAAAACCACTAGAAAACAGGAAAATTTAACAGGCCTAAATGGAATTTGTGCTCTTCTGATAAGTGGTGACAATCAATGGGGTGTTTCTTATAATTTTTTTTTTTATTTGTTTATTTACGTAACATCGAAAAATCACAAGAAACTGGTTGTTTATTTATTTTTTTAGCACGAGCTCTATTAATGTATCATTGTTTTCATTGTCTATTCATCTTTGTTTGTTTGATCAACTGTGTCCAAATCACAGGGAAAGTTTAAAAAAAAAATTAATTATTAAAGCATTTCTTAACACTCGATACTTTTTAGCTGTTCAGATATACAAAATTTTGCAATTGGTGTACCTAACTAATATTGAAACCACTTTAAAATTATTATATATATATTTAAAAATAAATGCGTCAGTATCCTAGTTTGCGATGACCTAGGTTTTGAAGAAAATTTTTAATTGAACTTTTTATACATATCTTAATTTCACCAGTAAAAAGTTCATTATCATAATTTAAAAACGAATTATTTTTAAACATAAAATAATATCTGAGGACTTCTTAGAATTTTTTTTTAAATTATAAATCGCCTTTAGCCTGTTTAAAACACGTTTAATTTCTCCAAAATCTAGGATTGTAACAACAAACCCTAGCCTGTACATAAATATATCCAATGAAAAATATATGTTGTCAATTAGATATAAGCATTTAACAAGTTTGAACAGTTTTCGCACAAGGCGAACAAGATGGGAAAAAACTTATTTTTTAACATTAACACCCTTTGTAGAGTCTGTAAACCATGTATTTTCTTACCTTCATATCGAGAAAAAAAATTATTATATATATATATATACATATATATATTGATAACAATTTAGATTTGTTTAGAATAAAACCTATTTTTTAAAAGAGACACTACTAATGAGTTTAAAACGAAAAAAAACGTCTTTCTTTATGTGTTCCATTTGTCAAGTGGGGAAGGGAAAAAGTTGAAATTGTTTTTTGAATTTGGCCGAGTAATAATGAAGTAAAATGTGCTTTTTAATTATTATAACTTAAATTAAGAAAACGGAACAATTTTACAAGTATATTTTTTTTCCTCTTTTTACCCTTTAAAAGAGTTTTAAAATTGGTTCATTCGATTCCGTTAATTCCCAAAGCAATTTCTTCAATTCCCCACACTTCTTAAATGTATAAATGTGCTAGTAGTCAAAAGAAAAAATGGAAAGAGATAAAATATTTTAAAAGAAATGTGTTGTATATAATAACGTATACATTAACCTTTAAAAAAAAAGCTTTAAGTTTTAAAAAATTCAATAACATTTTCAAGCAGTTGTCATATTGTGGGCAAATTAAAGGATAAAGTTAAAAAAGAAAAAGAAAAATTATTTGTTTTTAGAAGCATCACCTTTCCACCCAGTTTATTGTTTCTGCCCGGTTATGTTTCTTTTATGCAGTTTACTTGTCAAAGCTTTATTTTTATTTTAAAAAATCCTCGCTGTGGCACATGGAAGACTAAATATACAATTTTTGCCTGGGGAGACAATTGTTAAAAAATGTAAAGACAAAACGGAAAAGCATATTGGGGAAATGCATGGAGCTTGCTCAGATCTTTATTTTTTAAACCTTTTGAAATATACTCCTTCAAAATCTTTTTTTTAACATATTGGAATTTTATTTTTTGTATTTATTCTTCTACTTTCCTAACTATTGTAAATTTTAAAGTGAATTATGTACATACATTATTTATTTATTTTTTAATGTAGCATAGATAGTTGTTTTTAAGAAATGATTAGTCCCAGAAACTAATTGGTTAAAAATATAATTTTATTGCTTATACATAAAAATATATCATTTCACATTTGGAACAAAACCTGGTAAATAAACTAGAAAAAATTGAACAAATACACAATAATAAATATTAGCGATAAATAGACATTTTAACCAACATATGATTTAATAGACATAACTGACTATATTTTACATTAGTAATAACTAAGTTTATTTTAATTAATTATACTTTTTATCTAAGATCTTCATTGAGATGAATAAGCTAGTGTCACGAGCGGGATAAATATGAAAATATGGCAAAAGAGGGAAAAATCGATAGGTTGAAGGTCGAGAGGAGTGGATCGAAGTCACGATAGCCTGAGTGGTTAGAACAGTGGCTATACTGAGCCAGAGGTCATGGGTTCAAATCCTGCTCGTAACACTAGCTTTTTCACCTCAACCAAGGCCTTAAATAAAAAGCATAATCAATCAAATTACATTTTAACATAAAAAATCTTTTCAAGTTTTATATCAAATATTTTTTTCTCTTTATTTAAGACTTTTCTTTTAAATTAAACAGTATACATTTTTTTTCTTGCTCTCTGTTGTACCAGGATCACTTCAAATATAAATTTTATATGAAATATCAGGAACAAGGTGAATTTCAAAGAATCTTTCAAGGAATCTTTGTTAGGAATTTGAAACTATTTCTAATGATTTACACGTTAAATAAATATAAACAATTTAAAATATTTTTGTAATAATTCGACCATAATGATTGAGGTTAGCTTAATATTAGATTAAAATTTTAATGTAGAATTCTCGCCCAATCTACTAAGCTTAACTTCATAAATTTATCCATAAAGCCAAAAAGTTAATATTATTAATTAATGAATATATTCATTAAACGTATAATTATTGGAAATCGTTTTAAAATTCTGATGAAGGAATTCCTCGAAAGATAATAAAATGTGTCTTTCTTCGTTTCAAATTTGCTTTATCCTTGATATTTTATATAAGTCTAAAAGTAGATAGGAATCACATTTAAATAAATTAATTTGTAAACTCGATATTTTATGGTCAAGATGTAAATTTATTTTTGAAATATTGTAGGTGATGTTGAACCTGTAATCTGATTATCTCAGTTCATATGCATTTGCTGATGAGAGTTTGATGACGTTTATTTTCCTATAAATGTTAAATTGAATTTTTTGTTAAATTTTTTAATTATTATTGGGAGAGAAAAATTTGACCAATGTCCTTTCTGGGACAATCATAAATTAATAGGTAAAAACAGTATGCATAGTGTTTAGTGGATAGTTGTAAAGTGTTTAAACTTTTTTTTTTTGTTTTTTTTTCCCCTGAAACGATGAATATTAGATATATTTAACAATAGAGGAGGAAAAGAGCATTTGTGCAAATTTGTCTCAGGCGTCCTCTCCTTTTTTATAAATTTTGTTTTTGTTATTTTTTTTCCTATAAATTTTCGAGACTTTTGTAAAAAATAAAAATACAAAATAAAGCCGACACAATGCATATTGGGAAATGTGATGGTCACTGCATGAATCTAAATACGAAAATTTCAGAATGTCCGCTTACACCAGCTTTGAGGAAGAGAGGCGGCGCTTTGCTTGTTACAGGACCCGGTGAAAAAATTGCATGTGGCGACCGGCTGACAAGTCAATGTTCAGCATGGTTACAAATGTTCACAAAAGTGTAAGTATCTGGTCTAAAATAAAAATTTAAAAACGAGAGAAAAAAAGATGTCAATTGCACAAAAAACAGAAAAGAAAAAAATCTGTAATTTGTTCCGACAAAAACGCTTTTGTAATTGTTTTCATTTTATTTAATTAATTAAAAAATGTAAATAATTTATAGCGTTATTATTAATTTCTGTTTGATAAAATTATGGTTTTTTTTGTATTTATGAAAGCGAAATGTTGATCACTGGATATTAACACATTTTTTGGAGGGTTTTCCATTTAACCGAGAGAGAGGAAAAAAAATGGGGCGATCAATTTCAAAAACTCTCTACCTTCCACCTGTAAAATGTAAAATCCTGTAAAGGTGGTACAATTTGAACTGATAGCGTACGTTTGATTGTTCTTTAACCATCTGCATGGCATGTTGCATGTCTTACATGTATTTCCTACCTTATATATTTTTTCTTACATGTGCCATAAAGACAGGGTGAAAATTTAAACCCTCTTGTATATTTTAAGTTGTTTCTTTTTTTAATGTTGTTGTGTTTGGACTAATTAATACCGTGCGGTGTTACAAAGGTCAACAAAGCATGTAAAAAGCAATAATTATTGGCAGAAGTGCAATTTTTTTTTTTTTTTTGTAATTTCAAATTCAACATTTTAGTGCAGAACGGCACACTGAGTAAGTAGTTTTTTACAATTTATTATTTACTTTAAAACATGCGACTCTCAGATTTTAATCGACTGAGCTCGAGCACAATAAAATTGTCTTTTTATTTGTACTTTTAACAAGAAATGATTTAATTATAAAAACAATCAATTCAGATTTCCGAGCAGTCTTGAAAATTATCAAGTCCATATGTTGAACTTGTCATACTTAACTGTCTGATGACAGAGTTCAGTTGTAACTTATTAAGTTATATATTATAAAAAGTTTAACAATAGATTGTGTATCAAACGACGAAAGGTTAACATTTTTGAATGTTCATGGTTGACTGATTTCTTTTCACGGATGGTTTTTTGTAGGAACAACTAGCAAAAGAGAAAGCAGCTGCTGAGAAGCCACCTTTGCCACCCCCGGCGGTTGAAAAGTCTCAAGTCAGTGGCCGAGTACAGCTGCAAGTCTGGTTCAATGATGATAAAAACGAACTAGTCGTTTCTGTATTCGCTGCTGATGACCTCGCACCAAGAGAGGATTTGCAGTATGGGACACAACCTGAAGCCTATTTGCAACTAAGATTGTTGCCTTTTACGTTAGTACTGGTTATTTTTCTTGAATATAGGAGTGAAATATTTGATTTTTTTTTATCTAAAGGGGCGAGATGAATGCCGTTAAGACCGAAGTGGCGGAACCGACTCAAAACCCGATCTGGAATACAACCCTCGAATTGAAAAATGTACAGGGTGAACATCTCATGGAGAAAACGATCGAAGTCACCCTTTGGGATTATAAGCCTGACAAAGAGCAAGTTTTCCTTGGTAATTGTATAATCTAAATTGTCAGTTGTTGAAAAAATGTAACAAAAATTTTAAACATTAGGAGAATGCTGTGTCGACTTGCAAAAAGCCCTACTGGATGAAAATCCCGTATGGTATAGACTGGAAGACCCGAGACAGTTGAGAAACGGAGGCAGATCACCACGTTCTTCCATAGCTTCTGACACATCGATACGCACTTTGAGAAGAGGTGACAGATCGATGTCTGGTAAATGAAATTTTTAATTAAACAACCAAGCAATTACATTTTAACAAAATTTCAAAAGATTCAGCGGTTTGTTCGATCAGGGAAGGATTACTTCTGCATACCGTGGCCAAGCAGAGGTTATTATCCCGAAGGATGTAAATATTGCTGGAGGGTCAGAAAGACAGAAGAAACGATTTATAGTTGTGATTTAATTTTTTTTTCCATATAGATCCTACATCACATTTTGCAAATAGATTTGTCAAGAGAACTCACTTTTGCACATTTAAACAATTTAGAGCTCACAGATTTTCAACAACTTTGCATATTTTTGAATAATGTGTTCGTCTGACCCTTAGAAATTTAAACCAACATATATATAATAAAAACTATCAATAGCACTTATACATTAGCAAATCGTACAATTGTAAACAATTCACTAGTTTTCGTGGTCCACTTGATCAATTAATATCTTTCAAATAATAGTTTTTAGTTGAGATAAAAAAGTCAGTGTCACGAGCAGGATTCGAACCCACGACCTTCGGCTACTCTACCACTTGAGCTATTGTGGCTTCGATCCACTCTGACACTAGCTTCCCATCTTTTGAAGTTTCCTTTTGAAAAATTGCAAAAAGGAGGGAAAATTCAAACGGTGGGGTTGAGATGGGAGGTTAGTGTCACGATAGCTCAAGTGGTAGACTAGCGGTGTATCTAGCCGAAGGTCGTGGGTTCGAATCCCGCTCGTGACACTGACTTTTTATCTCAACTAAAAACCTTAATTAATTGTAAACAATTATTTTTAAATAAATATATTAAAATTTATAAATCTTGTCAGACTATCGCCGATATTAGTTGAGATAATAACAGCGATGGTTTGAGTAGTTAAAATTAGACTGCTTTTCAAAATTATTATTTTCGAAGTCACTGTAAATTTACACTTTTCTTGGTGTAAGACGTACTTGTATAAGAATTAAAATGGCACTGTACGATCTAGTGATGATGATGAGGATACTAGTTAGCGGGGTTTGTTCTCCCGAGGCACCGCAGCCTTCTGGTTCCTTAGTACACTGAACTGCTCAATCCTTCTTCTCAGAGGTATTAGGTCATTGACTGTTGTTGCTAGAATTTCATTCCCTAGGTTTATCTATGCTAGGTTATGTCTCCAATGAGCCATAGCTTCCCACTCATAGATGATAAGGGTGGCTGTTTCTTTCTCCTCATTATGTAATCTGTAGATGGGATCATCATTATATTTGCCCATGTTATGTACATGACCGTTGTCCTATCCTCTGAGTCTGGCCCTCTCCAACTGCAGCAGTGAGTTTGTGTCTTGGTGAGGGTTGTTTTAGCATAATTTTATTGTGTCTAGCGCCGCTAAAATTTATCCACTTCTCCTCTTCGTAGGGGTTCTTCCATAGCATGAAAACGGAGTGGGTTCCTAAGAGGGGTTACCAAAGCTTCATAGCTTAGTCAGCCATTATTACATCACCCATTACTACAGTGATATATGACCTAGTGGTATAACTGTGGTTTAACACCAAACTAAAGTTTTTATGAACAGTGAAGTTATTTGGATCCATTCGGTGATGGAAGATTCTGTATTTGTTTTTGTTACCCCAAGTATAGGTTCTGAGGCTATGTATAGTCTTGCAGATCCTCTGGCCAGTGTGTCTGCTTTTTCGTTGCCCAAAATTCCTCTTCGCACTGGCACCCAAAATATCATCAGGTTGTTGCATTCCCCCAGGTTTTGGAGATTTTGGATGCATTCACTAATTTATTTTGTATTTTTTTACACGCTAATGCTTTAATAGCTGTTTGGCTATCAGATCTTATGAGGATTTTTTGTTAGTTTATCCACTTTTAAGATTTTCTAGGGTAAAAGCATTGACGGCATTTCATACGGTCTAGTATTTCACATTCATAAAGGATATGTGCCGATGTATCTAGATTCTTTGAGAAGTTTTCCCTCATCTTTTTTATGCAATAGGTAAGAAAGTGCCTTATATAAAGGCCTATAATTTTCCTCAAATCTTGCCTGCTGAGAAACAGTTCTTTCCCCTTTCTTTTTGAGAGATTTATGAATCTCTTAGCTTGCTTTTCTCCCGGGTTTGAGTATTTCTTTCTCAGCCCATTTCTCCAGCTTCATGCCTTGTTCCGACCCCATGGGTGAAAAGGCCTTTTTTTGGCTAGTTCCTCAGACTGTTCTTTTCCTTCTATACCTTCATGTCCCAGAATACACCTCAAGGTGTGTTTTCTTAAAGCCATAATGCAATTTATGCAATCCTAGATTTGGTTGAAACATAAAGCATGCATATTTAGGGCCTTTATTGCTGCCTGAGTATCCGAAAATACGTAGATATGGAAAAATCCAACCAGTCATTGCCATCCTTGGAATTCAAGGAAAAATTGACTTTCACTTTCTCTGTAATGGGCTGATTCTTATTTAATTTAACAATTTATTGACGCAGAATAAATTAAGATATTAAAAATTATATATCCTTAATTAATTTTTTTAAACAATTAAATTCAACTCTTCATCAAATCAAAAATATTTTTTAATTAAACAAAAGGTTCTGAATATCATTTGGTCTTTTTTTTAATTTTAGTTCTTTATTTTTTAGTTCTTTATTTGCAATGATTTTGGCTACAATACTAGTCTTGCAACCAGTCATTACCATCCTTGGAATTCCAGGAAAAATTGACTTTCACTTTCTCTGTAATGGGCTGATTCTTATTTAATTTAACAATTTATTAACGACAGAATAATAACATAATTAATATAAGATATTCTTTTTTTTTTTTTTATTTTTTTTAGGTTTTATATTCATCACATCACACCTTTGCCACTAATAATTTTCAAATATGTAAGCTTCGTGTATGATTTTTTTTTCTAATTATATAGAAGCTTCGTGGAATTATTTTTAAAAATTGTAGGCCTTTACCAAATAAAAGGGTTATTCTTGGGTAATTTCAAAACTTAGTTGCACTGACCCTTTCATAATCTTTTAATGACAATAAGAATGGTCAAAAATAAGCTTTTAGGATATGTTTCAGTTATGATTAAATTTCACTACAAATATTGCAGCTGGTCATCAACTCCTTTTAGAACATTCACAGTGCACAATATCGACATTGATATTTGCATAAATTTTAATTAATACGTTAAAATTTTAGAAACAAGCGATATGGAGCTAGAAGGGTGTATGTTCCTCCATCCAGACCATGCATACCAGAGCGGTTCAAGGAGGGGCTCCAGCCAGTCGGAACAGATAGAATTTGAGCCTTATCAACTTTCTAGAGATTTTTCGAGATCTCTGCCTGGATCAAGACGAAGCAGCTTCCAGTCAGGCCAAGACAAGGGTAAATTTATTATGTTACTACATTGCAAATATATAAATAAATGTCATTTTGATTATTTTTATAATATATACATGGAATTACTGCCGATAGAAGGATGTCTCTGTTTTGGAAATGTTTGGGAGAGGCATAGTAGCAACTCGATTCATCTTTCGGGAAGTTCAGGGTCGTCGGCCCATCTCTCATATAAGATAACATCCGCTCTGTCAGCGCTCTTCCTATCAGGTTAAGACACACCCGAAATACCCGAAAAATGAGTCGATGCATCAGTCCTTCCTAAGTGCACCTCCTAATCCTGTCACTTTTCGTTCACCCTGTCTCGTGCCCTTTTCAAGATGCCGAACCTCCTCCTCCGAGTTACACGAAAGAGAGAAGGCGCAGCTCGATTTGCAGGGTCATGCGCGACCCGGACGAAATTCTCCGGAGTTTAAAGCTGGTCAAGGGTGAACTTTTAGGCAGATCGTCGTCCATCTCGGATAAACGACGATCGTCCCGTAAGTGTCTCCTACCTGTCTTTAAACATAATTATATCATAGGTTATGCTGGTTTTAACACTACTAAATCCATTAAAAGAAAAAATATAAAAATATATTAATAATTATTTCAACCAAGTTACTCACACTGAAAAAAAAATCTCTACAGCCAGTATAGCCTAAACAACTTAATTAAAGTATAAGTGGTAAATAATAAATAAAACTTAATAATTTAAGAAATGTTCTATCTAAACACATCTCTTTTGCATTCTCTGTTTCTCTATGTAGTCAGAAATTTCAATTTACATGTGTAGAAATCTCCCAACATGCCCTATTTTAACTTGAACAAGGATTTTTTTTTAAAGAACTGATTTTTCCAACCTTGACATAACAAAAAAACATGTAATACATTTCAATTAAAATTTAAAGTTCTGGAACAGTTTGAATTTGATGTAATTTCTTTTTCTATCTATCTTTTCCAACACACTCTCTATCACATATTTATCGGTGAGTAGAAGACAAAAATTAAATCAAAAAAGGTAAGACGCTGTCTAGACAAGGTTTTTATTTTAAACTTTTTATTTAATTTTGAATTCAATGTTTCACCTTTTGTTACTATATTTTTTCTGTCTAATTGTATCGTATTTTTATCATTTAAGCATAGTGCTACTAAATAAATAATGAATTCAGAACCAATTAAATCTACATTAAAGCAAAAGATGTATGATAAAAAAATATAACTTTAATCAATCCCCTAAATCATAAATTGTCAATCTTATTAGACGCAATTTCAATAATAATGAACATAAATAAACAAAAAGAGAAAACCAAGGAGAATCTTTCCAAGTCAAAAATATTGCAACACCTTTAAAGGTCGATATATTTTAGTTTTTGACCTTAGCCCCCTTTTGTTTAAATTTATAGTCATATTATTTCTTACATGATAATAAACAAAGGATCACAATTTTTGGTTCATTTCTATGTTTCAGTTTTTACCTACTGTCAACCCATGGAAGCAATTTCTCTCTTTATTTTCTTTGCTCTGTCAATTTTGTTTGTGTCGTAATCAGTTTCAAGGATTATTAAAAGGTACAGGGATGCTGGGAAACACTCGAGACCCATTTCAACAGCATTAAAAACTTACAAGTATTCGGAAGATATCAATATAAAGCCAACTAAAGAAGAAAGTCTAGCCTAGACCAAGAAAGCCCATGGAATGCTTGGCACATCCTAAGGATATTTGCAAAGAGATGCAGACAAACCATAGCTTTTGCAGTATGAAGTATGTTGATCCAAAAATTCAACATTAAAACGTAATTTTGCCTTCATAAATTGTAAAAAGTATGGTCTGAGGCTCAAGTGACTGCTTAGCCGTTCAAACAAGCCTGATATTTGTGTAACAAACTTTCGATTAAAGCTAAGATGTCGATACAAAAACAACATGACGTTCTAAATTGTACCAAAAGAAAAGACCCAGGAGGCCTAAGAATTTGAAAAACCAAGGCTTTCAATCAACTTTCACTATACCTAAGAGTTTGATGCCGTTGCATGAAAAGCATGTTCTGAACTATTGGCAGGACCAAGCTAGAAGGCTTAGAAGCCTGCAGAACCAGGACTTTCAACTGAATCCTCTTTAGTATGTGCAAGTTTGAAAGTGGATTCCCGGGCATGATAAGGAGGTGCTGAACAGCCGGCAAGACTAATCTGGGAGGTTTAAGTGTCTGCAGAATCAATGCATCCAATTTACTACAAATAGTGTTCTGCATAATAGAAGGTAGACATTGGATTCCCTGTCACTGCTGAACTGGCAGGAAAAATCTAAGGGTCGAAAAAGCCTGTCTTTCAACCTAGCTTCCTGTGGCTTTTAACAGTCCATAGCCATGAAAGAGTAAGGAGCAGACCTGGAGCACGAAACAGTGGCTAGTGTGTCCTGGGGTACCAAGTTGGTACCAATTCTTCACTGGCTTAAGATTTGTGGACATTTACCTATGATCATAGAGCCTTTTATGCAATCCTTAAGCTCTGAATCATTGCTTATGCAATACAGGGTGTTCGGCTACACGTGTTACAAACTTTTTCCAGTAGATTCTACATTCAAAAAGGAAGCAAAAAGCCCTAATTAACTATGGTCCTAATCTCAACAGTTTCAGAGTTATTTCACTTTTTCTGATTTTTTAAGATTTCACGATCTTGCTTCAAATAAACAATGATAACTCCTGAACTAAAAAGTTTTGGACAAATCCGTTGATACGATTGAAAACTACGTTAAATTTCCAAACTTGTTAATACTCGTGCAATAAGCGTTTTAGTAGCGAGAAATTTGAAAAAAAAATTCAAAGTTGAAAAGCTTACTATGGTGATTCTTAACTACTATTTCCAAACCTAGAGACTAGCAAACTGCAGAAAACGTACTACATTTAATATCCTTTTTAGCATTACAATTGTTTTTTAATTACTTTTTTCAGTGATGAAGAAACTGATGAAGGAAAAAACCGCGGTTGAAGGATTGGTAAGGTGGAAAATTAAAAAAAAAAACTTTTCGATTAGGGAAATTTGTTACCATCGTTTTTCCTTCAAGTCCAATTTGAGCAACACTCATTTTTGATACCTAGGTAAATTCTGTGTTAATGAGATCCTCAACCATTTCATTTCTATTCGGACGAAAGTTTTCAAATTCTTCCGGCCATCATGCAAATTATTTTAATGCACTCGTGATTAATCTTAATTTTATATCTGAGAAATTTTTAACCGCCCTGTGTTTTGGCAGCACTGCTGGCAACACTGATTACTGGATAAATTGTTTCGTTGAATTACGCTTAGATTTCTATTAAATATTTTAATTTTGAATAATAGTTTATTATACTTAGTTATACTTATTTTAAATTCCAAGAAACACTTTTACACTCTAAATTAAAAAAACCTCGCATCCCGTAATCAAATGTTTATTTTGAATAATGTGTGGTGATTAGTGACCAGTTAGTTAGTCGATGATTATTCAGAAATCGTGAGATGCGGTCTGGTGTGATGTAGGTTTCAGAAAAACATTTTCTTTACCGTACCAACGTTTCAATCTTTATTGAGATCATCTTCAGGGCCTGGGATTTACAAACATTGTTTACATTTAACAAATACATGTAGGATGTGGAAAAAAGTGAATTTATACAATGCAAAAAAAATATATATTTTTTATATTCAATCAGAGTATTTCTACTCACTCAAAGTGTTTGTTTTCTGCATAAGAGTGACATTTTTGCGTGTTGTGTTGAGAGTCTGGCACTCTCCTTATTTATTATAAAATATACACAAAATAATATTACATACATATTTTATAATAAATAAGATGCTAATAAACCATTATTCAAAATAAATATTTGATTACGGAATGTGAGGTTTTTTTAATTTAGAGCGTTAAAGTGTTTTTTCAAATTTAAAATAAGTATAACTAACTAAATAATTCTACTAACAGGACTGAATGAAACCATCTTGCTCTATACTTTGTATCATTACCAAAGTTTTTTGTAAGTCTCAGGATATGGCACACCAACACTGATGAAATAACTGGGGCATAACTCCGAAACTCTCGAGATTCGGGCCATAGTTAATTAGGACTTTTTGGTTCCTTTTAGAATGTACAATCTACTGGCAAAGTTTGTAACACGAGTAGCCGAACACCCTATATGTTCAGCACCATAAAACAATGTGTGTTTCTGAGTACCTGAACACCACAGTCGTCATGCTCTTGAGTGGCCATCAAGATGTCGAGAGTCCAGACCTTAACCCAATAAAATCAAAAAATACAACAATATAAGGCTGTTGCGATATTTTTGATGGAAAGTTATCACGACATTTGTGCAGATTCCCTTCATATTGAGCAACTCGTGTCACTCACGAGTCTGAACAAATATTTGTGCCAAAACCCAACGAATTTAATAAAATAAATTAAAACAATAACCTTTTAAAATAAGTGAATTAAAAATTTAAAAAAAAAAAAATCTGTTATATCTCCCTGCCATAAACAAATTTAAAAAAAGATGTGCCTTCGACCAAATTGAGCAAAAAGGTCCTTTTCCTCTTCTTTACCAGGACTACCCAAAAGATAATCCTTTTTGTTAAAAAAAACTATTGCTGCAAAGTGTATTTTATTAACAAGTTAAAACTTTGTAGGGTTCCAATCTTCGTAGAGGTCATTAAACAGGTGAAAAAAGAAGCCTAATTCCTGGGTTTACTGAGCTTTCGGCACATTACAGTGCCATCATCAGGGCCTATTTTATTACAAATTAAAATAAATACACAGTAACCATACCATACCATACCAACATACAATTAAAAATTAATTTGATATACATGCTGTACATACTTTCCCAAGAATGAAGAAAAACGATTAACATGGAAAACAATTGTAAAAGCGTTTTGGGTTTAAGGTTATGGAGCACATGGCCAGCATACTACATTTTTGACGGTGAAAATAGACATCTATGTATAATTATATGTAATTATTATTAACCTCTCTCATTAATTTTAATCCTTTGTGCATAGTTCCTGTAAATAGCTGTAATTTTAGTTTTGAATTATTTTCTGTGATCTCAAATGTTACCTGCAAGAAATTGCTAGTCAGAACAAAAATTGTTGGACCTCTAGTCATATGGATTTTTAGCAAGGTATTGTTTTACTTTATTATAAATTATAGTTTTTTTTATACATATATATACTATTCTATTATTTATATTCTATTTATTTTTTATTTATATTCTATTTTATTGATATTATATTCTTTATTTACCTGTCTAATGACCTCTTCGAAGATTGGAACCCTACATAGATTATCTGCAGGTCAATCAACAAACATCATAAGTTAAAACAATATAAATCACTGATTAAGCATTTTTTAACTAACAAATAAATAAAAACAAAATATAGATTTTTTTTAATTACGACAGCTTTGCAAGACAGTCTATAGTCTTAAAGACAATGTTTAATCACCGATACTTGTAACATACCATAAAACTAAACTGAACACCGTAACAAAGCACTATGCCCTTTGCATCCTAGAATATGAAACTGTTACATATCTATGTGTGTATTATGTATTCTCTTATGTTATCCTGTACATACCTGTACATTTATATGTTAAAATATTTGTTCAATGTTGTTTTAGTGTTTTAACAATTGAAAATATAGTATAAATATAAATTATAATTATAATAGCTGTTTTAGATTTGGATCGTTAGAGCTGATTTAGCTTGTATAGCTACAGGAACAGGAATGTTTTTGTTCCAGAAAAATAATTGCGTAAAATAGCTATAAATCTGTTCCTGTAGAAGTACATTTTATTGCTATTTATTTTGCTTCATTATCAAGTACATAAACATCCTGTGCTTTTTCGCGAAAGGCTCTTTGTTTATTAAGTGGGCTTTGATCATAAATCGCTCAGCATGATTTGTTGTTATATGAAAGGACATATACAACAGTTGTAAATACATAGAATTTGTGACAGATTTAATTTTTTTTTTAATTAACAAAAATTAATAGATGAAATTGTAAAATAGGTTCGGGGAGCTTGGTGGGTGGAGAGCTGCGACGGAAGGAGTCAGTGCCGGAATTGTTAGAACCGACGGTTAACCAATCAAGCCCCAGTGATGAAGAAGACAAATGGAGGTAATCCAAGAAAATTCTAAATTTGAAAAAATTATTTCCTTCAGCGAAGTTCATTGGATATTTCTGGTTAATTTATTAATAATTTCGGTAGTCAAAATCAATATCTATTTATAAGTCCAAAACAAATGAAGCATCATAAAACGATCAGACGATTCAAATAAGAGGCATTCCAAGATGAACTATCAAAGGTGCTAAAACGAGAAATTGCCTTGTTCAGTGGCCATATCGAAAAAAAGATTTTTTGGTGAAAATCCAACGAGGGCTATCATTGCCTTTATGAAACAGTGCGTGTTTTTTCTTTTTATTTATTTTTTAATTCTGTATGTACCACGTACAAATATTACATTACACTTAACAAAAATTTACATTAAATTAGATCATACAATTAATCTTAATCCATTATATTTAGTGGTCTATTGACCATAATAATTATTATTCCAATTAATTAACCTTTTTATGTAAGGTTTTGGTTGAAATAAAAAAATTAGTGTCGCGAGTGGGATTCGAACCCACAACCTTCGGCTCAATAACCACTTGAGCTAATGTGACTTCGATCGAGTTGGTGTCCGAATGGATCGAAGTCACAATAGCTCAAGTGGTTAGAGCAGCGGCGTATTGAGCCAAAGGTCATGGGTTCGAATCCCGCTCGTGACACTAACTTTTTCATTTCAACCAAAACCTTGCACAAAAAGATTAATATTAATTTTTAAACAATTTAAAAATTTTCATAGTCCAAGCTCTTAATAAAATGCACAAATATTACACAAATTTCACTGTCACTCACAAGAAGTTTTTCGGGAGGCCACTTAAGCCCTCTGGTTGCCTTATCAGAGACGCTATTTCCGCTTCAAAAAAGTCTGCAATGGAAGATAATATGGACCGATGACTGCGAGGTTGTTGGATCACAAGGGCAACTTGTGAAACGATGAAGATATTCTCTGTTTTTTTTCCATGACCTGACAACACTTGAGTCACCTTGTAGCTTATAGCAATGTCACACTTGACTATTGCCCCTATAGATGGAAAAATTTCTTTAGTGAGCATGCCTTTCCCTGTTGTCTGCCAAATTCATTCCCACTTTTGCTTCTCTGCTTTCTTATGCGTTCTACATAAGTTTTCGGGACAAATTTGAAGGATACCTGCAAATTCTCATCTTCCGATGCTTGTTTCGCCAATAAATCAGCTCTTTCGTACCTACTTCACCAGTATGAACCTGGACCTTACTGAATACTACATTTCATTTCCGCTGATTAAGACTCAATAAGGCTAGCCGAATTCTATCCACCAAGGACATGTGGTTGTTAGTATTGGCGATCATGACGACAGATATCACTATCAGTCACTACAGTTACATTTTTCCAATCTAAAGGATCATCTATAAGCCAATCATTTCGATATAGCCAAAAGTTCAGCTTGGTTGTTTAAACAATGTTCTTCAAGACGAAACTGTCGCTCCAGAAGTGTCTCATCATCCCAATAAGCCACAAAGGCACACCCAAATTTTTCATTCATCTTACTACCATCTGAATTGATGGATAGCCTGAATTTTGGGCAATTTAAAATTTCCGCTTATTTAATTTCAGGAACCAGTACACATCTAGTTTTGTAGGTGTATCAATTTTCAATATCATTATTCACAGCCTTCCATTATCTTGTGCTTTTTACCCATTTCTTCGATCAGTACGTGTGTGTGTGTGTGTGTGTGTGTGTGTGTGTGTGTGTGTGTGTGTGTGTGTGTGTGTGTGTGTGTGTGTGTGTGTGTGTGTGTGTGTGTGTGTGTGTGTGTGTGTGTGTGTGTGTGTGTGTGTGTGTGTGTGTGTGTGTGTGTGNGCGTGCGTGCGTGCGTGCGTGCGTGCGTGCGTGCGTGCGTGCGTGCGTGCGTGCGTGCGTGCGTGCGTGCGTGTGTGTGTGCGTGTGTGTGTGTGTGTGTGTGTGTGTGTGTGTCAACTCTGAGGAACGCGCGTAACCAGCCAACACAGGGAGGACTCAAGGGTTCCTCCTTCTTTAGCTTTACATTTTCATATAACTGACTATACAGAGCCCCTCTTGGGTGTTGATAAAAACCATTTAAAACTAAACCAATAGTCCACATCCTCAGGAGGTCCGGGGCTTTGGCCCTGAGGTCCCTCTGTCCCCTCCTTCAGCAAAAGTTCGCCAGCCCAGTAACCCGTGTCCCTCAGCGATGTTTCAATTCTTGTTACTTTTGTTAACTACGTGTTAATGTTGTGTTTTTGTTATATACAGTTGTATAGTTTTATCTTAAGACAGTTTAACCAATACATACTGCCAAGCATGATGAAACATGTCATCTCTATTGCTTTTATTCCAAATTGGCCAATTTACTATATTCTTTAAACCAATAAATATTTTTATCTTTAATCCGATTCACAAAATAGCCTGGATATCATTCAAGTTGAAATTGGATTGCTTGTAGAGAAGTTGCTTAAATCCTGGCAGGAAAAATCTAGGAGGCCTACGTATCTGCAGAACCAAAGTTACCAACGTAGCTATACATAAAGTTCTGCTTAACTGAGTGTTGAAATTGGATTCCCTTGTTTGACGTGGAACTGCTGAATTGCTGGCATGGCCAAAACCCTTAAACATGACAAAACTAAATATTTTCAATTACCATTCATTACTAAAACTTTTAGCACTCTTCAATTTACCAAAAGGAGGTGTAAGTGTATAGTGAGCAAAGCTTGCAACAGAAACATCAAATTGTATATATTTATGAGTCTTTAAACGTAGTTTTCTTTAAAAGAAAATTTATGCAATAGTATTGATAAATCGTAATAACTTGTTTATACCAGTACAAAATCTGAGCCGAAACCACTTGGGCCAGGACAAGTTCAACCAAGAGGATATCAATTAAAAATTGGTAAATAAAAATTCAGTATTGTTTTGTATTATTTTTGTTAATTAATTTTTGTTGCAATAGGGGGATGCGTTGAGATAAAACTGAGCCTGCTGATGACGAAGGGACAGCTTGAAGTTGAAGTGATCGGTGCAAGAGGGATTAAAGGAGAGCCTCCTGGTATTTTTTTACTTTATGATTTTTTTTTTTGGCAGGGATTTTTTAGTATTGTTTTTGATTTTTTAGACACATATGTCAAGATGTATTTGAGAGAGGGTGATCGCTGGCTTCAGAAGCGCAAGACGAAAGTCGTACGCAGGTCGAACGAACCTCAGTTCAGGCAGACACTGCGCTATGCTGCGTGTGACATAGAGTCGCGTTCGCTCGTCGTCATGCTCTGGGAGCATCAGAAAGGATTCGAGCATAATCTCGGACTCGGAGGGGCTGAGCTTTGCCTCTCGCAGCTCCCGCTTACCCAGCTCACAATCGGGTGGTACCCACTTTTCCCGATCCACACACTAGGATCCGATTCGAACGACTCTCCTTAAAAAATATCTCATTCAAACTGACTTTTTTTAAGAATAATTTTTTAATTAAGGCTGTGAAAGTTTATTTTCTTTTAGTTTCCATGAAATCCTTAAATTTTAATTAATAACTTTTTCTCCTTGCATCCAGCCTTGCTCAATATTTTTAATAAATGCAAAAACAAATATTTACGTTTTATTTTAGATAGACAATTTCATGTTTTCTTTTCTTGTTTTTTAATTTACTAATTTCTGCCATTTCATACCAGTTTAAGATGAAAACCAAAATTGAAAATTATTCAAAATAAACACAAGTATTCAATAAATTAAAAGACCATGTCTTTTAATAATAATAAAATAGATGTTTATAAGTGTAAAGGATACAAAAAGAATTGTTAGGTGTGTAGTATATGCTTAATAAGTAAAAACCTTCATGGGAATATAAACTCCTTGTCAAAAAAATCCCAACACCCTGACATATTTTGGGTATTTTATAAAAATTTTCAATTAAAAGATTTTCTTGTAATCTTAGCCTTTTTCTACGGTGTTCTATGGTGAGAAGGAGGTCTTTCAAGTACCTTCTTGATATAAGATTTGACTCTTAGAAACTTCTTCGAACAATATACTCCAGAATGATATCCAGCAATAAAATTTTTAATGGCAGAAGCTGCTGAATTGCGCTTTATTGTTTCTGGTCTGAATTTGTTAGTGTCGAGTGTTCCAAGGTTCACTGTACTTTTTAAAAGTTTTTCTTTTTTTTCCAATTAACTAAATAATCTCTTTTCGGGAATAGCCCGGTACCCTTGAAATCCAAGCTGGTGTGGGTCTCCCGTCCCTAATTTTGCCGATCAGGTCAATCGTGTGTCTGTTTCCTCCTCGGAATTCCAGATATTGTTAGTCAGATGGCTTAAGGGATCCCAATCCATGTGGGAGAGCTATCCCAAGCAAATGGAGGGATATTAAGGACAGGATACATCACATCTTGGGGAGCTGTTTAACCCAATGACCTGAGTGTCTTGATACACAAAGGCATATCTCCCATGACAACATCTAACACCCTCAACAAGGCTTCTGGTATGCAGCCATGAAGGTCTCTTGTTATACCCTGTACTTCGCCACTTTCCAGGTCTTGGGTGCATCAGGTCAATAGTTCATCTGTTTCCTCTTCCTTCTTATGGTCAAATTCTAAACCCTAGAGACAGATGTTGTTAGTCATTTGGCTTATGGGATCCCAATCTGGGAGAGCTATCCCAAGCAAATGGAGGGATATTAAGGACAGGATATATCACATCTTGGGGAGCTGTTTAACCCAATGACCTGAGCGTCTTGATATACTAAGGCATATCTCCCGTGTATACCCCGTACTTCGCCACATTCCCGTCCGCCACCTGGTCTAGGGTGCATCAGATCAATTGTGCATCCATTTCCTCCTCCTTCTTATGATCGAATTCTAACCCCTAGGGGCGGATATTGTTAGTCATTTGGCTTATGGGATCCCAATCCATGTGGGAGAGCTATCCCAAGCGAATGGAGGGATATTAAGGATAGGATACATCACATCTTGGGGAGCTGTTGTAACCCAATGACCTGAGCATCCTGATACGCTAAGGCATATCTCCCATGACAACAGCTAACACCCTAAATAAGGCTTCTGGTATGCAGCCATGAAGGTCTCTTGTTATACCCTGTCCTTCGCCACTTTCCCGTCCACCAACCGATCTTGGGTGCCACAGCAACGTCCATGGCCTCAACATGGGTTATAGGGATTTCAGCCTGAACCTGATACCCCACACGGGGAGACCGGTGATGAAGACTTGCACTTCCTTGGATTGGTGATTCTGGAACGGCCTGAGTTTATTACCTTCACCTTTTAATAGTTCTTGAAACTGACGATAATAGTTGAATAATTGAGCACAATATCTCTTCCTAAGGGAGACTGATGATTCTAACCGATTCATCTTAGCTTAAACGACTATGTCACAAGAAAATAAACTAAAATGCTACCCAGGGCTAGCAAAAGGTAACAACCGACTGAAACATTCATCGAAATGAGCCAAGAAAAATTTTCATCCTTTGCTCATTGTTCATAGTGATTGTCCCAACATCTCTCATGAGATAAATAATAATCAAATAAACATAAAGTATAAGCAAAACCTGGGTTAAGATCAAAAATTAAATTTAAAAAAATCTAAATTTAAAAGTGTTGCTATGTTTTTGACAGGAAGTTGGTATTTATAATGAAAGAAAAATTCTAAATATAATAGGTGTTCGTAGTGTGTCTAAACGTATATTCACAGTGCATTTGAAATTATAATACGACCAATTTCTTTTTTTTTAAATAACATATTGTGCTTCCTTGTATACCTGACACCAACATACTGAAAATTTGAAAAGGTTTGTGTAAATTTGAATTCAAATTGAAATCTAAACCAAACTAGGACAGTCCGGCCCAATCCACCTGGGGGGTGGATACGTTTAAATATTTTTGATTATTTTAGATTGATTTATATTGATAAAAGAGATAGTTTATACAATTATTTTTATCTGAATGTTTGTTGTCATTTGGTGTGCGGGTCGAGAAATGTGACGACTTAACGATACAGCAATCTTCTAAAAATACGCGCTCGTTTTTTCTCGATAAAAGGACAATGCAATAAAAATAAATTAACAGCAACATTTGACACCAACTGTTAAGTCAATAGAAGGAAAAACCTATTTAAAAAAAAAAGTTTCATGATTATATTATATAATAACATATGTAAATAAAACTATATGTTGTGATAATCTCTTGTCTTGTATGTCTTCAAAAAAAAAATGCCAACTGTGTATATAATTTGTTAAAATTTAATAAATTAAAAAAAATTATGGTAAAAACAAGATAAAAAGTATATTGTGAATGTTATTGAACTATTGAAATTTTATTAATAGTAGAATCTTACCATATCTATAATAAATATACTGAAAAAAAAAATATATATATTCATTATCAATGGAAACAAGACAAATCAGTGTTGTGATAACAAGAAAATTTGTTCTCTTAATTTTCTATACTTCAGTTTTTTGTTAAGTAGAGTTAAAAAATATTATAGATTATTTATGAAAAGAAATATATATAAACAAACATATAAATAAAATAATGTAGTTTTAAAGATCAATGTAAAAATAAAGTTAAGGTGCTAATAAAAATGCGCGCTACTCTTTACAACTATAGTGCCATGATGGCATTAAATAAATAGGTCTAGGTTTTTAATTTGTTTCATCGAGAATAGAAAAAAGATCCCGAACTGATTGGAAGTGTATAAAACAGACAATTTTAATTAAGAAAAAAAATGTATATGAGCTTTGATTTGATTGTCAAAATGAATAACACCACTTGTACATGAAACACCAAAGAAAATACACGATGTCAAGGTGTTAGGGGAAAATATCTCGTTCGGGGTTTTATATTTTAGCAGGTAAGACATGAAATGACAATCTTTTAAAAATACCTTTTTATCAAATTTTAATTTTACGATATTATTAATGTTAAGTACCATAAGCGCAATCGGTTTTGTATTAACAGAGCGAAGAGGCTAGTCAAGCAAAAACGCTTATACGGTTGAATGAAATCTCCTTTTGTGTGATACCTAGTATTATGTAACAAGGATTATCCTTTGATAAAAAAATAAATAAAATCCCCTATCCTATTGTTAAGTACTATAATGTAATTTAATGAATCAATAAAGAGGGTTACAATTATCCAAACGGCCTATCTTCAACTAAAAAAATTATATTGTATATTATATTAACTTTATATCTATCTAAATGTATTAAGTTTGTTTTAAAAAATGTTGGAAAATGGATTTTTTTTACTTAGGATTATTGCATGTCTGAAAAATCCTGTGATTTATGTTTAATTGTATTACAATATAAAATAAATTGTCTTATTTGTTGTTTCATAAAGTTGTCGAGATATTTTGTTTTAAAGCATACCCGCCCCGTATAATTTTATTTGTAGTAGACATTCAGGAGGAGAAAAGCTCTGAGCTGGAATTTTAAACAGGGTGATTGGTGACAAGTGTCGAAAAATTCAGGAAGTGTTTCTACTCACCATATGCAACAAAAAACTTCCTATAAACCCCTGTCCTAATTTCAACATTTTTTTTTTTTAGACTTAGATTCACTAAATTGCTTATAAACTTCAGAATTACTGACTGTAGAAAAATCTTGTTTGTGCCACCTGAAAGAACATTAAATTTGCTGTACGGAAACCTATTTACATTGCAGAATTGATGAAAAAATTCTGCAAGAAAAATTCAGAAAAACAAAAATGTTGATATTTGGAATTTTTTTAAATGATGGATTGGTAACTATTAATAACTACAAACTCCTGTAGCTTTGCAAATTCCCTCCCAGTTTTTTCAACAAAATGTAAAATTTTTGGGCCTTCCAGAAGCACAATCCAAAAACGTTGGTATACTGCTGGAAGCTAATTGAATGGAGAACTTTTGAGGAAATTTGCAAAGCTCCAGGGGTTTGTAGTTATTAACAATTATCAATCCTACATTTTTAAAAAATTCCAAATTTCAACATTTTTGTTTTTCTGAATTTTTCCATCAATTCTGCAATGTAAGTAGGTTTCCTTATAGCAAATTTAACATTCTTTCAGTTGGCACAAGCCAGATTTTTTTACAGTCGGTAATTCTGAAGTTTATAAGCAATTTAGTGGACCTAAGACGAAAAATTTAAAAAAAACTGACATTACTTCTTTGCCATTGAGATTTGGACAGGGGTTTTAAAAATGGAATTTGTCAAGGAAAAAAGTTCAATACCAAGCTTAACGATTCGCCTTTGTTCAAGGTACGAGCTTTTAAGCAATAGGTAAATCAGCATGATCAAAATTTTGGCTTAAAACAGCTCCTCGCAGAGCTTGCATCTGTAGTAAGATGGAATTCTTTTGAAAAATCAGGATACCACAATATTGGACCATTACATAAAACTTATTTACATTTTTTTAAACATTCTACATTCAGAATCGTTCATCCCTAATTTTTGATCTTTTCTTAAATTTTTTATTAAAGGATTTGTTAAATATACAATTTTTTATGAATTTTCTATAATAACCGATCTAGGAATCAATGAACTTCCTTTTTAGATTTTTGGAAGAGGAAATTTTTGTATTGCTTCAATTTTTTTGTGGATTAGATTAAATACTTTCTGGTGTTACAAAATGGCCAAGATATGCTACTTATTTTTTACAAACCTGTTTTCAAAAAGTGGCAAAAAGGAAGGAAAATTCGAAAGGTAGGTCGAGATGGGGAGTTGGTGTCCGAGTGGATCGAAGTCACGATAGCTCAAGTGGTTCGAGCAACTGCGTATTAAGCCAAAGGTCGTAGGTTCGAATCCCGCTTGTGACACTAGCTTTTTCATTTTAATTAGTGCCTTACATAAAGATTAGTTAATTGAAAGAAATTATTATTATTCGGATTTTCACCCCAAAGGGTTGTCATCCCGATGTGCTGACCTTAGTGTCTATACATCAGGAGTTCACCCACCCCATTATATGACTGGGTCCCCCTTAAGTCAAATGCCCACTACCAACGATATTAGTCTATCAACAGCTAGGTCATTTCAATCCAAAAACGCCTGCAAACGATTATCTAGCCTAATACTATTTAAACTAGATAAATCAGTCGAACTGCATTTCATTCTGATAGTTGGTGGAATACTGGATATTCTTCCATCTGTATTAATTAGTGTCGACGAGGTACTTTTATAAAAATTCCGCGATCGACGCTATATTTCACCATCACCCCCCTCCACTCACGCTAATAAATACAATATAGAATATAACTATGCAGTGAAATACATCCCAGGTCCTTTAAAAACGGAACAGGGACCCAGAATGCTGTGCTCGAGAACTAATCTGCTCTGGCATGCCTACATGCTCCCTGAATTGAGCCAAGGCACTATTATGTGGGACACATCAAGCAACCTTTCTAGCAGGTTAAGAGGCACCTGCTTTTGGACCAAAGCCCGCAAAGTGCAGTATATTAATATTATTATTTGTTTAATGAAAATACTTTTATATTTATTTTATTTCGTTAAATTTCGATTTCTTCTAGATTTGTTTAATTATATTTGGAAGTTTTGAAAGCAACTTACAATTTTAATACTACAAAGATCTCCATGTGAGTTGTCCGATGATCTTGAGTTTGATGCTCCCGATAAACCTGATTCACAATTTTCTGACTGATGAATCAGTAAAGTTCGTATGACACGAACCAGAAAATTGTACTGTACTGACGGTTTTTCCATAGTTTTTACAAAAATGGTTTTATTACATGACAATAAAATACAAAACTGGAGTAAAATTGGTTTTTCTTCTACTGCTACTAATCTCATTTCCTCCTGTCTGTCTAACAGATCTCAGAGAGTTAAGCTTCAAATTCTATCTCCTCTCTTTTCTCAATTTCAGCTGGTGTACCCCAAGGCTCTATTCTTGGACCTTTACTCTTTTCCATGTTTCTAAATGTTCTTCTATTAATACTCAATTTCTCCCAATTTTATCTTTATGTCGATGACATTCAGCTTTAATTTCAATGTCGTACAAGCACTATCACTGAAGCATGATCTTCATTCTCTCAACCAATGGTCAAGAAATAACGGCATTCTTTTAAACCCTGACAAATCCCAGTCCTTATTAATTTTAAAAAAAAACCTGTTAGTATAGATTTCATATTTCCTATTCATATCAATGGCTCCCCTATTCTTGTCCAAAAGTTGAAAATTTTGGCGTTATTTTTAACTCCAAGCTTACATGGCATGACCATTGAAGCCTCCAATCTCTTTGACGCCTTAGCTTTTTTTCTCCAAAGAAAACTAGAATTCTTCTTATTAAATCCCTAATAATTTCTTTATTTCTAACTGTAGCCCTATTTTTTCATTTTGCTTAAACTCTCAATCTGCTCATCGCCTTCAAATTGATTATCAGTTCTGCATTAGATGCTGTTAAGATCTTAAACCAAGGGATCATATTTCTTCCTGTATTAATGTCTTCAGCAATTTTAACATACTAAGCACCTGTAAACTTAGAATTTTAATTTATATATTTAAAAGTATATCAAATAAATGTCCTCAATATCTATCAACTTTTTAGCTTCATTCCTTATCCAAACTGACCAACCATATCCCAAGCCTTCAACACTCCTCTAACATTTAGCCTTATCCTTCAGAATGCAGGGTAAAGACTATGGAATTTGCTTCCTAAGGAAGTACGTTCTGCTTCCTCACTGGCCACTGGCTTGTTTCAGGTCCATGGCATCTGAGTTTTTAAAAATGACATGAATCATCTCCTTTTCTTTCCTCTTCCTTTTCTTTGTCCCGTTTCCTTTTTTTCTCTCTTTGCACTTTTCTTTCGTCATGTGGTTTCATCATTCGATTATAAATAATTAACGTTTTAAAGAATATATCATTGTCATTATTGTTTGTATATTTTATTATATGTTTTAATTGTTTTTATTATTATTTTACTATATTTATAAAAGTAAATTTATTTCTAATGTATGTACATGTAAGGGGGCTTAAAGACCTATTTGTACCATTAAAATAAATAAAGAAAAATAAAAAATGTAGTATTATATTTTCTTTTTGTCTTTTTATAAAATTTCTTAATTAATTTAGTGGTTTTAGTGAGTAATTAAAAAAATGTGTGAAACTAGTTTGTGAAGACGTGGGATTGTCAAATAAATCGAATTTCATGGGTTGGCTAGCCTGTTTCGAGTGAAACTCAAGGAAGGTTTTGTTTCATTTTATTATTATTGTTCCGACCAAGATTGTAAAAGTGACTTTTTTCTTTCCTTTTTTTAAACTTAAAAGTGCACGATGTTCTTTTCGTAAAAGGCCGTTATTAATTTAAGAAAAATCTTCACGCAGAAATATAGAAAAAAAGCCTAGGACAAAATGGGCCGAAGATCCATAAACACCACCAAGAGTGGAAAATACATGAATCCAACAGATCAAGCCAGTAAGTTTTCATTTTTCGCCAGTTTCCAAATGAAAACACTTAACGGGACAATAATTTTTCAGGGAAGGAAGCGCGTAAAAAAGAGCTGAAAAAGAACAAGAAACAGAGGCAGCTCGTAAGGGCTGCTGTACTCAAGGGTAAAGATCCATTCTTGCTCATTGGAGAAATGGAGAAAATAGACAATATGGGTATGTACTATTTTCTTGTTTGGATTAGCTTGTATAAAACTATACTTTCTTTTTTCAGAGTACAACGTTCTCCAGCCATCACCGTTGAATGAAAAAGTGCTCAAGGATAAAAGACGGAAGCTTAGAGAGACGCTAGACAGGGTGTTAAAGATGTATGTAAGTAAAAGTTAATTTCTGAGATCTAATCAGTGAAGTATATATAAAAGCGATATCTGTTTATGCTGAACTGGCATAGGGTTAGTTTGTTGAATTACTCAAACATCCCAAGTCACGTTGGCATCCAAGGGAACGAAAAAGCCGATCAGTTAGCTAAAGAATCAATTTCGTGTGGAATTCCCTATACAAAAGTTCCCTACAAGGATTTCTGCACACACGTAAAAAACATCATTTGGAAAGAATGAGAGTGTGAGTGGAATAGACAACACACTACAAATAAACTTTTCCAAATTAAAAAAGAAGTTAAACATTGGCAATCCTCAATTCGAACCACTAGGAAACAACAAACAGTTCTAACCAGACTAAGGATCGGACCCACCCGCCTTACCCACGGCTACCTACTCGAACATAAAAATACACCAATGTGCTACATCTGTCAAACACCAGTCACAATTAAACATATCCTACTGAACTATCGACGTTATGCTCCTCTCCGCACGTCACACCACTTCCCAAACAAAATATCCGAATTATTGAGTGATCAATCCCCATATTTAGACGCTGTCTTTGATTTCCTGTCAGAGGCAGGCTTAATTAGTGAAATATAAATTGTACTTCTTGAACATGTGATTCCCCATGTGAAAGACTCAAGGCAAAAATAACCCAAAGGTTGTAGCCTTTAAAAAAAAAAAAAAAAGTTTATTCATATTTTGCAGACCAAAAATAGGTTTGGTTGTAAAAATAAAACATTTATAAAGAAAATGTTTATTGTCTAATTCTGTACAAAGAAAACAAAATGAATAAAAAATAAAACAAAAACAAATAATTTGCACTCGTCACATAATTTGGTCCCAAATGTGTTTGATTGGGTTCAAATCTGGACATTCATAAAACAGAAAATACACTAATGAACAAAATAAACACACCACCCTTAAATTTTAATGTATTTAGGTTTATTCATTTTTGCATACCAAAAATTGGTTTAAATGTAAAAATAAGACATTTAAAAAGAAAATGTTTATTACCAAATTCTAAAAAAGTAAATAAATTAAATAAAAAAAATAACAATCTGAGTAAAAAACAAAATTTAAAAACAAATAATTTGTACTCGTCGCTTAAGTTGGTCCTAAACATATCGATTGGGTTGTTCAAATCTGGACATTCATAATAAATAGCACTACATGTTCTTCGATTATTTCTTGTAAGTACCTCCATGTAGTTAGATATCTTGCTCACACCACAACATATTTGGTGCAGGCTTCCAAGGAAATGATACCACAGAACATCAGTGACCCACCAGGGAATGCCACTTGAGGAACCATCAGCAACCTTTCTTCTGAGCGTCCTCCATATGAAATTATGCCCATCTGAATATTTGAGGCCAACTCTCACCAACTGTAAAGAGAATTCGTCCCTAGTCTTCTAATGTTTAATTAACACGTTACCGTACAAATAGAAGCCTGGCCATTTTCTGAACTGTGGTTCGAAGAGGTCCAAGAGCCGTGTGCCGGGTCCTGAGGCTATTTTCATTGAGCCTTCTTCTTACAGCATTGTAGAAAGTCGAAACATTTCGGACTTATCACATTTCTTATCTAATAATTATAAATAATTCCCTCATGACCTGGGGTCCTTTAGCATTAGCATTAGACGGTATGAAGATCCCAGTTTTTTCAAGGAATTTGGGAAGTTCCAGACAATTTTTGAGGTGATCTTGCAGTCTTGGAGAGCCTTTAGAGCTGCCTAAAAGAACTATTATGTTGCACCTTTGAGATGTTTAGCTTAGTTGGTTTAGCTCTCCCTCTGTCTTCGCATTAGGGAGAGAGCACTGTATTTTCAAACAGTCTCCGAGATTTAATTAATATAAACAATTTTCTTTTAGATAAAGGAGGATCCTGAAAAATGGGAGGAGCTCAAAAGAGCAGAAGCGGAGTATGAGAAGCGGAGGATGACGATGGCCACATATTCTGAAGCTGTCAGACATGCCCAACAAGTAAGTGTTTTATTAGTATTTATTTTACAAGTAAAGCCTATTAAAATTATACAATAGTTACAAATATATTAAGGGGATCAGAAGGTAATGTCATTTTTTTTCCATTAAATTCAAACAGATAAATTTTTAACAAGTTTTTATTTTTAATCATTGATGTAATCACCCTCGTTATCAACAACCTTTTGCCATAGTGTGCAAATGTTCAAATCAGGATCGATGAAAATCAATTGGTTTTTGAGCAAAATATCTAGAGATGGCATTTTGGACATAATCCAAATTTTCAAATTTTTTGCCACTTAGAAATTGACGTAGCAATCAGAATAAATAGAAATAAGTTGGCCCAATATTGGGCGAGTACGGAGGGTGAGGCAATATCTCCTTCCCAAATTCATTAATTTTTTCCAGGGTTTGTCTTGCGCAATGCATTATCTTGTTGCAGTATAACGCCTTTTCTGTTCACAATCGCCGGGCACTTTTCAATTAACGATTGATTTACTCGATCTAATTATTCACAGTAAAGGTCTGCTTTCACAGTTTGTCCATGTTTCGGCACTTCAAAATTACTCCACCAAACACACAAAAGCACCTTTTCGGGGTGTAAAACTGGCTTAGCTGTACTTTGTGGCGGGGGTGTAAAACTGGCTTAGCTGTACTTTGTGGCGATTCATTCAGAGAGTCACTGCCTTTTGCATTTTGGATTATCATAGATGCCCCATTTTTCATCTCCAGTGATCAAGAGATCAAAAAATGCTTCCGTATTGTGTCACTGAAGCAATAATGGTAGACCGGTGAGCTGTTTTCTTCGGACTAATTATGCAGGACCCAAACACTTGGTCTTTTTACTTTACGAATTTGCTGCAAATGTTCTTGGATAGTCGACCAAGGTTGGTTAAGAGTGTTTGACAGTTTCTCAATTGTCTGGCACGTCATTGTCTAAAGTTGTTGGTCTTCCTGATCAATATAAGTCGGAAAGACCAAAATTCCTGGATTTGAACTTAAAAAATCACCTTTGGCATTTACGAACATCTTTAACATTTGGATAAACATTGCAAATTTTTTCGGTAAAAACTGTTGTGTTACTACCATTATGAAACTCAAAAAGCATACATTGCTGGATATGTACCTCTTCTGATATTTGGCTGGCCATTTCACCATAAATTGCAAAAAAAATTTAAGATTTAAATATTTACAAGTAAAAAAGTCATTCTAATATTAAAATCTTTTTGCCACAACTTTGAAGTACACAAGATAAATGACAAACAATTATTGACATGGGCAAAAACGACATTACCTAGGATATCAAATATATTTATTCAATAGTTAATTAAAGAAAGAACTGAATTATTACAATACAGTAAAAGATAATTGGAAGTATGAATTATTAAATAAAACATAGCTTTAAATATATGCAGTTGACAAAATTTATGGAATACAAACAAAACTTAACTGATAAAGATAATTATTAATTTAATCCATATTTGCTTAGTGGTCATAATTGACCATAATAATTATTCCTAGGTGATTATTCATTTTATCTGAGGTTTTTGGTTGAGAAGAAAAATTAATGTTACCACTGCTCTAACCACTTGTGCTATTGTGACTTCGAGCTCCTCAGAATTCCGCTCGTTACACTAATTTTTCATTTCAACCAAATATCTTAGATAAAAAGAATAATTAATACGGTCAATTATGACCACTAAGCAAATATGGAATAATTTAATAATTAAAATTAGTAATTCCTTCACTAACAGCTCCTCATGGCCGGGAGTCGCTGAGAATCGAATCCTGATTGCACGACATTTCAAAATATGGCAAAAAGGGGAAAAATTCGACAGTTGTAGGTTGAGATGAGTTGGTGTCTGAGGGGATCGAAGTCACGATAGCTCAAGTGGTTAGAACAGCGGTATATTGAGCCAAAGGTCGTGTGTTCGAATCCCGCTAGTGACACTAACTTTTCATCTCAACCAAGACCTTACAAAAAAGGAAAATTAATTAATATGTTAACAACATTTATTAAAAGGTACAAGTCGACGACATTCCATTACCGTTGGCACAACTCCATCCTGAGAACATGATGGCTCTCGGCCTCACATCACAAATTCCATTGCCAGATATGCCCATGAGCCTGCTTTTACCTCCGACGAGCATCCTTAGAAAAAGATCCGCATATAGGTCTGTATTTTGAGGGGGGAAAATGACATGTTATTATTATTTTTTAATAAATTGTTTTTTCAGCCCTCCAAGAACGAAAGCCCCACCAGGAGTCCCTCCAGGACCCCCACCTGAGCTTAGCAGCGATGAAGATGAAGATGGTAATTATCACCATGGCATTATTTTTATATTATAAATTATTAATTTAGCTTTGTTTTATAACAGTTGCACCAGGGACTGAGGAGAAAGTAAGACCTAGGATGATCAGGTTTGCCGATAAGGATGATTCAGACGGAGAAGACATTTCTAAGAGGCATGATGTAAGTCAGAAAAATTTGAAACTTTAAAATTCTATTATAAAATTACCTTTTTTTTCCCCCCAGGAAGGGAAGAAGAACAATGAGAGTACCATACCTGTTCCAGCACCCTCAGGCCAGTTACCAATCGGGCTACCACCAGGTGATTAAACTTTATATATATATTATGCAGGGTGGGCGACCAAGACCCGAGGGGTTAAATGCCTGGGTAGACTCGTACCCCTTCCCTAAAAGGTCCGGGACTTGGTCGGCTCACGTGTCCTGCATAAATCTCTTGGACCATTCACCTCAATGGACCTATTCACAAACCCCAAGATTTTGGACCATTTAATCTCGGGGAGTGATTTAGTGATGTCCTCTCCTTCAAAGATTTCAAATCTAGACCTAGCATACCTATCACACTACAAGGTAGTGCCTAGAATTTTATTTTATTATAGTTGAAGACCTAAACTGGATCTTTTAATCTATTAAAGTTTTGTGTTCAAGCTTTTATATTTTTTATCGTCTATTTTAGCTCCGCCACCACTTGGAAATCTCATTGTTGGAATACGACCTCCTGGTCCTCCTCCTGGCTTGCCACCTCGTCTCATGGGAATAAGATTACCACCAGGACCACCACCAGGTACTCATAATTTTTTCATGTTTTTACGTCTGTACATCGATAAATAAAAGAGATACATAGAAATTATAATGTAATATTTTCAGGACTGCCGCCGAGGATGATGCCACCCAGACTGCCCAGTTCTATACCGACGCCGAACGTCCTGAGTGCTGCACCGCAGCTCATTAGAAAAGATGGTCAAATGAAAGGCCCGACCATAGAGGCCAAGGCTCAGATAAGGTATTTAAAAAAGAAAAAAAATTCAAAGTTATGATTATAATGCCTTCCTTTCTTCCCTAGGAATCTTACGGCAGACGTGACGAGGTTCGTACCCACTGCGCTTCGCGTGAAGCGTAATGACGACAAACCTCTCAGGAAACCAGAGCAGTCTCTCAAAGTGGACATTCCAAAACCGCAGGCTACGAAGGACGACGCATATTCTCAATTTATGCGTGAAATGGAGGGACTTCTATAAAAACAAATGGTTGTTTGTTTTAATTTTTTTTTTCTTTTTGTGTACATCAGTTTAAGAGATGAATTTAAACAGTGAACATTGCAACTTTGTAAATATAAAATGTTTATTTGATTTTTTTTTCTTTTTGATTTTTTTTTTATGAGATGAATGATTCTATGTCAACAGGCTATTAATAAATAATTTTAGTGAAAAATTAATAAGATTTTTACTTATTATTTAATGTTTTTATCCAATAGAAAAACGTGGAATACTCGATTTAAAGTAAAAATCACTTTTAATCTGGTATATATTTTTTTTAATGTGAATTTCTCCAGGTGACCTGTAGTTTGGTAGTTATGTTATTTTTGTCTTCCTATCCTCCTCCCTCCTTTGATCTGTCAGAAACGTTTCAGAAACAAAACCTTAAGTGTTTTTATTACTTTAACTGCACAACTATTCCTCTAGTACTCATTGTAGCTCGAACCATTGTTTAAATTGTTTTTGTTAAAAAAAAAAAAAATCAATGGCACTGCATAACTGAAACTTCCAGGAATTGTTGGATGTTGTATTAAGCAGGCGGCCTTACTTCATGAATAACCCTTTCCAAAAGGGGTGGCTTTGACTGTCCAGTCTTGAGAATTTGCTTTTCCTTCCCTCCTCACTTGTTTTGAAGGCCAATCTAAAAGGATAATAATGGAAAAACAAATCAGAGACCAGGGGGAATCGAATCAAGTGCTGTCACAAATAGATTGGAAAGACAAGTAAAGTCCCGAGGCTAGGAGAGGAAAGTGACGAATAGAGTTGAGACCAGGGAGTCGAATGAAATGCAGAGCCACAAGTATTAACGGACGATTAGAGTTAAGGCCAAAGATTGGCGAACCTTGTGTTAGGTTAGTTAAGGCCAGGGGAGTCGAATCGAGTGCAAAGCCACAAGGCCAGGGGAGTTGAATCGAGAGCAGAGCCTTTATTAGTGTGGACTGACAAATACAGTTGAGAATAAGAAGAGTCAATGATTGCAGAGGCACAATTAGTGTCCCGAGATGTGGAGAATTAACAGGTGAGTAGACGAAACCAAGCGTCGACTGACGAGTAGAGTTGTGTCCTGGGAGTGTCAAGTCAAATCAAATAGAGAGCCTTGAGTAAAGTGGACTGACAAGCACATTTGAGAATAAGATTAGTCGCAATGAATGCAATGGTACAAGTTGTGTCCCGAGTCCTGCAGAGTTAAGAGGTGAGTAGACGAGACCAAGCAGTTGACTAACGCGTAGAGTTGTGACCTGGGAGTGTCAAATCAAATGGAAAGCCTTGAGTAAAGTGTACTGACAAGCACATTTGAGAATAAGAAGAAACACAATGATTGCAGAGGCACGATTAGTGTCCAAGATGTGGAGAGTTAACAGGTGAGTAGACTTGAGACCAAGCAGTTGACTGACAGAGTTGAGACCAGGTAGTGTCAAATGAAATGGACTCAAGTTACATCCCTGTCTAAACCCTGAGCGCACCTCAAAAAACCTCAAGACCCCCCCCTTCTGTAACAACTGTAGAGCAAGAATATGTAAATAAGTATTTTAGTATTGAAAGAATTTTTATTGAAAACAAGATAGATGAGTTTAAATGTAAGCGCACTCCTATCCACAAAAAGGTAACAGATTTAAGAAAAAACTCAAAAGCCATGAGTACAACTAGAGGCCTGGAAAGGCAGTCAGACGCTGAAAAATGTCGAAAAAATACGTAAATTCGTGTTGGGAATAAACAGTCAAGTTTGACTTATGATAAAGTAAATGTCTCACTTTAGCAAAAGTCATCGTGTCAACACCGCTCACAAAAAACAACAAAAAACCATTGTATGTAAAAGAAAATGTATTTACAAAAAAGTCATTAATTCAAAAAAAGGTTATAAAATAAACTCAAATTATTTTCTCTAAACAAGTAATCTTTCAATGTCCTGTTGGATTTTTGTTATCTGCGCTTTGATCTGAGAACCCTCGTTGATCGTCACGGCACAGGCGACGACAGGCCTCGACACACCGCAAGCACGCCCTAAGGCTGTAAATAGAAAAATTTAATAATTTTCAAAAGACCAGGTCGTATGTAAAATAGTACCTTGTTTGGACCGGACGAATACATAGGGTACGTTTTTGTCTTCGCATAGAAGGGGGAGGTGAAGTAAAATCTGCAGCGGCTCCGCGTCCGCAGCCATTACAATAAACTCAGACAATCCTCTGCTTAAAGTTTTAGTAGCTGAAATTAGAAAAGAACAAATTTGTTGTTGATTTTTTTTAACCTTTTTTTTTGTCGTTTTATTACCTTCATTGGCACCTTTTCTGAGTTGTTTGTAGTTTAAGGCTTGCTGTACCAGATTGAGTATTTTCGCCGTGAGGGCTGCGTCGGCCAACGGGTACGCTTTTGGGTTGACTTCTTCATTCTAAAAAAAAGCCCAAAAGTCAGATTCTACGAAAAAGCTTCGATTTGACAAAAAGCACGTGGTCACCGGCGCTTACCATTTTGAAAGGTGGATTTGTTTCTCTTTCTCCCACGCGATGAAAACTTAAAACAGAACGCTTATAAAACGTTCAAATTTAAAATCCTATTTTAATTTTTTTTTCTTTTTTTAACAAATTTAAAAGACAGTTCAAAACGTGACCAGAACGTTTACGACGCACTAAAACGACTGAGCGGTGTTTAACAACTGTTACAAGCGTGTCTTTCCACCTTCCGGTACTGTCAATCCACCGATAGATGTCAGCCTCAAGTGTTTTCTTTCTCTTTTTATACACAACCCTTTTTATAAAATAAAATTATTTTGGTTTTTCTCCCAAGACAGAATTATTTTAGGTTGCAAAAACTAATTAGAAAATATTTTTGCGATTTTTTTTTAAATTGGTTGTTATAAACGTTGAACCGGGCCGATACTAACCTTGCTTTCTCCTAACAGGACTATTTTGTGAAACCTTGCTCATCGTAGTGTACTCAAAAACTCATTATTCGATGTCTGTCCGGGTGTTAATCATTCGGTAACGCGAGTTTTTGTCGTTTTTTTTTCACCCCCGGTAATTTTAAAAATATTGCTGAATTTATCCTGTAGTTCGCCCTTTGCCGTTGAAAGACACGTGAACAATGGCAACACCTCTAGAGCAGTTCGTCCACAGCGTTCGGACCCTTTCATCCCAAGGTATATTTTTTTTTTGTACTGAAAAGACAAAAACTATGTTTTCTTTTAAACAGATCCGATCTAAAATACAATTTTGACGTATTTTCTTCGTTCCCAGTATAATTGAATGAAGAAATAATAGTAATTATTTACATAGAATTCCAACAAACTCAAAATATTTTACGAAATACTTTATGGCATGGACAACAGTCCGTCAGCCGGAGTTGATGTGAGCAAACAGAAATAATAATAAAAAAAGAATACATGAAATAATAATCTATAAAAATACTATAAACTACTGAATAGAATAGAATTAGGTTTACGAAGCCTCCTAGGATGGATCAAAGGGAGTCACCCACCTTGGTGCTTGAGTGACTCCGAGGTTGGGCTCTGATCGGGCGCCATCGACCTCTTTGGTAATTCCGGTGCTCTTCCGTTCCCTAAAACTATTCATTCTCACATTCACTCACACAATAAATACATACATACTACTTTATACAAACCCAATCACACTTCATATCCTCTGTCTAAAATCCGGGTCGGAGGTTACTCATTATTCCGACCCGACCCGGCTTGGCGGAGCAACGGTGGAGCCTTGAGATGATATGCCACCCAGCATACCCCTATTCTAACTTAAACTTTAACCTATAAAATAAATACCCCACTATATATAACCCATAATCCCAATATCTCTCAAAAACCTAGAAAGTTTTTCTTTAAACTTGCTGCCATGATCAAGCATTCTCTTATAGTCCAGTGGTATTCCATTTCAGTTCCTATACGGGGCCACGCTGCGACACCCCTCCAACATGTGCGACACTGTTATAAACTACTGAAATTAAATTAAACAAAAAATAAATGAATAAAATAAAAAATAAAGCATTACTAGAGAAGAAAATCGAAGAAATAGGAATGCTAACAAAATAGAAAGATAAAAAAAAGAGAAGAGAAAGACTAATAATTACAATAAGGAAATGAAAGCATGATTATAATACATTAATAATTAACGTTTATTATCATGAGATCCGGTCTGGTGTGACGCAGGTTTAGAAAAACAAAATTTTCTTTATCGTGCCAACGTTTTGATCTTTATTGAGATCATCTTCAGGGCCTGGGATTTATAAACATTGTTTAAATTATAGAAATACATGTACAATGTGAAAAAAAGTGAATTTATACTACTTAAATTACTTTTTTCTCTACAGTTTGATTATTCTTGGCTATACTGGTCATTTCATATATTTTTACAAATTGAGCCATCACTGAGGATGGTAGAATATTTATTTAATTGCATTTATACAAAATATCCAACAGTTTATTCATATGTTTTTGTACGTTGATTTTTATTACAGTTTGCAAAATTTGCATATGGTATGGTTAAAACTGCTTAAAAAAATGGTGTTTCAAAAATTATTTTTGCATGATTGAAATTATTCTCTCAAAATGATTATTATATCAATTTATTTATTGAGATAACTATTTAGCGTAAACAAAAAGGTTTTTATGTCGAAATTGTTTTTGTTTTTTTCGTCCTGTCAGACTTCGTTTTTAAATCGTGCATGATAAAATTATGATTCATTTCTCAATTCATGAACACCATTGGCTTTCTCGTTCGGGTTTCACCTGGAATTTGAAGAGAGAGAAATTAGTTCAACATAACATTTTTCTTACTCTTTTTATGTAAGGTTTTTGTTGAAATGAAAAGTTAGCGTCACGAGCGGGATACGAACCCACAACCTTCGGCTCAATACGCCGCTGCTCTAACCACTTGAGCTATCGTGACTTTGATCCATTTGGACACCAACTCCCCTATCTCAACCTACAACCTTTAATTTTCCCTCCTAATGCTAATCCCGCTCGTGACACTAACTGTTTTCATTTCAACCAAAACCTTACATAAACAGATTAATTAATTGAAAGAAATAATTTGGTCAATATACCACTAAATATCATGGATTTAACAATATTTTACACTAAAAAAATAAAATAAACATACAAATCTGTGCTATTATTCTCCTGCAGTTTGAGAAATTTCTTAAATGTGTCCCGTATATGGGAGATCCTGCTTTTTTCACAGATATCCTGTTCTTGATCACTGTCATCAGAATTTGGCCTTAAAAAAGATTTTGTCTGTTTTTAATTTTGTTGATTTATAAACACAAGGTGTCTTATACCGATGAGGTATACAGGAAACTTTCTCCTCGGGCTTTTCACTCGAAATAGTGGAAATTTTGTTCAATGCGACTGACGACTGCTTGGAAACATTTACAATGTTGGTCTGACTGTTTTCTTTAGACGAACCGTTGTCTTTGTATTGTTTCGCCGTTTTCTTGCACTGTTTCACTTGGTTTTCCTCGTTGCAAACTTCGGCCTTTATAGTTTTGAACTTTTTCAACCTGCTCTGAATATTTGACAATTGGTTCGCTGTCAAGACATACTCAGTCTGTTCGTTGGGTTGATTAATTCCTTGACTCGTTTTGAACACACTTTGACACTTTGTATGAAGCTGCGGCAAACTTTTATTCCTTGGGACGTTCTTGGTTGCATTGTTATACCTGAAAATACATTTGAGAATTGTGGAAAATTTTAATAAAAATAATTTATAAATATTATAATTACCCGGTGCACTTGACGATAGATTGTGACACGGCTTTCAGTGGACCTTTTTGCACTATCTTTGAAGTATTTGATCTTAACGAGTAATCTTGAAATGTAATTGAGCTTATTTTTTCTATGTTCTTCATAATTCCTTGAGTGCTGTAAAAATAAAAGATTAAATTGCTATTTTTTTCATGTTTTAACAAACAAAATTATATTACGTTAGTTTAGGCATTCTTTTCAGTATTTCCAGTTGCTGCTTTCTTTATGAAAAGGGGAAAAATTATGTTAAAAAAAAGAACCATAGAATTTTATGAATTTAAAAATTGTCTTACTTCATCATGGGTAATTTTTCGGCTAATATTTTGGGACATCTTGGTACTGACGGTGTGCTGAAACTTTTAACTAATGACCCACTGAATTGGCTTCCGCTGAAAATTTTATTCAACTTTATTACATCAGTCGTCGATGGTTATAGATCCTTACTTTTTACTCTTTGTAGTACTCAAGTTGATAACGGACGACGTTTTCAAGCTGTAAATTGATGAAACAGAGTCACCTGCCGATGTGTAGTTCCCAGTAGGATTGTCAAGCCATCCATACTAAAAATTTCAAGTAAAAAAACAAAACAAAAAAAAGCATCCGGTTAATTTCAATCTCACCTTTCCTTTGTCATCTTCGGTTGAATTTATCGCCAAAGTTTGTACAATGTTGGCTATCATGTTGATATCGTTAATAGGATTTTTCCTCACATCAAAAATAACGATTTCAGTATCAATGTTCAACAATTTTTGAATCAGGGTGCATCCCCAGTCAGTTATACCGCAGTTTTGCATGTCAATAGCTGTTTGATTTTTTTGTTTTAACTTATTTCTTTTAAAGAACAAAACTCAATACCTTTGATCCAGTAATCATCGAAAAGAACGTCTATAATGTCTTGCAGGCCTTTGTCTCCGATTTCAGGGTTATTGTTGATCGTTACTCTTCGTAGGCCGGGTATTAATTCATTAGGCACCTCTCTGTACCTCAAAGAGTGCTTCCAACACTCACCATATCTGGCGATCTCTTGGGCCTGAAAATTAAATGGGGATAAAGTAAATTTTAATTTGGTAATTTACTAGCCAATAATTTTTCTTTTTTTATTTGTACAATCGTCAAACTTTTGCATGTTTGTTTGAGATGTCATTTGTCTCAAAAAGCAACTGTCATTTACCTTTAATAGCTGTGCAATGCTCGCAGCTCCTTTTTCAGAAAGGTTGTTGTTCGACAAGTCAAGGGACAAGAGGGATGTCGTGTTCTTTATACACCTGCATAGAATTTCACAGTAATCATCTCCGATTTTGCAAGAGGACAAGGACAGATGTTGAAGTGACCTAGTGTACTCCAACGCCTACAAATTAAAATTAATAAGTTCCATTTTGAGAATTGTATGAAGAAAGATTTTGGTATTCCTAGTAGCAGAGGCCCAAGGAAGATATTCTGCCTTGGGAGCTTTTACTAAACAAAATATCAAGCCTGAGTAATCAAAGTTCATTGCTTTGCTTTTCATTCTATTGCCTCTACTAGTTTGGAACTTCTAAGATTTTTCCCATTTGCCATAAAATGAAAAAAATCAATTTGTGCAGATAACATTTGTCTTTATTTTGTATGAAAAGTCATATGTTAAAAAGGATAAATTAGTGAAATATCGATATTGGCTTACCCCACTCAAAATTTCAATTGGTTCTCCTTGCAATGGTAGCGTTTGCAACTGAAGGCACATAAGCGCCCGCGACTGGGATAAACATTCGGACAAAGCGTTCATTAGCTTAATTAATATGTACTTAGTGAAGATGGCAGGACCTTTGGTAAAGTCCCTCGCTTTTCTCTCGCAGTTTATTTTGTCAGCCATGACTGAAACAGTTTCAGGTATTAGTGCAAATGAATTTAATTACAAACCTGGTCCGACTCACCACACGTCGAATACAGACGACTTCTTATCCCGATGAAATGGAGGAACTTGTCTCCGCTAATAGCCTTTATCAACGGAATCCAGTCGTGGCACTTGATCCTATCCCCGACGAATGAAAGGACATTACGAGGCAGATGTACTTTGATATTCCGCAGCGGTTCTGTGTGGTGCACTTTACAGGCATACTCGTATTTGTCGGAAAAACTGCTGCACGTTGACCAGTTTGTGTTAAAACTTGCTACACTCCCTAAATTTAAAAAAAAAAAATGGATGACAATTTTAAGAAGACAACACATCAAAAGATTTTTTTACTCACCGCTCTGACTGCTTGGCCGACTGCTCACGCTAAGCCTACTGCTTCCACAAGATATAACTGAGTCTGGCATGTCGAATTTCAAACAAATGCTCTGACAAAGGAGATAGTCAAAAATATATATTAATCGACTAACTATTAGGAATCTAAATCATGAATAATCATTAATTAAACAACAAAAGTGTAAACCTGGTGTTTTTTAAGTATGATTGTATTTAGGAAAATATAATTTTACCATATGAGTGTGCTTCCTTAAAACAAAGAGTAAATTGAAAAAATAAATAACAAAATGCTTGACAAAAAATAAAATAAGTAAATAATAAAATTATCCATGATCTTCATTTCTCCCTGGTTTTGTCTGTCAGACTCATTTGCATTCCCTCTTTCCTCATTGGTTCATTTGCCAAATTAAATACTTACAAAATTACTTTCAAACTGTTTAAGACTGATCACTGAAATAGCAAATTGCAGAAATGTTTCTGATCAATTACGATTAAATTCGCAGACCTCAGTATTTGAAAATTTTATGGATGGAATAAAAAACCAAAAACGCTGCACAAGGAGACTCAAACATATAGCAGGAGCAATTCTTGCCTCCAGAGAAAACACACAAGATCTCCCACTTTTATTGTGTACAAAATGAGAATCAGATTCTGGAGATGCAAAGAAATAAAACCAGATCTAAGGAGAAGCTGTTAAAAATTTTGGAGAGAATTAAAATACACAAGATGACTATAATGGTGCTAGACAAAATGAGGGGAAATCGTCTGTGTCAGATTGAAGGGGTCATAGATAACAGAGATCTTTGGGAGAAAAGCAACCCCAAATTAGGAATCTTCATATGGTAGTGATAGATCAAAGAAGACAAGGTAATTGTAGGGGTAAAAGGGGCGAACTGTACCTTAGCAAAACCCTTCGGGTTGTTTATACTATCTTCAAAGCTCAGGACCATGCAATATAACTGTTCACAGGAGCTAACAGAAAAAATATGAAATGTGCACATACTCTCAAACAGTTAGACAGCTATAAAGCTCCAAACCAGTCTGAGAATGCCTAAATTTTCTAATAGCCCTAGGAAAAATGACTAAAGTTAGCACAAGAAGGAAATGAACAGGCTTACCTGAGAGCATGCTAATCTTATTCATCATTAGTGCTACAATTTGTTACTGGGTCCTGGCTGCCTCAATAATTTTTTTCTCTGTTGCTCCCTGTCTCGAGCGTTTTGAAAACACTGAGTTCTGACAGAACCGCTTACACAATTCATTCACCTTAGTTTTTGGTCTTCTTCGTTTTCTCGCATGATAAAATGTCTAATCAAGGGGTTGAAAAGACCAGACTCTGCTCACAGGATATTGGCCGAAGATGGTACAGAGGAAATACTAGATTCAGATAACTCAAGTGTTAATTTGCAATCAGTTCCCAGGCGTCGTAAAAATACGGGAGAGGAGCTGCCTACAAGTTTGGAAGTTCGGTGGTACAGGCCTTTTAAAGAGGAGTGCTAGCAGGCTTTATAGATAGGCTAGATATGACCTATACGGCTACAGAAAGGGCAAGAATTGCTAATGCCTCCTCGGGTAAGAATCTTCCGATTCTCCTTAGAGAAACCCACAACATGTAGGAAAGGTCTGGGTCTAATTTGCCAAAAATAGACAAAGACTCAAATGTGTAGTTCATAGAGGCCGATCAGCCTCTCGTTGTTCATCCCTGGTGAACTTTAATGGCATAGAGAGAACCAGCAGAGACAAGCCTGTCTGAACAGAAACTTCCAAGAAAAAAAAGAAGCTGCATCTTTTGTTGATCTGAAGTCCTGTACAAGCTGAAATTCTTACTCCTGGAAGAAGAAAAAGCCTGAAGAATACACACACCCTTAATAAAGCTTTGTGATTTGATAAAAAGCTTAATCTTTAAACAAGTAAATTGCACATTAGGCTAATACAAATTATGAATGGTGTAGTGAGTCTGTTGTTTCTATTAATTTGCTAGTCAGAGCAGTAATGGATTATAACACAATTAATAATACTGCTCCCATTACTTAAATTCAACAAGTAAACAAGAACTTTTAAATCTTTGTTGTAAATTAACTTACTGTGAGTAGGTACTATCTTTTTAAAAAGATTAAGGTAGGCTAATACTGGTCATCAAAAGTACGTACTGAACAATTAGGCCCAATCCAAATTATGTATAATTTGCACTGATCATAAGATCTTTGTTCTTTGATGTTATAAGCTCAAATTCAGAGTTCTTGCAATATAACTTTTGTATGTTAATAAATTGACTCTGATTATTAAGCAAATAGTTGCATATGGGTGCCAGACATATGTCTTGAGGATGGACAAAAAGGTGGATGTCCAGCCTTCTGACACTAAAAATGCATTAATAAACATGATTTTTAAAAAGTGGCAGCATCGATGTGCCGGGGTCGAAAAAAAAGCTCTCATGTTTCAATTGTCGATGGGTGGCCCTCAAAGATCACCCACTTAAGAATAAGCCATAAGATGTTGACACACAGATTACTTACTCCTGGGCCAAAGCCCACCTGTCCAGAATGTAAGAGAAAGGTTGCTCAACTCAGTCCCACATAATTGGAGGGTACAATTCCCTGGCTCCTTGTAGAGAGCGTGTAGGAACACTAACCGATTTGAGAATTGATCTTGAGCACATCAGTGAGTATCTCCCGAGAAAGTTGGCTTTTTTATTGTATATAATACTTTACTTGTGTATGTTGAGACTGAATGTATTTATTAGTGTGAAAGTATAGCATGAGAGGGGATTATGGCGGAATATTTAGGACCCCATTGACCCTCGATTAGATTAGTTATATAATACTAGAGGGTAATGGAAGAACATTGAGTACTCCACCACCTTGACTTTGTACTGCTAGCCAGGGTGGGTGATCTGCTCTACGCTCTTGTGTATATATTTGCAAATCCATGTGGAGAATTGGGCTTAAAGTATTTCATTCTCCTTCGAACCTGTCTCTTGCTAATATGTTTATAAATTTCATTTATTCTATTCAACAGGTAATTTCAGAGAGCTTGTCGACCTCCTTCACAAATCAACTTCTACCGAGCTGCTCATCAAGAATGCCCAGCACTTGGATACCGTTTTGGAAACTTTCGACCTCCAATGTCACTCCCTCGCTATGCTCGAGGTTTTTATTATTTATTTTTAGCTTTTATTCCATTTTTTGATTTTTTTACGTGTTTATGTTTAGGTTCTTGGCGTCAAGTTATCCTACCCACCACAGTCCGTACCGCCGTCAGGCTCTCAAACCCAAGCAGCCGATTACCAAGAGATCCTCTTCACCCAGGTTCAGGAGTTCATAAACGGCTGTGTGGCCCAGCAGATTAGATTTTCGCCCGGTTCATGTAAGCAATTTGAAATTTGAAAAATTAAATTGTCTATATTAATTGTTTTATGTTTCATAGATGCTGAATTGTGTCATATTATCACTAGACAATTAATCGAAGCTAAGTCACCTATAAGAGGCATAGAGTTATTATCGACGGCGATTAGAAAACTTCAGACCCACCCATCCGAATTAACATTAATACATGCCGATCTTTGTCAACTTTGCCTTTTGGCCAAATGTTTTAAACCAGCTTTAAAAGTGCTTAATCAAGATATCACTTCTATTTCAACCACAGATGAGGTAACAGATTTATTTTTAAAATAATAATAATAATAAAATTAAAAAAAGGATTTTTTTATTATTTTAAAAATTACAGGGTGTCCAGTTTGAATCAAAATATTTCCTTTTGTATTATTATTACGGTGGAATGATATACACCGCTATGAAAAATTATGATAGGGCGCTGTACATGTTCGAAGTCGTGATCTCGACACCGGCGATGGCCGTGTCTCACATTATGCTAGAAGCTTATAAAAAATACATATTGGTTTCGCTCATACTTCATGGGAAAGTAGGTAGTTATGATGTTATGTTGAGGTGTTATTAATTTTTTTTTTTTTTTAAAGGTTTTGCCAATGCCGAAATACACATCACAAATCGTCGGAAGGTTCATGAAACCGCTTAGTCAGGCTTATCATGACCTCGCAGTCGTCTACGCTACAAATAACACTGAAGAATTAAAATTAGCAGTGAGCAAATACGCAGAAACGATCACACGGTGAGACCCAAATTTTGTTTTACAATTTTTACCCCCCCGTCACGATCTGAATGTCAGTTCACTCTCAGATCACATAGCTAACCCCCTCGCTCTACCTCATAATTTTTTTTTAGTGATAACAATATGGGTTTAACGAAGCAGGTGGTCTTCTCATTGTACAAGAAAAACATTCAAAGGTTGACGAAAACGTTTTTAACGCTTTCCCTCTCGGACGTTGCAAGCAGAGTGCAACTGAACGGGCCGAGTGAAGCTGAAAGATACATCCTGAACATGGTATCGTACCGATTCAGCCATGGTGTCCAGTTTGAATCAAAATATTTCCTAAGTAAAGAGTAAATTCTCTTAAGTCTAACGATATGATTTTTTCCCCCCCAGATCGATGAGCGGGAAATATTCGCGACTATCAATCAGAAAGACGGCATGGTTATATTTCACGACGATCCCGAGAAGTACAACAGCCCTGGGATGCTTTGTAAACTCGAGGATGAGGTACGAGGAATTTTTCTACACAAAATCAAATCGAAACACTTATACATTTCATTTTTATAGATGACGTTGTGCACGGATTTAGACAAGAGGATTCAAAAGATGGAGGAAGAGATACTCGTGAACCCCCAGTACGTCAAAAAGGCATGCGGAACGACCGAAGATGATCTGACCCAAGGTACGAAGCTCAACTACATCGTTTGAATCCACCAATACGTATATTTCAAAAAAATTGTTTTATCTGTTTTTTATTTGTCTTCTTCTTTTGTTTGTTTGTTTTTTTCGATTGTATGCAGGTATGTAATATCGGGGATAGTTGAGTACACGTCAAAGCGAGCGGTTGTTACTTATTGAAAAGAAGTTATCGCGAAAACAGGCCCGGTAGAGAACTTATCAGAACATTTAGAACAGTGTACATTATTTTTTTTTTAATATAAACATTATATTATCTCTGATATGATATAAAAAATTATATAAATTGTTTGTTCAGATGGATTTTGTTCATTTTATTTCCACCTTTCATTTTTTTTCTTTGTGAACCTTTCATTTATTGTAGATTTTTTGTATATATATATATATATAATGTTCGGAAAACATAAAGCAGAGCACAAAGTTGTTTAAAAATAAATAAATAAAAAACTAATATCTAGTCTTGCAATTATGTAATGTAAAAATAAACCAACAATTTGACCATTTTTATAGCTAGAATTGTGCAACGGGAATGAAAACCAGAGAATTTTACAAAATGATTTTTTTAAATTATAATTATTATTATTAATTAAAAAACATGAAATCAAATATAAATTTTCTATACAATTATGTACAATTTCTTTTTCACCCGACCCTTTTAAAAAAATAAACTACATTCTCCCGAAGCGCTTTTGTTTGAAGTTGGTCGGCAGTTTTTCTTTAAGTGTCACAGGGCTGATTTCGACTGCGATCATTTCATCTTCACCAAGCATACCAAAGAAGACAAGATGCTGAAAAATACATTGTAATGTATTAACAGTTTTTGTTTTTTTTTAACATCTTTTACCTTGTATTTCTTGATAACGTGGAACGCCTGTTTAGGGCTGTTGTTGAGAGGGTGTTGATTGCTATTTTCTAAAATGTCAGTCGAGACATCGCTACCTCCGGAGCTCAGCCGAGGGATTTTTGCCTCTGTTTTTGGTATCTCCTTTATTTAAAATTAAGTCAGATGTGATTTTTTTTTTTTTTTAATTAAATTTACCTTCTGTTTATTGATGATGAGTATTGTTGAATCATCATTCAACATTATGATGTCTTTGTTTTTCGGATCGAAGGCTATGCTGTGCACAGGGAAATTACGCGAGAGCCATTGCTTCGGGTGCTGGTCCTGCAGTTTCCGAGAGAATCCTGTGTATTTCTTTTTATGCAGGGAATATTCAACAAGCTGAAACCAAAAAATTAAACCCTTATCAAAATCTGTTATGCAAATTTGGAGTAAACAAAAAATTTAATAACTTATAAACAAGTTTTTTGCTACCTTATGATCTGCATAGACAGCAACTAGAAGATCGGTTTCGGGCTGAATTGCCAGAGCTGTAATCGAACAAGCGTATCTCGGCAGTTTAGCATGAACCTAATAAAAATGATAAAAAACTTTAAATAGGCCTTTTTTTTTATTGTGTGCCACTCTTTTTTTATTCCTAATTGTTAGAAATATAAAAGTCTTATATTAAACATAAATTTATTTCTCAATAAAAACAAAATATGTTTGACTTATTTCTACAGCTAATATTAAAAAAGCTATTGTGTATAATTCAATTTTTTTTTTTAGATGTAAATGTTCACTCGTTCAGTTATTCATTTAAATAAAGGTATTTTTGAGAAAGGGAAAGAGAGACTTGTTAGTAAGATTTGGTATAAGGATGAGGAAAAGAGATGGACCGCTATGAATGAGAAGAGCCAGAAAAACTTTGAAGAAGTAACAGAGAAAAGAAAAAGAAGAGATTTTGAACAAGGGAGGTGAGAGAGAGGAAGTGAAACAAGATAACATTTTGAAAAAAACAATTGAAAAAGAAAGAAACAAAAGGGAAACTTTTTAACAAAGAGAGAGGGAGAAAACGATATGTTTTCAATAAGGGAGAGAAAGAAAGAGATCGGGAGGAGGGGTGATAAAGCAGAGTTGGATGAATGTATAGATAGAGAGAGGGGATTAGATTATACAGGAGCCGGCCTCTTTACGACTTGTGCACCGCGACCAGTATTGGTCATCTCCATTTTTTATCTAGAGATCCTCATTGAGCTCGAGGGATTTTACCAGCCCCCAAAGCTTTTTCGAGGGCTATCGTGTGTATCCTTCAGGCCCTGACTTTTCCTCTTCATCAGATTAGGAATCTCAACCTAAATAGACTAACAGAAGACGTGTTCCGCTATTTCTTCTTCTTGGCAATCCTGTCACTTCAAGCCTATATATATGCCTCCGAAGTCTGCAGTTGAGAGAGGGGGTATCAATTGAAGGAGAGAGAGAAAAAGAAGAGAAGAGATGGTTAGATAGATAAAGAGATAATGTGGGGGAATGAGAGATAAAGAGAAAGAGATGGTTAGATAGAGGAAAAGCAATGGATGGATAGCTAGATAGATAAAGAGAGAGGGGAGAGCGTTTGAGGGAAAGAAAAATACAGAAATAGAGAGATGGAGCGACAGAAAAAAATAAAGAGATGGATTGATAGAGAGTGAGAGGAAAGGATATAGAAAGAGATGGTTGGATGGATAGAGAGAAAAGGAAGGAAGAGTCGGATAGACAGAGATTGAGGAGTGAAGGAGAGAGAAAGAGATATTGAGACAGAGAAAGAAAAATATAGATAAGAAGAGGGAGAAAGAAATAGAAAAAGAGAAAAAAGATGGGTAGCGATAGAATGGGGGGAGAGATAAAAAAAGAATTGGTTGGATAGATAGAGATTGAGAGATGAAAAGGAGAAAGAGATAGATAGAGATTGAGGGAAGAGAGAGAAAGAGATGGTGAAAAAGTTAGGAAGAGACAGAGTGCAGGGAGAGAGAGACAGAGAAAAGTTAGATAAAGAAAAAGAAAGGGAAGAAAGAGACGGATGAATGGATACATAGAGTGAGAGAGAGAAACAAAGGAAAATGTTTTAAACAAATGAGAAAGAACAAATAAAAGAGTAGATTTTGAACACATTAGTGAGAGAAAAAAACAAAACAAAAGAGAAGATTTTGAACAAGTAAGAGAGATTGATTGATAGCGTTTTATTTAGCCACTCAGAATTAGGTCTTAAGTTACTGTGCTTAGTCATACGAGTAACTAAAATTGAGTGATGAGTTAGAGGGAGAAAGTAGACTTTGAACGTTTAAGAGAGAGAAAGTCAGATATAAAAGTATAAAAAAAGTACAAATTTTTTAATTAAGTAATGTAGGACTTTCAATTGATACCTTTCCTTCTTTCCAGACCAAAATATTACTATGAAGATCGGCAGCAACTAGAAAATCTCCATCTGGCGAGAAGAGGATGAATCCAACAGTACTTGTAAAAGCTGAAATATACGTTACAAATTTTGTTTATAATTATTTTTATTTAAATGCAAGGTCAAATTACATTTTTCTTTAAGAGGATAATAAGATTCCAATATATTTGTCGTCGATAAACCAACGATGTGAATGTGCGCCTCGACGGTTGCAACCGCTAATTTCATCGAGTCATCTGAAAAAGCCAGGCAGTTTGACATCAAGTTCTTTTTCGTCTGTACTTTAACCCTGTTCAGCCTCGCTACATTCGATTCCTGAGGCAAAAGAAATATTTTTAAATAAATTTTTTACAAAAATTTAATACATCTAAAGACAGATCGCTTACATATTTAATATTGAAAAGGCGAAACCTGCCGAGGGATGAGCAAGCGAGCCAGGCGCCATCGCTCGACAAAGAGGCACACTTGATTTTAGCCTCGTTTGACGTCTTCCACTCGAGCATTTTGACAGGGTTGGGATTTTCAAACTTCCAGATCAGCAGGCTTGTTGGATAACGCAAAAGCATGCTTCGCGACTTCGGAGCGATACACACAGCAGGTGGCTTTAAATAAATTATAAAAAGTATATATTTATAAATGTATTTAATAATTAAAATACTTTTTAAAAAAATACCTGTAATAAAGGAGGATATTTAACAAGAAACTTAGGAGGATAGCTGCTCATCGCTAAATAACCATCAACCCCTGAAAATGAAATTTCACAAAATACTTAGCCTGGGCTTAAAAATACATAAATAAACATAAAATATGATTATTTAATTAAGTGGATTTTTCTTAAAGAGATTAATGCACAAATTTTAATACAATCATACCTGCAGAAAACAGTTTATCATCGCATATAACCAAACACTTGACGTCATGGTCATGGATGACCCTCTGGATTGATTTGACCCACTTTCCTCTTTCGTCTGAATCCCTCACTTTGACCCTTTCATATGAGGCGATTAGCGGATCCACACCTGAAAGTGTTAATATTTATCGTTTTTTTTTTTGTTTGTTTTTTTGTAATTAATTGTAAAAAAGCTCACCGGCGCAGTAGACAGTGTTTTCATCCTTGGAAAGACAAAGGGACAAAACGTCAGCCTTATGGCTTTGATAACTCGTAATGCTTATACCCGTGTTACCATCCCAAAAACACAATTTGCCCCTGAAATAATTTATTTTTTATTTTTTTCTTCTTCAAATTACGATTTAAAATACCTCGAGTCGCCTGAGATGACCGTGAAATCTTCTGTGATGGCAACAGACCAGACTATCGTTTCTTTGTTATTCATCGCCCGGCCCGTAACCATCCTTTGTATCGCATGACCCGTCGATACGTTCCATATACGCACTGTATCTACGGATCCGGTGATTATATGTTCACCCTTTTTATCCCAAACTAAGCATATAATTCTTCCTAAAAGTATGAATGTTAAATTAATTTGATTAATTTTTCTTTTTATCTGTCTTGGTTGATATGAAAAAGTTATTCAAACCCACGACCTTCAGCCGTTGTTTAGCCATATTAGGCGAAGGTCATGGGTTCAAATCCCGCTCATGATACTAAATTTTTCATCTCAACCAAGAACTTAAATAAAAAGAATAATTGAAATAATTAACACGATCAATTATGACCGCTAAACACATGCGATAAATTATTTTTTATAAAGTGTGATTACTTGAAAATTTACCTTCTTGTTTATCTAGCAGTTTATTGTATATCAGTTCATCACTTAAATCAAATATGTTTATAAACCCATCTTCTGTACCAGCCTTAAAAATAAAAAATAAAAACTCAATACGTTGTTCTAACAAAACCAAAATGGGAAAAAACTCACTGCTAATTTTTTATTTTCTTTACAAATCCCGATGCACCAACTTGATCCAGAAGTCAATGGATGCATTGACTGAAAGTGGGAAACAAAATTAATGGAAATTACGTTTTTTTAAAAATTCAATTACCTTCGGCTGTTGTGTGAAGAGATCATACTCGATTACTGAGCCCTGGAGTCCGACGCTGAACAGCCTCCCTTCGTACCAGGCGAGCCCTTCAATCGTCCCGAAAGTCTCGAGGATTGTCTGCTGTATGTGTGGCGAATGTGACAAGTTCCACAATTCGACTGTATCATCTGACCTAAGGGGTAAACACAAATTTTATTTGCGTGTTGTTTGAAGCTGAGATATTGTCACAGTTTTTTAATGTAATACGGGACAGTTTATAGTACCAGAGGGCAATGTAAGTTATTTAGGGGACGTTATGATCAATATTACTGACACTATCAGGATCTCTTTGAGGGTTCCACTCTCAATATTGCAAAACCCTACGCGGTCAATATTATTGTCAACAATTGTACCAATAAATGTGCTCAGTACGTTTGTTTCCACCATAAGGACAAGTGAAAATGTGTCTTTCCAAGTGAATTTTCATGGCGTCGTGTGTTTTGAAAAAAGGTTGTGTAGCCATAATTATGCCTATGGGAAGTATTCGTCGTGTTCGGCGAAATCGATAGATGAAAGAGTGGTTGAAGAAACGTGAAGAATATTCTCATATGAGGCTGCTGAGGGAAATCAGATTCATAGATGCGGAAGAATTTCACAATTATTTCCGAATGGAAGAAAGTACGTTCATAAAATTATTAAAGATGGAGGAACCACTCTCAAGAAGGCAGAAAACAAACATGAGAGAATGCATCCCTGTTAATGAGAGTTTAGCCTTAGCCCAGAGGTACTTAGCTACAGGAAGATATTTTGAAGATTTGAAGTTCTCTGTCATCACGCAACTATCAGCGAAAGATATAATTGTAACGTGAAAAACTCTTGTTCATATACTATGAGACTACATGAATGTAAGTATTTTAAATGTATTTTCCAGATATCTTCCTACTTACCTAAGTACATCAGACTGCACAAAACCCTTCACTAACTATATGAAAGTAGTTAGCATGGCAGTAGAAGTAGGGAAACACTGAATAATTTAAAGTAAAAGATGATAGTAATATTATGTAGACTAAACAGCAAAAAAAAATTATTTTAAGCAAAGAAATAAGTCAATAAAAATCCTCAATCTGTGAACGTGTTGAAAAATGTCGCTGCTGATAAATCCTGATGTTGGTTGTTAATAGTTGTGGCGGGTTATCACCAATGAACAATTATGATGGGTTATCATGGTGAGTAGGAGAAGAGTAACTAAATTTGGATACCACACGACTTGGTACTTAGTGGGCTTGGACTTCGGCACACTTCGTTTATTTTTATGGACTTTTTATGTCGTTTTATTACTGCATTTACAGTTTGTACAATTCCACAGTTCGGGAGGTAGTTCAAATTGCTCAATAAATGTTCGTCTTCCGGGCGTACAGTCCACTCGTAGCGTACATTATTTCTTCCAACTGACTCACTTGCCGCTTCAAATTCTTCAGACATCTCAAGGTCACTCGTACAATCCAGAATAATTTGCACAAAAATCACTTTCGTTCCTATGAAAGCGCGGAGTATTGGCCATATTATTGAATATGCCCGTGGTACTCAATAATATTGACAATATCCCCTTCACTTTTAAATATTGACGCCCTTAGATCAGAAAATCTGGATTTGATCAATATCGACCGTCAATACTCTTCTTTTCACCTTACATAATCAATATATACTGTATTGTCAATATTATTGATCGTGTAAGGGCCGCATATGAAGTAACGTTGCATATTTTTCTGTTACCTCAAACCTCTTTGAAGTCTGAATATTATTTTACTTCAAATATGACAACCTGAATGAATACGTCCAAAATAACCAAGTTATAAGTATAACATGCCATAAATGGTGTTTCCCCTGAAAAAATGTTTTACTGCTTACCTAGCTACAGCCAACAGATCAGAGAAATCATCGAAGGCCATACACTTGATTCCATTCGTCTCTAAATTATAAAATCGTGTCGTGTGGACGTTCGTTGTCATTTTTATGCTGGATGCATACGAAATACGACCTGAGGTTCATGCGACGATGAGAACGAGGATAACCAACCCACAGCACCACGTGTTGACAACTATAACCACAAAATAACCTCATCCTCGTGATTAGAGAGAAGCTGGTACAAATTCAAAATTTCTCCTTAAAAAAAAAATTATGGTTCTGGACAATTTAAAGTTAAAAATATAATTTGTAGGTAAAAAAGCTGATCACGTTATATGTTAACATGTAAATGAGGTAATCTGTGATCCGCTCAATTATTTAATTAACTTAGCTTTTATAACTTATGATTTTTCCTTCTCGAAGGTGGGATAATAGGTCATCTCAAGCTTTTATAGATGGCAAGTTTTCCCTGTAAACTTAAGCTATGTAAAGTATCTTCTGTTTGTTTTAAAAAGTCAGAGAAATTTAATGTTCTTTTAATCACAATATTGACAGAACTGGACTAGGAACCATTTCTTTGATAAATTTTGTTATAAAAATAATATTTAATGTTACAGAAAAAAAACATTCATAATAATGACACTGTGATCTACCTAGGGCGCTCGGCACAGTTAATCACATATTTCTGTCGGAAAAGACACCACTTTGGCATTGGTGGCAAATCGTCGAAATTTTATGAAAACTGAGTGCAGCTTTGCGACATATATAGAGAGAAATTCCTTATGAAATTAGTGACAACCTTATTAACAGTATGCCTAACAAGTGCACATTGGTAGTAATTGTTTAAAAAAAAAATTATTGTATCCAATAAACAAAATTATGGAATTAAACCTTTTATTTTAAGATCTTTTTAGTTGTTTCTTTCAGGAACTTACAACCATTTCAAAATATATTTTTTTTATATCCATATCAACTTTGGGGGCACCAGCCTCCCCTCATCAGTCTACATAGTAAAATTGACACAGTTACATATGAACAATTTTTTCCATATAATTTTTTATAAAACAGTTACATGATTAAGATGCTTAAACAGACAACTACCTGGTTTCAATTTTAGAACTGCATAAACTTAAAGGTTCTTATGCTATTTTATGTAAAATATGTTGTATACCATTATACTGATTAGCCTTATTATTTGAGTTATGAAATATTCTTTCAATTCCACGTGTTGCACTGTTAATGTACACGTTCTTTTATTATAACTAATTTTACCATAATTACTTTTATATTTACACATTTTCAAAAAACTTTTATCCAATTACATTATTAAGTTAATTATTATTATTTTTCATAAAACTGTTATTTTTCACATTTAATTTACCTAACTATTTAAAATTGTCTTATTGTTGTTTTTTATACATTTAAAAAATGTTTTTATATAGTTTACATATTTTATTTTTGTCTTTTTGTATGTTAATATTATTGTCTTCTAAATTTATATAATTTTCTAGTTCTATTAGCTAGGCTTCATTCTTTTCTTTACCTAGAATCGTAACATCAACGAAATTTTTCTGTTTTAATTTTGTTACTGTCTCTTTTATAGAGGGTAAAATGTTATGTACTTTTTCACTAATGTACATGTAGAAATTTTTTTTTTAATATATTTTCTCTTTTGCATGCTTTTATTAATTTTTCAGTTAGGACTTCTACATAAAACAATCTAAATATATTCTGGTACTGTATTATTTATTTCATTTTTATCTTTTGTTTGTTATTTTTGTTAGTTGTTATACAATATTGTAATACGCTATCTTTTGTTTTTCTGTTAATTATATTTTTTAGGGTAATTGTTTATTCTGAAGAGCTTTTTAATTGTTTTCAAATTGCACTTGTGAAAAGGTATATCACATAGCTCAAGCATTTTTTTGACCATATGTTAATGACTGTTAATTTTTTGCGTCATTGGATGTATTGAGTAAAAATTTAATATGCTATAAGAACATTCAGGTGTTTTATACACATTAAAGGGTAATTTTTGTTCTGAATTTCTCATTTTTCTCAAGTCTAGGAATGGTAATGCTTTATTATTTATAGGTGGCAATTTCTTACATTGGTTCATTGACTATTTATCTGGCAGAATACAGGTGGTTGAATGGTATTCAGTCAATGGCCATCAGTGTAACTTCTAGGGTATCTCAGGGTGGCCATCTTTCACCTCTTCTCTTCAACATTTTCATCACGACATTGTCAAGTGTTTTTCAAAGTATATCTTTTACTGATCATATAGATGCAATTGTAAATAAAGCCTTAAAACTGCTAGAATTCTCAAAAGGATTTCAACAATATAAATTGTATAAAAACTATACTTTTCAATTATTCGCTCTCTTCTTGAATTCAACTCTCCAGTTTGGTCTCCAAGTTATCTCAAATACATCAATAAACATGAAAAAGTTCAAAATAGGTTTTTAAGATTCTTACCGTATAAATTATACTTAAACTTACACTATATAAATTGTGATGAACTAAGAACTGTGATGGAAATTATTCCCCTTAAAATAAGAAGAGATATTTATGTTGTTATATTTTTAAATAAATTGTTAAATTTTATTACAGAAAGACCTACTCTTCCGCAACGAGTTTATTTAAATGTTCCATTTAGATTAACTAGACTTAAAAATATTTTTTCTATCTAATTTATGATTGTAGTATTAATTTGTAATTCTATTTATTCTCAGCACATATCATCAGTAGGCTCATGAATTCAGTAGAGGTAGAATTCTGTAATAGCTTACAAAACTTTAAAAATAAAATTACATCCGCTTTGAGTGTTGCTCCAACATGTATTGCATGGTATGTAATTTTATTGGATGTACAATGGCTAAAGCCGTGAATAAAGATTATTATTATTATTATTTTGTTATTAACTTTTTATTTTATTTTTCAAAATCCCTTAATTAAAGGGCAGTAAAAAATTTAATTTCTAATCAATTTTTATGCAATTTTTAATCAAAGTGATAGGGAAAGTAAATTTTTGAGCAGTTCAGCGAAGTGATAAGCGGATTTTGATAAGAGGTCTCCACAGGAAAATAGTTCAAATCCCCTCCCCTTTTTTTAAATCACGGCCGTCGAGATCTGAATCGTTTTTCAAATTTGAAAATTTTTCATTTAAATTGCGTCAAGAGGAATTTTCCAGAAAGAGCCTATTTGAATATAAACGTTCTCATTTACCCCGGTACGTGATCGCCCTTCAAAAACAGTCCAAAGTCCATTTTCCATGTTTTCCAGTTTACCCTTCCGCCTTTTTTTTTTCTTCTAATGAAAACCTACTCGAGAAGGCGATTATGTTCGACGTGTGCCGTACTGAGAAGTGAGAACTCTTCGAATATGGGATTTAATTTGCCCTGACAGTCGAATTGAATCTAAACCGCTTTTTTTTTTTATCTACACGGGGCCGATTTACCCTTTACGGGGCCCTGCCGGGGCGTATCAAGTGCTGATCTGGTTTTTCAGATTTTTCAAATTTGCAACGTAAAAAAAAAACAAAAAACAACAACGAACCTGTCGAAAAATCAAATTTTTGAGTTTGAGGTTAAACGACGAGTTTTGTATCGCAGGATACTTGTTCCAACGGGAGAATGCTTCGATTCTCGGATAAGAAGTAAGTTTCATCTAAAAAAATAATAATATACTCGATTAACTGCTTTATATTAACAAACAAAAAAGCATTGCACTGGTCGATTCTTAATCAAATTATCCCCGTTTATTCAAACGTGTTGAAACTTGCAGGGCTTAGGTTTCAACTCTGTATGAAATCTTGACTATTTACGAAGCGAATAATCGTTGACAATGGCTTATAACTATTTTAACCGCAATTTTGACACATCCTGGTAAGAAAATTGTTCTAACAAAGAGATGACAATGTTTGGTTATGTTGTAACATGCATGCGTTTTGTTGTATTCGATTAACAATCTATGTTGTAAGAATGCTACCTGGTTCTATTAAACTTACTGAGCTTACAATTTCTGATATCTGTTTTAACAACCTAAAACTTTTTTGTCCTGTTTTTTAAATATAATAAGTCCTTTGTTGAATTCGGTTGAATTGTAAATTTTTGAATGTTAATCCATTGGTTTAAAACCTTTGGTTGAACCGTTTTTAACTTTTACTGTACATTTTTCTCATTTAAGGATGATGTTCGATGTAATGTTGGATGTTTACATGGTGTTTTAATTGGATTATAATATTGAAAGGCTAATAAACAGTTTAGGACATTCTTCAGTCTGTAATGATCATCTGTCGAGTAATTTTCCTTTGTTTGTTTCACTTGTAGAGAACTAGCTGGTGTATCTTTAAAGATGATGTTTGATGATATATTAAAAGTTTGCATGGTGTTTTCATTGAATTATAATATTAAAAGCTAATAAAACAGTTTGTTACATCGGTCTGTATCCTCTTTCTAGTAATTTCCCTTCATTCACAACCGCAGCAGAAAATTAGCTGGCGTATTTAATTTAAGGATGAAGTTTGATGAAATATTTGAAGTTTGCATGGTGTTTTAATAGCATTATAATATAAGGCTAATGAAACAGTTTGCACCATTCTCCTCAGTCTGTAACAATCATCTTTCAAGTAATTTCCCTTTGTTTGTGTTAACAGTGGAAAACTAGCTGGCGTGTCTTATTTAAGGATGACGTTTGATTGGATATTTAAAGTTTGGATTGTGTTTTAATTGAATTAGCATCCACAATGGAAAACTAGTCAGCGAATCTCCTTGTGACATTCTCCTTGGTACTTCAGATCATCTTTCAAGTCATTTTCCAACTTTCACATTCACAGTGGAAAACTAGCTGGCGTATCTCCTTTAAGGATGATGTTTGATGTTATATTGGAAGTTTGCATGGTGTTTTAATTGAATTATAATATTGTAAGGCTAATAAAACAGTTTAGGACATTCTCCTCCATCCGTTACAATCCTTTTTCTAGTAATTTTCCTTCGTTTGCATCCACGAAAAACTAGTCAGCAAATCTCGTTTAAGGATGATGTTCGATGATATTTTGGAAGTGTGCTTGGTATTTTAATTGAATTATAGTCCAGTGAGATTCTATTAGAATATATTAATGGCAAGGATTGGTGTTAGTCAATTTCTGCAAAGAGGCTTATTCTCTTAGAACCAGAATCAGAGGGCATTTGGTGAGGGTGGAAGTGGCTCCTCTTGGCGTATTCCTCTGAATAGAGAAAAAGCTCATCCTCAACTTAAATATTTTGCATGTGTTGTGAAGAACCATTGGCGGGGACAGCTAAGTCGTATCTAAATGTAGTAATGTATCTGTTCTTACTGGCCACCTTTGTTCCATTAGTATCACTGCCCTTTTTTCTTTAGCCTAATTATAATAATTACCATAAACATTTATTATTTGTTTTGTTTTTTAGTACTATCTCTTGTAGTATATAATGTGCTTCATTATTATTTATTTTTACTTTTATTATTAACATTTACTTTATTTTGGTTTATTTTATTGATTGAGTTATGTGCATTGTAGGTAATCGTAAATAAGTGATGTATATATTTGCTATTATATTTCAGCTATTATTATTCAATTATGTTCTATTATTACAAGACTGAAATTTTAGAAGAATGTATATATATTCTTTTTGTAAATACTAATTATATATAACTTGTAAATACTCAAAAGAGATTTTAGTTATTTAAGTTTACATGCTAGACTCCATCAGATGGTTTTAAACCGTGAGGAACCTCTTTCTTGTTTTGTAATATATTTTGCCGAATTGTAAATTTTGCATATATATTAAAGAATAAAGACAGTAGTAATTGAATTAAAATACTATAAGGCTAATAAAACAGTTTGGGACATTTTCCTCAGTCCATAATGATCCTCTTTAGAGTAATTTTCCTTTGTTCGCATCCACAGTGGAAAACTAGCTGGTGTATCTGGAATACAGTCTGCAAGTCAGCAGGCATTTTACTTTTTTTCTCTTTAAGCATTCCAGCATCAAAATCACTTATTTCATTGTTTTTCTCACTAACCTTCTCACATGGCTCTGGTGGTAGGGTAAGACAATTTTCTTCAAGCTTTTTCCACCAAACATTCGCCCTAAGTCTCCAATCTTTCCTCCGAATTCACTTACCCCTTTCTAAATTCAAAACTTTGTTAGTACACCTTGTAGAATAAGGTTCGAGGTAATTACGACATTGAAAGTTCTTGTCCTTTTTTGAATTTGGTTTAATTGTAAATTGACGACTCAGTTCGAATCTTTACATTCCACATTTAATGCTACTGTTATTGGGATCAACAACCCGATGTCCGAATCACCTCTCCCATTGTTTTTATTACTCGCCTGGCTCATACTCTGTGTTAGCATCCAAATTCCCACCCATTTTATTTATTTAGTGCTTGCCAAGAGCCACCCCAAGTCGCTAACCTTTATTCCAAATTCATCCCTTTAAATTCAAAACTTTTTTTTATCATTGTAGAATAATAATCGCAACATTATTGCTGATAAAGGTCTTACATTTGGGTCGCTGTCATGCATTTACAGATTCATGCAAAATTACATATCTGCGACTAAAAATAACAAATAGGCTACCCGGCCCGACTTCTTCTGGAAGCCTCATCACTAAATTTTGTCAACTGTTAAGTGTCAGAGTTAGCTTCCAAACAGAGTTGTCTGCAAGATGGGTATTTGTTAGGTATGCTTGGTAGGACTGGTGGCGTTATAGGTCTAAAGTTTCTTTGATTTTAGTTGTCATTTTTAGGCTTTAGGTCAGGCAGAGTTATCTACTTTGCTCTGGGTCAGTACTTTCTTCTTTTTCTTCAATTCCCTCATCATTATCACTATTAGACACCAATTGGTGTTTTGTAGGCAGGCCATTTAACTCACCGGATGCCACTATAGTATCAATAGTCTACTGTTAAACTGATAGTGTTAAATGTTGTGTGAAAAATACAACTAAAATTAATAAATCCTTGATAGATACGGTAGTTTCATTTATCTATTGTATTTTTTTTTTTTTGCAACTTTTATTAAAATTCCTTATTTACAAATAAGAAAAAAACATTTAGCCTTACAATATTGTGTGCATGATTTTTACAGTAACATTGGTGGTGGATAATTCCTTTTATTTCTGTTTTACATTTTGAATGTTGAAATATAAATGCGTTCCAGGGGTGAGGAGCACCCTCAGCAGGTCGGGAGGCAAACAATGCCGCAGAGCAGTGTGTCGCAAAGGCTTATGAAGTACCAACAGCAGAGTCACAGCGGCCAGAGCCCACAGGCGCAGGCACAACCGAGCCAGCCGGGCGTCTATTCGCCGCAACATTACCCGATGAACCAGGGTCAAAACGCCCAGATGCAGAACATGCTCAATTACCAGCACATCCAGGGGCAGATGTGCACACCGCCGCCCGTTTATGAAAAAAACAACCAGTTCATAGATCGTGTGTTTACAACATCGCCGACTCTTTCGGTCGGATCATCCCATCTCGCAATCATCAGCCATATCGAAGACGGTCCTTACTCATTCTCAATTCAACTCAAGGTTATCTATTTAAATAATAATTTATTTTTCTGGGCAATTTAACTTTAAAAAAAAATAATATTTTTAGTCTGCTATTGAAGAGGTTCTCCCGCATATCAAAAACGTTTTAAACCAGTATACACCATCTCTTATATCATCTCCTATACTACCAGGTTAATTGTTTATAATACAAATTTATACGGAATGTTGTTTTATATTTTTTGTTGTTTCAGGAACTACCGTTATGGGAAGAAGCAAAACTGATTTGGAATATAGACGTTGTTTTGTTATGAACGTTTATACTAATTCTTGTGTTGTGTATTACATCGATTACGGTAGTTTGGAGGAGCTCCCTTATTCAGAAATTTACCAACTGCCTACAGCGTAATTTTTTTTTATAACATTTTTATTGCATATATTTTATTGTTTATTATTTGCTAAACAGGGCTATAGATATTGCGCCTCCGCAAGCTTTGCGTTTTTGCCTCGCCGAGCTTGAAGATGTGAACATTACGACACTCTCAAAGGAATTCTTTTCAAAGCTTCTCAACCGGCAAGTACACATCAGAGTGACAGAAAGAGAGGGTCCGTTGTACCACTACTGTGACATGCATTTCGAGGGGCAAAACATCAAAGAATTGTTGGTGAACTTGAATTCACCTTTGGAATACACAAATCAATTCCCTCCAAGGTATTTTTTCCAGTTTTTAAATTTGATTTGTTCGATTAATATTGTTTTTTCTTAAAGAGGTCGAGAGATGTCAGTTGTTGTGAGTTATGTTGACAGCCCGACTCAATTTTTTGTACAATACTCCAGTGAGATATCGGTGCTCGGGCAAATACTAGAATCTATGAGATTATACGGCCCTACACAACCACGATTACAGGTCCTAACTTGAATAAAATTTCTACAAATCAAATTATAAATTGTTAAATTGTATCGTTTCAGAACTTGGATTCGATAAATATTGGTTCCCCGGTCGCATGTCTTTTCTCCCAGGATAACCTCTGGTACCGGGGACTCGTCATCGGCGTTGACAGCGATAAAATCAACGTCTTTTTCGTTGACTACGGCAATCGGGACAATGTCAGCGTCAACCAGCTGTGCAACATAAGTCGAAGTCTTGTGAAGAAGTGGAGGAGCCAGGCGGTTGAGTGTTGTCTAAGCGGTTTCGAAAACGCCACACCTGATCCTATACTCGCAAGTCTAATGGAGGAACTAACTTTGGGCCTGAGATTCACCCTTAAGCTGCGTTCCATGCTTAACGGAAACAGGCTCAGTGTAGAGCTTATAAATGATAAAGGGCAGAATATAAACAAGATGATCGAAGAAAAAGCAGAAGCAAGAGGTATCATGCTTTAATTTACAATTTTAATCTTCAATACGTTCATTTTTAATTATTTTTAAGCACTAGAGCTCTCAAAATTAAGCATCTCAATACCAAAAACAAACCTGAACAAAAAGGAATACCAATCTCCACAAGCTGTCAATCTTGGGTAATTATTTATTTGTTTTTATTGTATTTTTAACATCTCTGATTTTATTAAATAACATTTTATAAACAAAAAAGTTATTTTATTTTATCCAATGCCTTCCATTTAAAAAATAAAAAAGGACTCTTCCATGGAGGAAGAAAATTACTTGATCTGAAAGGCAGGCCATGCCTCTATTCTGGTAAATTAAAACAAGCAAAAAAAGAAAAAAATTAATCCATTAAACTCTTAATATTATAGTACACTATTAAAAAAAAAAAAATCATTTCAGTGATTCTGGCGGGAATAGGTGGAATGCAGGAAGGAAGTCAAGTGGCGACAGAGACTCTGAAAACAACAGATTCATCAGGCCTCCTCACAACCAACATGATGATAGATGCGATGATTACAAGCAAAATCGGGGTAGGGCCGAGGGCGGAGACCCTAAGTCAAAATCATCAGTTCTCACAAAGATGAATGATGGTATGAGAGTTTTTATATACAACTGACAAAATTATCTTATAATAAATAACCGATAATAAATATTTTATTGTAGGGAATGACTTGAGAGAAACAGAATCTTCGGAGAATAGCTGGAAGGCTGATAAGAAAACGGATAACTTTTATGAGAGGAAGTACACTGACCGGACTGATAAAGACTCAAACAAGTTTGATAGGAAAAACAGGTACGAGGATCACGAGAACAACAGATTCGGAGAACGTGGAAATGTTAAAGAAGGCCGAGGAGATAAATTCGGCGAAAGAAGAGAAAAATTTGTAGACAGGGATAATAATAAGTACAAGGGCGATAAAGACAGGCAAAACAGGTTCAGCGATCGAAGCTTCCAAGAAGACCGACCGAACCGATTCCACGACAGAAACTTTCAAGAAGACAGGTCGAACAGATTCAACGACCGCAACTTTCAAGAAGACAGGCCGAACAGACACGACCGAAGTTCACAGGAAGACCGGCTGAATCGATACAGTGATCGCAGCTTTCAAGATGACCGGCCTGACAGGAGGGACCGTTATAACAACAAAGCAAGAAGCGACTACTCCGAAAATGACAAATTCAGTGATAAAACAGACAGGAGTAACAGATATGATAAAAATGACAGAACAAACAAAGATGGCGACAACAGGTTCAACAAGGACGGGAGCAACAGATTCAACAGGGATGGAAACAATAGGTTCAACAGGGATGGAAATAATAGTTTCAACAGGGATGGAAACAATAGTTTCAACAGGGAACAGGGTGGAGAACGGAAGCGGTTTGATAAAAACGACAGGCCTCCAAGGTTCAACAGAGACTTCGGAAGTAATAAAAGGTAAATTTTATAAACATTTATTTGATTATTTATGTCTGTAAAATAATTAATCCTTTAGTACAACATATTACATTGAGAGATAAAATAAAGTGGCCACCCATAATATTTTTAATTATTTCTTAGTCAATCCTCCATTGATTATAGTCCGTTTTAAAAGATTATAGGTAAATAAGACAGATAAAATATTCCATTTATGTTTATAGTTGGATTCTGTAAATAAATTTTTTAAATCCCTAAATTCACTAATTTCGTGGTCCGCTTGACCAATTAATATATTACAATTAATTAAGGTTTTTAGTTGAGATAAAAAAGTCAATGGCACGAGCGGGATTCGAACCCACGATCTTCGGCTAGATACGCCGCTGCTCTACCACTTGAGCTATCGTGACCTCGATCCACTCGGACACCAACTTCCCATCTCAACCACACCTTTTGAATTTTCCCTCCTTTTTGCCATTTTTCAAATCATGTAATCGGATTGGATTCTCGACGACAAATGAAATGGCCACGGAGAGCTTTAGTGAAGTGTACTTCATTTTAAATCATTAAATTCACTCATTTCGTGGTCCGCTTGACCAATTAATATATTACAATTAATTCATTAAGAGAAATGGCAAAAATGAGGGAAAATTCAAAAGGTGCGGTTGAGATGGGAAGTTGGTGTCCGAGTGGATCGAGGTCACGATAGCTCAAGTGGTAGAGCAGCGGCGTATCGTCCGCTTGACCAATTAATATATTACAATTAATTAAGGTTTTTAGTTGAGATAAAAATTTGTCACCGAGAATCCAATCTGATTACACGACATTTGAAAAATGGCAAAAAGGAGGGAAATTCAAAAGGTGGGGTTGAGATGGGAAGTTAGTGTCCGAGTGGATTGAGGTCACGATAGCTCAAGTGGTAGAGCAGCGGCGTATCTAGCCGAAGATCGTGGTTTCGAATCCCGCTCGTGCCATTGACTTTTTTATCTCAACTAAAAACCTTAATTAATTGTAATATATTAATTGGTCAAGTAGACCACAAAATTAGTGAATAAAAAAAAAAAATTAAGTTTACAATTTATTTGAGTTCAGATTCAGCTAGCATTGCCAAACAATGTTTTTTAAATTAAGAATGGCACTGTTGGCGGAGTATGAAAATAATCCATAGCACTTATATTTTTCTTTAAAAATATCCGGTAAGCGACAAAAAATAAAGGTTATAACTGTTGCAAATATTTACTATAAAAATGAGGATGGCCATTTTTGTGCATCTTAGCCAATGCGTAAAAAAAAAATTTGACCTATAAAAGATACTTTTACTATTATCCTATGTGAAATATACAGTCGACTCTTGTTAATTTGAAACTTGATAATTTGAAATTCTTGGTAATAAGAACTCTTCAGCAGGTCACTTAAGTAAATCGAAAAAATTTTGTGCATTTTTGATACACACAAAAATACAAAATATTTTTCATAGCAGCGGGAGAAAAAGTATGCTTTTAATTGAAATGGGGCCACTTCCTATCTTTATACTTATCACATTTTCTTTGCACACGACACACATTCTATATTCCTCTAACTTCCACGTATTGTTTACTTTCTTACAGCCTAAAGTTTCTTCGAATATTCTCTAGTTTATTATGTTCTGCAGTCAATGTTTTGTTTAATGAGTTCTTAGCACTGGTCACTTAAGAAAATCATTTTAAAAAAGGCGACATTAAAACAAAAACTTTTTTTTTAATAATGCATAACAGTGTTCAATTTTACAGTTGATCTATTTCCATTTTTCATTATTTTTACTATGTTTTATATAATTACAAATTAATTAATATCTTAGAAAATGCATATCAACTCTTAACAAGTTTTTTTTCTTACCTCTTGATAATTTGAATTATTTTTGTGTTCTTTTGAGTTGAGAGAATTACCAAGATTCGACTGTATTTACCCAAGTGACATTTTTATTTATTGTATTATTTTTTTCCAGTTTTGGAGAAGAAACCAATAAAAACTTTGAGCCGGTTGTAAATGTAAAAGGTAATTACACTTATTTTGAAATACAGTGCTCCCTCCTTAAACACATTCAACACGGGTCTGTTTTTTCTGAAATCCCTCGTTATGGGATATGTTTGTTAAACATATTTTTTTAGTAAATGATAACAATTATTTAGGCATTTAAACATCATATTTGTCATTGAAATTTCGAAAGACCAACAAAGTTGGTTGGAGGTAAATTTACCTCCTCTGAATAACACTTATAAATCCCATCTTTTTAAAAAAGAATTGAACTCCACAGTCACTCCATCATTCATAATTTCTACCTGTAAATCCCAGTTATGCAATGCGCACAACATCCATCGCGAAAGTGTTGGTTTCTACAACGTTCAATAATACCTTTCAAATTTTAAATGCTTATTTTTAAGCATAATTTTTTTTAATGTAATGAAATATTAAAGAAAAATGAATATAATGTATATACAAATGAATAAATATGATTTTAATAGGTTTTCTATATGCAGTAATAATAGTTTTTTTGTACATATGTATTTTTTTAACACCACACAACATATCCACCCCCCCCTGTAGAAAAATTAGTTTGAATTATTGAGAGAGCACTGTATACAGGGTTGATTGACAAACTATGCGCGAAACTCAAGGAGATGATTCTTCAGCTTATTTGCAACAAAAAATATTCTGTAAATTTTTTAAACATTCCCAAATAGTTTCGGAGATATTTATAAATTTATTTATTTTCTCCGAAACGCTAAGGTATAGCAAATCCGACAGCGCGAATAGAATTAGGTAGTGATAAATAAGTTTTTAAAATGATTCCTTTAAGCATTTCATTTTGTATTTAATCATGAAACAATCCAATTTTTGTCATTTCAACTAGAATTTTAATCTGCATTAAAACCCAAGCAACAATGGGCTACCCAAGTAAAAACAATTTTTCATATAATAGGCTTGAAAACCATGTGCTTTTTTCCTAGGATAGAACGATCATTAGTAGAAAAACGGGGTTTAAATAAGAAAATTGTGCTCAAAAGATGGCAGATTCTTTTCCTTTTTCTTTATTCATGTTGATAATAAAATAAATAATTACTTTTAAAAATAAAATAATGTCCCGTTTTTAAGAAAAATACAAAATTAGCGGAAAAAATTGACAAGAATGAGAAAATCCGCTTTAAACCCCTGATTTGATGTGGCTGGTGTGTGCACAAGAGAACTTGTTTACATAATTATTACAATCATTTCCATTAGTTGTTACTATCTAATAATTTACTTCTAAGCAGAGTTCTTATAAGTTCTACTTCGGTAATCGTTCACCTTGGTCTCAGTACTCCTGCACCGCTGCATTACCCCGAGCGGCAAATATGTCAACATACTCGTTAGTATAAACCATGGTGAATGATTACCGAAGTAGATTCCACTAATTTTGCTTTTTCTTAAAAACGGGACGTTATTTTATTTTTATAAGTAATTATTTTTTATTTGATTAGCAATATGAATAAAGAAAAAGAAAAGCATTCACCAACTTTTGAGCATGATTTTCTTATTTAAACCCTAGTTTTACACTAATGATAATTTATCCTAGGGAAAAAGCACATGGTTTTCAAACTTATTATATGAAATATTTCTTACTTGGATATATCACTATCTAATGAAAAATTTATCCCTCTTTCTAATGGTGCTATCACATTTGATATACCTTCAAAAGCAAAAAAGTTATGACGGTTTTAACCTAAAAAACAGCGTTTTGGAGAAAGGAAATTAATTTATAAATATCTCCGAAACTATTGAGAATTTTTAAAAAATGTATAGAATATTTCTTGTTGCAAATAAGTTTAAGAATAATCTCCTTTAGTTTTGTGGATAGTCTGTGAATCACCCAGTAAATGTATCCATCTGTATATAATTTTTTTTTAAATATTTAATTATTTTTAGAATTGCAAAATGAATCCTGGGATGAAGAAGCCAGTGTTGTTCCAGCAGTAAGCGATTTGGAAAACCCTTTGGAGGGAAAAAAATTGCAGTATTACAACATCGGTTTGTTTCAGAGTCAAATAGTGAGCAGTTTCAGCCAGCTGGACATCTCTGAGGGCCAGGAGATAACGGCACACTTCTGTTTCATGAACGCCCCCAATGACATATACGTGCAGTTGACCGAGAGCGAAACGACTTTAGTGAAAATAAGAGAAGCTATTAGCGCCCATAGCAATTCGTCATCGGGGTCTATCGCCTGTTCTGACATGGTTAGAGCAATGCCAGTCTTGGCGAGATATCCCGACGACGGTTTGCTATATAGGGCCATTGTTAGGGAAATATTCAAACCAAGCGATAAAGGTTTTTTGATAATTTTCTGTATTTAAACAAAAAATAATTAATTAATTTTTTTAAAATTTTTTATTCCAGTAAGTGTCATGTATGTTGATTATGGGAATCTGGCAACAGTTTCCTCTTTTGATATTTTCACCATCACAAAAGAGTTAGCCTCTACTCCTATCCAGGCCCTGAGGGTTGTTCTGAACAACCTGAAACCGCCGGAAAACGGCTGGCCTTCTGAACTGACCCGATACCAGACGATGTACGAAAACTTTGGCCCTATTACGGTTAATATAACCAAGGTGAAAATAGTCGACGGCGAGATGGTTGCAAACGCCATTGCATCCGAGAGTCTGGTTTCTCAGTTTGAAAGAGGTTCAGAAGAAGGTATGTTTTATCATTTACAACAAATGCAAGACAGTAGTTAGAAAAACAACTAATTTTCAGCCTCTCCAGTGAAACAGACCAGTGTTCCAAATGAGAATGTGCAGAGTGTTGAAAAACCAGAAAATGAACACGTACCAGGCATGTATTTTATATTTTTTAATACGAATTATAATTGAAACTGTTAAGCCTTGATGTTCTAAAAATTATAAAATGTTTTCCACCCTTGTGTTCTTGGGTTGGTGGGCCATTGTTATTGACAATTTTCTATATAGTGTTAAGCCTAGAGGGTTGTTTTATCGAAGCAGGATACAAGTGTGCGGCCAGAGCAGTTATGAAAAAGCTGGAACATGACTTGCCTTCCCTCCCCCTCTAGGTCAAAAAATATTACACATTAGAGCTTTCTTATTAGCATAAATATATAAAAAGTTACAAAACCCAAAAGACACTTAATGTGGAGAAGGCCAGACAATGTTTTTATTGAAGCTTTAAAACTCGTAAATAGTAATATGCAGTGTAAAAAAATATATTTAAAAAAAATTGTTGTCCTTCTTCTTCCTGTCTTTATAGATGAAAAAAAAATTTCATAATAATTTTATTATTACTATTTTTTTAATTTTTTTAGGAGGGTATTTCAACTATGAGATTATATGAACCCTTGGGGGTGCCGGTGTTTTTGAATTAACTTCATTAAAATCCACCTTCAACAAACAACAAAGTCTTAAAAAAAAAATCCTTGGAAAAAAATAATATATACACACTTATACACATATAACATTATATTATTAAATATAAATTTTTGAAATTGCACAGATTTCAGACTTCTCTACTGTGTGGTTTCAAGTTCCATGTATGCACCACTTTTTTTTAACATTCCAGGTTGATTTTACCTTTGAAGGCTTGACTTTTTGGACACCATAAGAAAGCTTATTAAATGAAAGAGTGGCTTCTTAATACACAAAAACAATTAATTACTATTTATTAATAATCACTATGAAGGCTTAACAAATGACAAAGCGTGTCCTGAACTTATGTGTAATGAAAACCTTTTTTTTTTAATTATTTCCAAGCTTAATCCCAAAGACCCTTTTGTTGGGTAACAAGTTGAACTTTGCACGAGTTAACAGAAGATAAAGTAAAATAATTTTAAATTATTTGGTAGTTTCAGTGTGTGTAAAATTGAATAATTGAGCCTCGGCTGAAGTAATTTTTGTTTATAACACGAATGTAAGTCTTTAATTGAATTTAAGATATATTTGTGTCTTTGTTTCTTTTTGTAACATTTTAATATCAGTAAATTTTTAATTGTCGAGAATTTGTAAATGGAATTTGTCCGCAGTTCGATCGTCACAGATTATCCCCGACCTGGCTATGCCGTATAATTTTCTACCACCTTATGGTCAAGTATGTCGTTTATCTTAGGTTTGATTTTCTTAGATGTTTGGGCCGAGAAATTGGATTTACTCTTGGACCAGTTCTTATATTCGAAAAAGATAGCGAAGCTCAAAGAAAATCTTTATTTGGTGAACATCGAAGCTGCCAACGTCGAGGTGATGGCGGAGGTTCTCCCCGGGAAAAAATTAACTCAAGAAATTCCAGAAAGGCACATAATTAATGTCATGAAAATTGGAGAAGACAGGTGAGCTGTTTTAACTTGAAAATATTTTGTTTATTTTTAAACATTTTAATTTTTTTTTTTTTTTAGGTTGTTTGTCGACTTTTATAATCTTGATGGTGACGATTGCGGGGAAGGAAGTGATATTTCTTTGACAATTTGTCCAGTCTGTCCTTTTCCTGTTGTAAACAGAGTGGATTACTTTTACTTGTGTCATTATGAAGGTGCTATTTTATATCTGCAGAAAAGTAAAGACGCTGGTAAAAACAGTGAGATGCTCGAGGAACTGTTTGAATTTTATGAAAATACCCCTGTCCAAAAAGTAGACTGGGAGCCAGGAATGCTATGTTGTGCCAAGTCCGCCGATGGTAATTGGTACAGAGCTAAAGTCATCAATGGTCCTGATATGATGATCAAGTACATCGATTATGGCAACACGGAAAAAGTCGGTCTCGACCAGCTAAGGAAATTAGACAAGAAATTTACAAACGATCCAGAATTCTGTTTTCCCGTCGTTCTTCCAGTCGAGTTGAAACAGAATGAAGTCCCTTTTGAAGATTTGGTTGGGATGTTCGAATTTAAAGTCTCACTTTTGAAAAACAACTTAGGAAAGTGGGTGGGCGATTTGGTGTTTATGTCCACAGGAGAGAGGCTCTCCGATAAACTTGTTAATAACGGACAAGCGACATTGAAACCGAATTCCCTGTTCGCTCCTGAAAACCTTCCCGTCGACTGGGATTTCAGAATCGGGATGAAGTTCAGCGTTGTGGTATCGCATGTGGATTCCCCTACAATGTTTTGGGTCCAGCTGACGAGGGACATAGACAGGATTGAAGCCGTGCAAGAAGCTCTCACCGACGCTTTGAAACCGGGCAAGGAAGGGCAAGTATTTGCTGCACTCTACCAACAAGACAGCATATGGTATCGAGCTATAAAAACCAAAAACGACGAAGTCAGATTTATCGATTACGGAAATACAGACATTGCTCTAGAGAGACGTCCAATCCCTGAAGAATTCATGAAGCCGGAAAGTGGTTACGCTCTGCAATTTTTCCTCTGTGTCAAGCCCATTGGAAACGACTGGTCTGAAGATGCCAATAAAATATTTGAAGATTTCATCGAAAGAGAGTTAGAAGCGAAAATCATATCTCTCAGTTATAAAATTGTCGTCGATCTGATCAGTGAGGGTACTTCTCTTTCGGATCTACTTATAAAAGGAAATCACGGCACATTTACAGACCATACTCCGCAGTTTGTTTCAGAAGCAATGCCAGAAACTACGAACAAAAGCAATGTAACGCAAAATAAGCATTTTAGCAGACCGCTTCCTCAAAACCCAAATACAGATTTACCAGGTGTGCAGAAAGTTTACATCTGTTACCTCAATTCTGTGAATAATTTTTCAATCCAGTACGAATCCCAGTCGAAAGAATTGGAAAATCTTTTAGGCAGCCTTTTAGAAGCGAATACATTCGAAAAACTCACTGATTTTGAAGTAGGCGATTTGGTCGCCGCTCAATTCCCCGAAGACGATTTATGGTATAGAGCAAGGGTTCTTTCGAAAGACCCTTTGAAAGCTGTCTTCGTAGACTATGGCAATACGTCTTACATATCAGAGGTGAGGAAATTACCCGAAGAGATGTTCGGTTTGCCCCAGTACGCCATACCATGCAGTCTGAACATCGACGAGACCGAAGACCTCAACGAGAAATTCTACCAACTCCATAAATCTGGAGATGCGCCTTTTGAAGTCGTATATACCACAAGAGGGGATCCGAATATAGTCACTTTAAAACACTTCGAAGGAGATGACATTTTAAACGACATCTTACCATCAAACGACAGTATTATAAAGAAATCACAAGAAAATTTAAGTCCGCCTAAGGAAACCGTTAAATTAGATGATGAGAAAGAAGAAAGTACAAAAATACAATCCAAACTATCGCCAGAGAAGCCGGAACACCTCGAGTGTTTCAAATCCTGCTTGATCGCTTATTTCAAATCACCGTCTCTTTTTTACACCCAAACTCCTGAGCACTCGACTCAAGTCGAAGAGCTAAACGAGAAACTTGCCGATGCTGATAATTTCCCCGATGTAAGTTCACCCTTGAAACTCGGCGATAAAGTGTTAGCGCGATTTCCAGAAGACAACGCTTGGTACAGGGCCGTCGTTATAGAACTGCCGAACACGGTGTTATTCATTGATTACGGGAATGAAAGCAAAGTCGAAGAATTCAAGAAACTACCCGAAACTATGGATTCGCCTCAGCTAGTCTACAAATGTTCTCTTGTGAAGCCAGAAGGCGTCGAAACGTGGAGCGAGAGCGCTGTGGATAAATTCAAATCGATGATCAACCTAGAGATTTATTTCGACGTCTACGTCTTTCAAGACGGAGATGAGAAAATGGTCGATCTTTATGTAAGCGGGAAAAGCCTGTCTGATGAACTCGGGAAACTTTGCGAACAGAACCAACAAGAATTGAAACAGTGCATACTGACGCATTTTAACACATTAAACGACTTTTACATACAGAACATCAACAGTCCTGAGTTGATGATAATCGAGTCCGCTATGCAAAACCAGCTTACGCCGATTGATTTGAAGGACGTTAAAATAGGCGACTTCATAGTTTGCCCTTTTGAAGAACCTGAAAGTTTTTACAGGGCGAAGGTTTTAGATGTGAATCCATTAAAAGTGTACAGCGTAGATTGCGGAAATATAGATATAGTAGAGAAGGCTTTTAAAATGCCAGACGATATAAAGAATCTTCCTCCGCTCGCTCTCCACTGCTCTCTAAATTTCAACGATAAGACTTTAGAAGGGGAGTTAGGAGAAAGACTAGTCCAACTAGCCGGTGATCTAGAAAAAATAGAATACACAATCATCGGGGAGTCTCACGATAAAAAAATAATCCAACTATACACAGGAGGGGAAAAGTTCATAAATGAAGATAAAATTAATGATCAAAATAAACAAACAGACATAAAGAATGTGAGAGTCGTCGAAGGGTTTGTCTCGTATTTTGAAACTTTAAACAAGTTTTTCATACAAGAAAATACTGACGAAATCGACAGGATGTCTGATATTCTTAATTCGAGGGAATTGGAAGAGCAGAACGTTATAAAAATAGGCGATTTGATAGCGGCGAATTTCCCTGAAGACGGTGTATGGTACAGGAGCCGCGTTATTGAAGTGGAACCAATTCAGAAAGTCTTATTCGTCGATTACGGTAACACCTTGGACGTCACAGATGTCCGCCAGCTTCCCAAGGAATTGGTCAACGTACCGCCCCAATGTGTAGAGGTGAGTCTCAACAGGAAAAATGGCGATACAGTCTGGCCGGAAGACGCCAACCAAGCGGCCCGGGACATGTTCGACAAGTACAAGGTTAAAATCACCCAATGGACGCGCGACGGCTGTAAAGAGCACAACATCAAATTTGAAGGAAACGATCCGACCAACTATTTCGAAAATTCCATCCTGCCTGAAGGAAGTTTCGAAACTTCAAAGGACGATGTATTTCGACCTTCCAAAGAATGAATGGCTGTGTAATTGGAAACTTGAAGTACTTTTCATAAATTTGTGTATTAATGTTACAAATGCTTTATTTTTTTATTGACAGTTGCTTAAATAATTATTTTAATCGTCACAATTATTGTGCTTTTTTAATTAAACATAAAATGTTATTTTATTTCTTTCATTTTTTTTTTTCTTTTCGTACATTTATAAGTGTACAGAAGGAGGATTTTAAGTCCTGTTGTTTTAGTTATTTATTATTCAGTTACTGTTCCTATAAATACGTCATTTAATGTTTAATTCCATATAATTATTGAAAATTAAATTTTGCATTTTAATTTATTTTCTTTATTAATTACCTTCGAATATTCCTTCAACCATCTTTTAAAATGTTATCTACACACATACACTTACACATAAAAATAGGGGGGACGTCAGTGGCCGCTACAGTTTAAGTGTTGACAAGGCGCTCATCATTTTAAGGTAAAACATACTGAATCCGATTTTTTTTTTTTTTTTTACCATTACATTTTAATCTTGAAAGCATGGTAGTTTTTGAAAATATTTGGACAACGAGGAACGAGTCCTTGAAGCCGTTAAGACCAGAGCAAAGTATTCCAAATACAGTCAGGCTACCTACGTCACAAACTATCCCGGTGAATTTCACACGTCCAGAATGACAGAAAAGGTCGTATGAACCACAGTTCCAATTTTCAAACCTTTCAGAGATATTCATTTTTTTTCTTTCTTTCTTTTCAATTATACGGTTTTTGTCAAATTATAGCTCCTGAACTATTCATTTTTGGGGAGACCCGAGAAAAAAGTGCAATGAATTGCCTTTATTTAATTAAACACCCTTGTAGAACTTTCAATTTAATTTTTGGTAAAAAAAAATCAAAAACCAATAAATTTAAAATTTGGATAAAAACTAAATTTGCAGTCTCAGAAAAATTCACAGTAGAGCTCGACAAATTTGTTTAGTAAGCTATCTTGGGGTATGCCCTTTTCTTTAATTACATCTACGATAGTACGTAATGCCAGGATAAATTGTTTTAATTTCTTTATAATTTTTTAATAATATTTATTAACAATTGCCAACTCTCATACACATCTGTATTGTCTAAGGCTGTAAGAGATCAACAAATTTAAAAAAATTCCAAATAAATAATAATACTTGTATATTTTCTACTAACTTTTTAATTATTTTTATCAGGATATTCTTAATTATATGATAATTAATAGAACTTAAACTCTGTATCTAACGACATTGATTGTATTTTCTGTTAATTTTTTTAGTAAATACTTTTTTTCTATACACCATGATATCCACTATTAAACCAGAAAGGTTGGTCTTGTTATATAAATAAAAAATAAAATGATTATTTTTGTTAAAAATTACATGAAACAAAAAGGAAGAAATTTTATGCTAAATAGGAAAAAACGACAGTGTGTAATGCCAGGCTCAATTTGTTGTATTTTCTTTATAATATTTTTTAAATTTTCCTTTATTTATATGCTCTAATAAATTACTACACGATAATATAATATTAGCTTTATAATATTTATAAATATATATTGTTATTATTACTAGTATGTTATATTGTATGTAATGTAGTCCAGTCCACCCCCCCCAAAAAAAAAAAAAAAAACAGCATAAATAGTAGTACCTGTATATTTTTCAATAATGATAATGAATAAACTTATACTGTATCTAACGATGTTGAATGTATTTTCTGTTATTTTTTTTATTAAATAATTTTTATTTATTTCTTTCCCTGGGACTAAGGATTTCTCACAGATTGAAGCCTCGCCTACTTCAGGATACACCATGATATCCATTATAAAACTAGAAAGATCGGTCTGGTTATATAAATTAAAATGATTTAAAAAAATTACATGAAACAAAAATGTAGAAATTTTAATTATTATTACTGGTATGTTATGTTATATGTAATGCAGGCCAACCCCCATACACATCTGTATTGTCTGAGGCTGTAAGAGAAAAAAAAAAATCCAAATAAATAATAATACTTGTAATTTTTCTATAATGATAATGAATACAACTTAAACTGTGTATCTAATGATGTTGAATGTATTTTCTGTTAGTTTTTTTTAGTAAATACTTTTTATTTATTGTTTTCAATTATAAAAGCATATACTATTATACAACCAAAAAGGTCGGTCTTGTTATATAAATAAATAAATATTACATGTAACAAAAATGAAGAAATGTTATGCTAAATAGGAAAAAACTGACAGTAATGTAATGTAATGTCAGAATAAATTTGTTTTATTTTCGTTATACTTTTTTTTAAATTTTCCTTTATTTTCATGCTCCAATAAATTATTACGTGCTAAAATAATAAGCTTTATAATTTTTGTATAGTAATGTAGACCAACTGCCATACAGATCTGTATTGTCTGAGTCTGTAAGAGATTAAAAAAAATCCAAATAAATAATAATACTTGTAAATTTTCTATAATGATAATGAATACAACTTAAACTGTGTATCTAATGACGTTGAATGTATTTTCTGTTAGTTTTTTTTAATAAATACTTTTTATTTATTTTTTCCATTATAAAAGCATATACTATTATAAAACCAGAAAGGTCGATCTTGTTATATGAATAAATAAAAATTACATGTAACAAAAATGAAGAAATTTTATGCTAAATAGGAAAAAGTGACAGTAGTATAATGAAATGTAAGGTCAGAATAAATTTGTTTTATTTTCTTTATAATATTTTTTTAAATTTTCCTTCATTTGCATGCTCCAATAAATTACTACATGCTAAATTATAATATTTATTAACGTGTTTTATTATTATTATTATTATTACTGGTATGTTATATTGTATGTAATGTAGGCCAACCTCCATACACATCTGTATTGTCTGAGGCTGTAAGAGATAAAAAAAAATTCCATATTCCATATTTTTCAATAGTTAGATTAATACAACTTAAACTATTTAACGACATTGAATGTATTTTCTGTTAGTTTTATTAGTAAATAATTTTTTTTTCATTTATTTTTTTTTCCGATTTTGTTAACAATATGATTATTATTTTGTATTGCAGAGCCTATTTATTAATATTTGGAAATAATTGTAAATAGGCGCCAGTCCAAAATAGGCCTTCGTCTACGAACTACGAAGAACGATGCCGTGGGACGTAGAGCAACACTGTTCGTCGTAGAGGCGAGGCTGACTGCTGACAGCCGAGAGAGGTGAAAACTGAAAAATCCCCTACAAATGATTTCAGGTTATTGACAAGGCCGTTTTTCTCTCCAGGTCTACGGTTTTCCCGTTCCTCCGTTTCGATTTTCCTTTATTCCGACAGGATTTTCTTCGGCCGCAGCCGTCCCAGCTGCCTCAGAGGCCAGATAAGAAAAACACCCGAGTCCCAAACCCCAGAGGTGTCAGTTTGTGCGACTATCTCGTCCTGAGGGCCGCCGAAGGGAGCCGGGGTTGAGATGATCTCAAGCTAAGCGGACCCCGTTTTCCTCCCCTCATGGAAAAAGACGTCTGATTTAATAACGTCTCATCGGTAAGTCCGTCCTTCTAAGTATTTTCGCCCTTCTTCAACGACGAATGTTTCATATTGACAGAACATGTGTTTTCCCAAGACAGTTTTTTTTCCTTTATTTTACATTTTGTGTGTAGTTTTTTTTTAATTTTTTTTTTTTTAGTTTTGAAAACAATGAGTTCAAAAAGTTTCAAGGTAACCAGTTAGAAAGTTTTACGCGGTCGAGACAGTCGGAGCGAATGGTAAGCGATGGCCGATGTCTGCTCACTGCAGGCATTTTTTGACAGGAGAGCCGACTCGATAAACCATCAGCCAAATCCAAACCAACCGATCCAATTACCCTCACTCTTTACTCGAAATACCATATAAAAAAAACCTTAATTTATTAAAATCAACAAATTTTTGCCATCTGAAAGCAGAAACACAATATTTTCCACACATGTGCAGGTTCTAACATGCCCTTTCACGGTTCGAATCTTTATTCTCTGCGACAAACTCATTTATGACAGGAATCACTTGTGTCGAAAAATAATTTAATGTAGGTAAAACTACTGATAACACTTGGTCGTGTGGTTAAGGTGTCAGATCCATATTTGCCATGCTTGCGGTCTAGGTTCAAATCTTGGCAGATCCCATGATTTTGTAATTGATGATGATACAAATAATGTATTGCAAAGTGGTTTCACCTCTAGTCCATGATACCGAACAGATAGTTGAACATTCAACCCTCCTTTATCACAATAATTAATTTACTTATAAGATTGCTTTGGTCAAGTGGTTAGGGTGTCAGATTCATATTTGCCACCCTAGCGGTTCTAGGTTTGAAACCTATCGGATCATGATTTTTTAATTGATAATGATATGAATAATATTAAGTGGTTTCACGTTTGATGGTAGTTGGATGTTCAGCCCTCCTTTATGACAATAATAAATTTACTGATAAGACTGTTGGTGCAGTGGTTAGGGTGTCAGATTCGTATTTGCCATGCTAGTGGCTCTAGGTTCGAATCCCGGCAGATCATGATTTTTTTAAGTTGATAATGATATGAATAATCTAAAGTGGTTTCACCTCTAGTCCACGACACCCAACAGGTAGTTGGACGCTCAACCTCCTTTATGACAATAATTAATTTAATTATAAGACTGCTTTTGTCAAGTGGTTAAGGCAGCAGATTTGTATTTGCCATGCAAGCGGTTCTGGGTACGAATCCCAGCAAAGCCAATGATTTTTTAATTGATAATAACATGAATAATGTATTGTAAAGTAGTTTTGATCCCTTGTCAGTGATATCTGAGTAGTAGGACATACAGACCTCCTTTATGACAATAATTAATTTACTTATAAAACTGCTTTGGTCATGTGGTTAGGGCGTCAGACCATATTTGCCGTGCTAGTAATTCATGGATTGAATCCAAGCAGAGCCCATGATTTTTTTAATTGATAATGATATAAATAATGTAAAGTGGTTTCATGTTTCATCCACGACACCCAATGAATAGTGGGACATTCATCCCTCCTTTACAACAATAATTAATTTACTGATAAGACTGTGTTGATCGAGTGGTTAGGGTGTCAGACTCATATTTGCTACCCTAGCAGTTTGGTTCTGGCTTTGAATCCCAGCGGAGCTGATGATTTTTTAATTGATAATGACATGAATAATGTATTGTAAAGTAGTTTCGATTCCTTGTCTGCGACATCTGAGTAGTGGGAAGTTAGCCCTGCTTTATGAAAATAATTAATTTTCTTATAAGACTGCTTTGGTCAAGTGGTTTGGGCGTCAGATTCATATTTGCCATGCTAGCTTTTCTAGGTTCTAATCGTGGCAGATCAGAATTTTTTAATTGATAATGATATGAATAATGTACAGTGGTTTCACCTCTAGTCCACGACACCCAACAGGTAGTTGGATGTTCAGCCCTCCTTTACGACAATAATTAATTTACTGATAAGACTGTGTTGGTCGAGTGGTTTGGGTGTCAGACTCATATTCGCCACCCTAGCGGTTCTGGGTTTGAATCCCAGCAGAGCCAATGATTTTTTAATTGATAATGACATGAATAATGTCTTGTAAAGTAGTTTTGATCCCTTGTCTGCGACATCTGAGTAGGGGGCATTCAGCCCTCCTTTATTAAAAAAAATAATTTACTTATAAGAATGCTTTGGTCAACTGGTTAGGACGTCAGATTCGTATTTGCCATGCTAGTAATTCAGGGTTTGAAACCCAGCAGAGCCCATGATTTTTTAACGATAATTATGCGAATAATGTATTGTTAAGTGGTTTTGACCTCTCGTCCGTGACAACCAATGCATAGCGGGACATTCAGCCCTCCTTTACAACAGTAATTAATATACTAATAATTCTGCGGTGTCGAGTGGTTAGTTTGTCAGACACATATTTGCCGCCTTAGCATTTCTGGGTTCGAACCCCAGCAGAGCTGATGATTTTTTAATTGATAATGATATGAAAAATTTAAAGTGGTTTCACGTTTCGTCCACGACACCCAACAGGTAGTTGGATATTCAGCCCTCCTTTATGACAATAATTAATTCACTTATAAGGCTGCTTAGGTTAGGGCGTCAGACTCATATTTGCCACCCTAGCATTTCTGGGTTCGAATCCCGGCAGATCATGATTTTTTAATTGATAATGATATGAATAATGCAATGTGGTTTAATTCCTTGTCTACAACACCCAACTGGTAGTTGGACATTCAACCCTACTTTATGGCTATAATTAATTTACTGATAATACTGCATTGTCGAGTGGTTCAAATGTGCCACGCTAGCGGTTCTGGGTTCGAATCTCGCCAGAACCCATGACTTTTCAATTGATAATGATAAGAATAATGGGCTGTCAAGTGGATTTGACCCCTCGTCAACAATGGTGAGCAATCCCCCTGTGCCCTCCTATAAACAGAATTTTTAAATTTTTTAAATTGATTTTGTATCTTCTTTTAGAAGGTTTTCGGGCACCATTTATCACCAAGGTCTATTTTTTGATTCTACCATATGTTTTTCTATTAAAAACTTTGTAGAACACCTTTTAACAAGCCTTTCTGTTTCAGTTTGTTCTATGTCTAATACACACAGTCCAGAAATGAATTAGTTTTGCGATAACAAAAGAAACTATTTAAGTTCGTCCCCCCCCCCCAACCAAATTCCTTGTTTTTCTTCTTTTCATGAAATTTCATTCATATTATCAAATTATTTTGTACTATTGATGTGAGAAGGTTGCCCATTTGTACCTCTCAGTCAAATCTACCGTTGCAAGTTGTGACTTGTAATTTCAATATGTAAATTTAATCATTTTAAACGATACTTCAACATTTACGTCGGACAATTACAAAAATTTCAATTGGAGTAAATTATCGAGTGAACTTTGCCATAATGAGGTGCCCGGTCGAAATATTAATCAATCTATTTATAAAATAAGTCCTTTAACACTTTTAATAATGAATTAAATACTGATAACACAATATTCCATGTTGTATTTATTTTATAAACAATCTATCCGGTATTAGTATGCGATTAAAATTCTTTTTATACTAAGATTCTACTTCTGTTCAACATTTACAGTTATTACGTAAGCTGAAATGCATGAATATGTAACAGTGAACGATGGTTGACGTTTGCATATCTCTTTCCTTAAACAAATTCACCACTTCATCAATCTGTTTTAATTTAAAGTATTTTTTATTTATTGATTTTACAACAAACTTTGGTGATTGCTGGTCATCCGTCAACGCTTTACCATTCGGTTTTGTCAAAATGTACATTCAGTTTGATTAAGTCTTGAGCAAAAACAGTTACATTTAAATACTTAGACTTTGTAACATTGGGATTTTTTTTATTTTGTAATTTTTTTTGTTTTTTAGAGAGCTGAGATTAAAACCATGATGGACGATGGTGTAAACGAAAACATATGTAGAGTTTGTAGGTCAGAAGGAAACTCCGACAGGCCTTTGTTCCATCCGTGCATATGCGCCGGGAGTATTAAATGGATCCATCAGGAGTGTCTTGTACAGTGGATGAGGTACGTTGTGTGTTAAATGAACTCGATAAAATGTAAAAAAAAAATCTTTGAAATAGGTACAGTCAGAAAGAATTTTGCGAACTATGCGGATACCGGTTTTCCTTCACTCCGATATACTCTCCGGATATGCCGAGGAGGCTGCCGTTACGCGACGTCGTCGGGGGCCTGTTGAGCAGCATGGCGACGGTGGTGAAGTGTTGGCTCCACTACACTTTCGTCGCCATCGCATGGCTTGGAATAGTACCATTAACCGCTTGCAGAATATACAGATGTCTTTTCAACGGATCAGTAGATTCTGTAAATAAAAGCAATTATTGAAAAACAGTAAAATAATAATTGACGCTTTTGTTTTACAGGTTTTAACGCTTCCTCTAGATATGTTGTCAACTGAAAATATAGGATCGGATATATTCCATGGGTGTTTTGTCGTGACGTGCACCCTTTTTGCGTTTATCGGCCTCGTATGGCTCAAGGAGCAGATCGTGCTCGGTGGAGGTCCGGATTGGCTGGAAAGGGGCGCTGACGAGCAGCCCATCGGGCAGAACTTGCCACCTCAGCAGATCCAACCTCCTTTACCACCGCCACCGCCTCCACCACTACTCGTTCAAGAAAGACAAGGCAACAACAATCCTCAAGAGCCTCCAATAAACGAAGTATTTTTTTTTTTATAAAAATCTTTTTTTTTACCTGCGTATATAATTTATTATTATTCTCATAGGAAGTTGGTGAAGGGGGTTTTGGCGAAGGCGGTGTCGAAGAAGGGGTGATGGCAGGCGGTGACTGGAATCCGCTCGACTTGGACAGGGCCGCGGAAGAGCTTACCTGGGAGAGACTCTTGGGCCTTGACGGTTCTCTTGTTTTCTTGGAGCATGTATTCTGGGTCGTATCGCTCAACACGTTGTTCATCCTTGTATTCGCATTCTGCCCGTACCACATGGGCCATTTCGTCATTGTCGCTCTCGGTATGAAAAATCATGTCAACGCTTCACACTTTCAAGGTGAATACACTGAATGATTTTTAAATTGGATTTTTTATTGATTTTTGTTAATTTTAATTTTAAAGGACTCGTAACCACACTGTGCGGCTATTGTGTTATTGGGATTTGTCTAGTCGGGTTACATTCATTGGCAGCGCTTTGCAGTTTAGTGAAGTCAAGACGGGTCCTTGGCCATTGTTATGTCGTCGTAAAAGTAAATTTTTGAAAATTGTAAAAGTTTACGAATGGATTTAATATTTGAAAATTTTTAGGTGTCATTGCTATCTGTAGTGGAGATCGGCGTTTTGCCTTTGATATGCGGTTGGTGGCTCGATATCTGCTCTCTCTCCCTCCTGGACGCCACTTTGAAAGACAGAGAAGCGAGTTTTAGAATGGCGCCGGGTACATCCATGTTCATCCATTGGCTCGTCGGCATGGTCTACGTATATTACTTCGCCTCGTTCATACTTCTCCTGAGAGAAGTGATCCGCCCGGGCGTTTTATGGTTCCTTAGAAATCTAAACGACCCGGATTTTAGCCCGATTCAAGTAATTAAATTTAAAAACTTACCTTTTCGAATCGTTATAAAAAATTTGTCACTTATTTCAGGAAATGATCCACCTTCCGATTATAAAACATGTTAGAAGGTTGGTGACATCCGCTGTGATATTCGGTTCCGCCGTCATCCTCATGCTCTGGCTGCCGATAAGGATACTTCGTTTTATTATGCCACAGTTTCTTCCATATGTCGTTACCATGCAGGCAGAAGCTCAAGTCACCGAACTTTCACTAGAACTTGTTCTACTTCAGGTGTGTTTTATTGTAAGCCACTAATTTTGATTGTATATAATGAATGAATTGGTCTGTAGAATAAAGATCTGACCCTCAAATGATCCTTCATCATAATCTGTGTAATTAAATTACTTGATTAAATTGATAGTTTTTGATTATTTGACAGGTCATACTTCCAGCGTTGCTCGAGCAGTCTCATACACGTGCTTGGCTGAAGGCTCTGATTAGATTGTGGTGTGTGGTAGTTTCTCATATTTTGGACATCAAATCGTATCTCCTGGGAGAGATGCAGACTCAGTTGCCGCAGGTGAACGCCCTGGACCAGCAGGCGGCGGACGACAGACAGCCAGTCGACCTAGGCGCCGTGCACCACGCCCTGTTCCAGAGGGGAGGACCGACAGGTTTCCAGCCGTACGAGCGTCCTAGATTCTTTTTCCTGAGGCTTTTTGTCCTCGTGATTTTGGTATGCTGCAGCCTCGTAGGCGTCAGCCTTATTACGCTCACCGTTCCGGTCGCTTTAGGAAGGCAGGTCATGGTCCACTATCCTCAACTGACCAACTCCGGACCCGGAGGCCAAATCCACGAATTGTACACAGCGGCCTGTGGGACGTACATGTGCTGCGTTATGGCTAGAGCCGTCACTTTCATACTTTCTTGGCTGCCCCAAGGGAGAAGAGCGATCGTGGAAATGCTCTACAATTGGTTGGTTTTGACTGGAAAATCTCTGATTGCAGGGATTTTGCTTATAGGAATAATACCGTTACTATCGGGCCTTCTTCTCGAACTCATACTCGTTATGCCTTTGAGGGTGCCGTTGGAACAGACGCCTGTTTTGTGGTTCTGGCAAGATTGGGCGCTCGGTGTACTTTATACGAAAATCGTTTGCGCCATTACAATGATGGGCCCCGAATGGGCTATGAGACAAGCCATCGAAAGGGCTTACAGAGACGGCCTCCGCAATATGCAGTTGAAGTTCATCATTGTCGAACTCGCCATGCCCGTCATTGGCCTTCTGGCCATCGCCCTAGCTCTGCCGTACGTCATCGCCCAATCCATCATACCGTTGTTCGTCTCGAACACTTTCATACGAGTTGTCGTCGCACGAAGGATATATCCTTGTACATTACTACTCTTAGTCGTTTGCGTGCTTATCGTTTTTCACATTAAACAATTTGCAAAACTCTACGAGCACATCAAAAACGATAAATACCTGGTTGGCCGTCGTCTTGTCAACTATCATCATAAATCTTTAACTTCTTAAATAAAAGAAAAAAGAAAAAAAATATATATACAAAAATGGAATTAAAAAAATCCTGAAAAAAATGGAAGAAGTGGAGGTTTTGTAAATAATTATAGACAACAAAATAATTTTTTTATTATAAATTAAGCTAAATTTGTTTTCGATGTATGAATCTGTAAATAAAGGGTAGTAAACTGAAATATTAATCATTATAACACGATTCATTTAAACTTTTTTTCTTCATTTTAGATATTATTAAGAATAAATTGAATTGGTGGTATCTCACAAGGCTGACTAGACATTTAGTTGCCCTTTGAAGTCGGTCAACTACTGCTTTTAATATCCTCATTCTTTGCCCCACTATCTTTGTATTTTCTTTTTTATTTCGTCCTTCTAGGTTGGAAAGAATCTGAGTGGCTCCGGCTGAATCTTGACTCTTCCGAACACTGGTCAATGTCGGAGTTGTATGACTTTATTACAGAGAACTTTTAGCTCCATAATATAAATGTACTGGGAGGCATTTGGAACAATCTCAAGTGGGCCTGAAGAAGGCCTATCAGGTGAAATGATATTGAAATTATTACGACATGGCCAAAAAGCCCATGGGTTTTTAGTGTTTATGACAACTATAAGGATAATATAACTTAAAACGAATTGATTAAAATCAGCTGTGTATATTGTGAACAGGCATGGCTGTAGGGGCTGCTCTGGGGGATCCCTGCTTAGGAACATGAGAAAACAAAACCCTGAGAGATTCAGCAGGTTTGTAGAATAATAAGTTGATTGTCAATCAACTTGTCAGCCTCTTACGATCAATAATTAATAGTAGAGAATAGCTTGTTGGCCATCCTCGGTCAACAACTGAAACCACTCCAACAAAGCCCTGTTGGGCTTTCTTCACATTATTCTGCCAAATGTAATTACTTCTTTTCTTTGTATTTTATTCGGCAAGTTTCAACATGGAAATTGCAGTCTGACTTCATCTTAGTTAATCCCCAATGTTTTGGGGACCATGGTAACCGAGTGGTTAGCATGAGAGACTTGGCTTGTAGACCCCGTGGTCGTGGGTTCGATTCCCACTGTCACCAATGGCCTTTTTTTCACAATGCATTCCCATCCATGTAGCATACAACACGCCTGCCAAAGTACAACGTTTTTGCAATTTTACCACAAATTTTCTCATACTGGTCATTCCAAATAATTAAATTTTATTATAGTTTGACTATGTTTAGCTTTTCATTTATCATTTGTATTTTTTATTATCATGTATATACAATCCTTATACTTTGTTTGTAAATAAGATTCACCGGTATAAATTAATTCTTTGTAAATAATAAATTATTTTATATTATATTCTAATACTTATGAAGAGAGGTTGGGAAGAAAGCCGCTAGGTAAAGGAACTAAGGAGCGGAAATTTCTTTAATTTTCGAATACAGTAAAAGAAAAATGAAAAAATCGCTTGGCTTGTAAAAATTTAACTGCCAAACTGTGGCAGATTAGGAAAGACGTTGAACCCTAGTCCATGGAGAGCGGGTCGAAAAGGGAATAAAGGCTTACTGACTAGACTACGCGTAAGTCATACAAGAATAACGTACGGGCTGAACTGAACTTATTTTTCTGTGATCTGTGCATAGTCTTGAGCCACGGTGGCTGGCACAGATCGCTCTTTTGGTACATCGGACTGTAGGGATTTTTAAATTTATACGATGTTTGTATTTATTCAATTTATTAAAATTAATTTAATTTATTAGCATGAAAGAAACAGGTTGTTTCATCCCGTTCTGAGGAATATCGACTACTCTGGTGTGAGTGTGAGATATCTGGAAAGTAAAAGTAAGTTATTAGCGAGAATGGATTTGGTTTAATCCTGCCATGAGGAATATCGATTACTCTGGGGAAGTGAATATGACCAGACATGTTTGTGTAAGGTGGTGATGTATATGTATTGTATGTTTTATGTATATTCTCTAGTTGAAAACCTGAGCTACAAATGAGAAGCTAGAATTTTAGGTTATCGTCTTAGTTTTCATATAAAAGTCATTAACTGCAGAGGGGCCGGTAATGAACTCAACTGCTTCTCGGCCCCTAAACTTATCACATTATTATTGTTATTATTATTAAGCGATGAAACCGACTGGTGAGGTAGGATTTTTAGGAGTATCTTTTTGACTATTTTGCCTCGGGTAGGAAGAGACATGAGAGACTATACTGCATAAATCTATGATTAAAAATATGAGTTTATTTATGTGTACATGTCTATAGCAGACGACATTTCTCATCTGTCTCAGGATCAAAATTGGCCATCCATAAATTGAGAAATTGGCCCAGCCGTCTAGCCTCTTGTCAAAAAGTACCCTAACAAAGAGAGGTCCGACTTCAGAGGCCATACTGAATAAATTTATGATTTTAAATGTATTTATGTGTACATTGAACAATTAATAATATAGAATGAAACATAAATTTTATTAAACAAAAAAATATATATACCATTAAATTTGAACGAATTGCAAGATTTATATATTTTTAAACCTAACCTTTTATATATTTTAACATATATTTTTTTGGCAAATTTTTATAAATATAACATCTAATAAAAACGATTTTAGTTGAGAAAAAAAAATGTTTTAAGAATTAACAAATTAACAGTACAAACAGATCAAAAATGTTATTTTCTCTCTATTAATAATCTGCAAATGCTTGATTTTGTTGTAGGGAAACTTTCCATTGAGGTTTCTGAGCTTAAATCTTTGTCGCTCGTAAAGCTCAAAGAGGGAGAGATGATAGTGGGAATTTTCTTCCGTACAGATTGATTCGTCGAGTCTGTTTCGACATAACTCGGTTTTATTTTTTCCCTCCATTCGTTCTCCACGACGCTGTCTGAAGAGCTAGAGAAGGTCGAAGCATTCGGCAACGTTTTAAATACCGGCCTTTCCTCGGAGTCTTTTAATATGTTCATCATTTCATATGAAACGTCGATTTCCTGGTCAATTTTACACGGTTCGTAAAAAATTGACTGCTTACGTATAAAGTTACGCTTTGAGTCGACAAAGATCTCGCCCTTGCACAAAACATTCATGTCTTTGTTCACGCCTAAAAAATAAAAATTGTACGAGATATGACAAATAGGATTTCTTTTTCTGTCAAATTTTACCTGTAAATAATTCATTAATCATATCTGCCATTTGAACGTCAGTGTGACTCGAGTTGATTTCAATTTTTTCTGTTCTTGCAGATTTATTAGTCAATGTGCTTATTTGGCTCGTGGCGAGATCCTGCAAGGATGTACGTTGGGTATCGGAGACTATGGTGTGCTCATTTTCGCCGAGTGTTGAACCAGGCGATGAAAAATAACAGTCAAAATTATTCGGTGATTCTACTGAAGAGATACTGTCAGTGCTTAATTGAGTTATGTCTTGTACGGAGTGTTCGTAAGACTTGGGTGATAAATAGAAATCAGAAGGCATGGCTGAGGAAATGTCACTGTTGTAAGGGGACCGGAATGAATCGACATTCTCAAGTTTCTGAAATATTTTTTTCTTTCTGCCTACCTTTTCCTCATTTAAAACCTTCAGAAACTTTTTTCTAGAAATTCGACAGTTTTAAAGCAAAAAGTTACTAAATGATTATGTACTACTCACTTGTTAAGCTTCCCGCATACATTGGGTATGCGAAGGTATCGATATACTTTCCCGAGTATCTGAGACTTTTCCAAAAACGAATAGTGCCATTGGAAATACAACACGACTTGGTTGAAATAAATATGCAAATCTTTGTCTCTTGTACAGTTGCCGTAAAAAAAATTGTACCATTGTTGAATCGAGTATGTCAAAGGTGGCCTTTGACCATTCAAACCTAGAAAAACTCATTCAAAATTATTGATCCTTACCAACCATTTTTGAATGTCTATCCTAGCTTGGTCTGTGAGACGTGTGTAAAAGACCATAATTTAACTTAGAGGAATCAGTCGGGATAATATTGTCACCAGACCCACCATTGAATTTGGCGAAACGCTGACAGACCAAGATTGGAAAGGATCAAATTACACGATCATCACAGAGCAGACCCCAGTAGGAAATCTTACAATCATAGGCTTAAAAAACGATCTTCGATTTGGTCTCAGATAAAAAAAGTATTGATTTATTTAATAAACTCAACAACATGAAATTTATGACTTTCACCCAATCACACTTTGGTCCCGCCAAAGTTAGGCTCCAGACAGTGTACCCAGGAATTTCAGCCCTCAATATGTGCAGTTTTTAAATTTAGATAAATACTTATAACTGCCTTCTTTCCTATTTACAATTCACTCAAGTAATTGTACATTCCTCTATCGTATAGACAATGTCGATAGTCTCAATATTTTGCCATTAGCCTTCTTGCATTCACACTAATAAATACATTCAGTCTCAATATAAACCAAGCAAGATATCAAAACACGCAGACCTCACGAAAGATAGTTTGTGAGTAGAACCATAATTTTTCACCCGATTAATTGATTCAACTCGATCTTACATATTTCTGTCATTATAAATAGTCTAAAATGCAAAAATAACATCTGAGGTGAAAGGTTATTTTTTTTCACTCTGTATCGCATGTATTCATAAAAAAAACTTTGACACACTGACAATTTGACAAAATTTACTTACCAAAATGAATTGTAGACATTTTTAAACAAAATATATAATTAAAAAATGCCCAATAATTCAAATCTTGGACTTAAAACTAAATATGTCCTTCCTTCTCCTTAACCTACCAATGTGGCAGTCAGTTTAACCTTACCTTCAATTCAACCAACTTTTTTTTTCTAACATTAAAACTGATTTTGTCCATTAGATAAATATATCAGCAAAATAAAATAACTATTTAATATAAATTACTGTGTAAATAAAAATATTTTAAATGATTTCACAAATTTTTAGGTGAATTTTGTTTGAAAAGGGGGGGGGGACACGGCCATCATAATTATTGACTTATCATTTTAAAACCTAATAAAATCATCCTTTCATCCATTATGAACCATAAAATAAAACTATATGCATAATTTATAAGTAATATAATGTGTAATATAATAATAATAAATAATTACAAATTTACATAGTGTAAAATAAGTGATACCAAAGCATGGCTTGGATGTTCGTCAGCTGGATATTTTAAGGTAAGGAAAATGGCTAAGCAATCTATAAAAAACAATTATATTTATAATATTAAAAATATTTAATCAAAATTACATCAATGTTGATAAAATACATTATATTTTGTGGTCAATTTGACCAAATAACTTCTGTCAAATAATTAATCTTTTTATTGTAAGGTACTGGTTGAAATGAAAGTCACGATAGCTCAAGTGGTTAGAGCTGCGGCGTTTGAGCTGAAGGTCATGGGTTTGAATCCCGCACGTGCCACTGTTTTTCATTTCAACCGAAACCTTATAATAAAAAGATTAATTAATTGAAAGTTGATAAAATAGTTAAACTAAAAACATACAGGGTAATGAAAACCACTGCAATCTAGTTTTCCGATGATAAAAATGATTCCTTCGTAAGTTGTACTTCTGTTTTTCAATAATTATTGTAGCTCACTATGAAATAATACCCATGACAGACTTGGCGGGAACTTTTTTTAAATTTTGTTTTATTAGCTTTAAAAATATATACAATCATATTACATCAGAAAATACAATGCACAATGTATTACAGACACTAGAAGTTCAGGCCAGTCTATCAGAAAACCAACTATAGCGGGGTAAACACTCTTTTGTCAGGTAGATGTTGAGTGATACTTCTTGGATATCTTTCATTTCCTGTTCAATCGCCTGAAGTAATTGCGTATGTGGGAACTTTTACTTTGGGCAGACCTCAAAGATATGCTTGGTATCTTCTGGCTACATTGCATAGTAAACAGTTAGCATTATTCTTAAGTTTAAATTGATGAAGATACGCTCCGCAAATGGCTGACCTGTTTTTAAGCGGCAAATTGATGCTATTTGAGCACTCGGGATATCATACTTCCTAAAACATGGACTATGGCCGACTAGAAATAGGGGCTTGTAAAATGCATCCTTGTCAGAGTGGAAACATTTGCCAGTCTATATTTATTCTAACGGAAATATGAGGACGCAGATCTAAATAAGGAACTTCAACATTGAGGTAGTCAATATGAATGGCATCTTTAGCCAATTCGTCGACATATCCATTCTGTATGAAGCCTGAGTGAGCTTTGACCCAGAAAAATTTAACCATTTTTCCTTCCGACTTCAACTTATGTGAGTCTCAACATCTGATATATCACATGGTTGTTTTCATAGTACAATGGTCTAGTATTTTGAATGGAAAGCAAAGCAGTCATGGAGTCAGAACAAATGGCATATAATGTAAATTTATTATCAGCTTTACAAAATTCTAAAACTTCAATATGGCTAACAATTCAGCTGAGGATACGCTCATTTGGTATGGGAGTTTGTATTTTCATGCAATATATCTGCATCGTACAGAGCACATCCAACTTCTCCCTTGATCAAAGATCCTTCAGTATATATCACATTATAGTTCGGAAATCTCATGCTTATTTCTTGAAGAATCTTCTAATTAAAGAAAGAAGCGGGAAGGCTTTCTTAAAATATTTTCTCTTGGTGGGCAGATGTCAGCTTTTAAATGTACCCCGCAATGCCATAATTTGATCTAATTCTGTTTATTGTATTGTTTGTTCAACTGAAAATGATGAACCAAAGTCTTTTGTTAATATTCGGCTTGATGTCCAAATAAAAAGCGCCTGAAATCCAAAACTTGTCCTATTTTTCCGTACACTTCATTTTTTTCCTTCCTTGTGTTCGGATTGGATAATTCAAAACTTTGCCTTCCGTCATGGCTTGTTTTGCTGTACAATCTACAATTTTCTTTCCTCCAGCAGAAATTTACGACTTGCCTTTGAACTTCTGATTAATTTCCATAATATTACATACTAGTTAGAACGTTTGGGCTTCAGACGATAATTTTCAATGCTCTCTACTGAGCTCCTTGAAACTGTTAGAATAAATAGATTTTTCTTTCTTAACTAAAAGCCCAGTTTCATAGTTTTTGTTTCCGGCTAAAAAAGATTTCATCACAAAATTCTTAGTCATCATCTTCAATCTCTAGAGGTGGCTGACAGGATTCGATATCAACGATACCTATTGGTGTGTCTGAAAAATACTCCGAACAACATTTAAGATTTTTTTTTTAAAATGCATGTTGGTTGATGAGGCATAAAATATTGCCCAAGAAACTATCCTATTCCAATTTAATTTTGGCAATGACATCAATGCAGGAAATCCCGCTATAATTGTATTTTTTTTCAAACTCAAGCAGGGTTTTTTCCAAGCTTGGATTAATTAAAAATCTAAAGGGGCAAAGTTAGGTGAATAGGGTGGGCACAACCAAACAGAGCTCCACTAATTTTCTGCAGTCTTTTTCTTGGTAGAAAATGATCCCATTGTGATTAGCCAATACCAGTCAATTTTGGTCAATTGTTAACTTTAATAGCTCCAATTGAGTGAAATTTCACCAAAAGATCATAAAATTAAAGCACCCCTCCTTCCAACCCATGAAATTCACATTACTTTCTCGGGATTTAATCTGGCTTTTGGAATTGTTAACGGAGTCGTTTTCCCCAGAATTTTTCTGTCTGATCATTGTTTTAAAGGACACACTTTTCATCCCTAGCTATCAGGTCTTTTTAAAAACGAAGATGAATTTGGCCTCCAACAAACTAAGAAATATGTTGTCTCATGTCGTTGAGTGTGGGTTATTGGTGACAAAGAATTTGGTTACCGTCAATGGTCAAAGAAGTTCCAAATCAAAATTTTTCCCTTCTGAACTGAGCAATTTACGGATTGTGCTTTTTCTCCTAGTATCATCACTACTATGCAATAAAAATACTCAAATATGTGATATAAGATGCATTAAAAAATAAATAAAATAAAATGTGCAGCATGAATACCAGAAACATCAACCCACTAATATTTTTTTTAAATCCTAGATGTTTTTTATCTTTGGCCTAGTACATAATCATTTTGGAAGTACATATTATAGGAAAATTATACAATTTAAAATATACAAAATAAATAATTAAGCTTAATTATATTAAGCATGACTGTATTGCTCAGGGCTTTTTATTTTTTGTAATTATGCTTCTTGCGATTCTTGTGGTTAGCTGTTCATTAATCATTACATTATATGATTGTAACAAAATTTATATGTTTTTGTTGGTCATCTTAAAGTATATTTTTATTAGTGTACAGATGAAAAATTAGGATTCGAACTCAAGACATCCGGATCAGTTCCCCAGGATGCTTGAGCTATAATAATTTTGCCTTTAAGACACCAACTCATCTAAACTTTTCATAAAAATAATAAATCAATTAAAAATACATTGGTTTAAAGAACCAACTAAAGCATATAATATTAATTTATTAATATTCATGAAGGTTAATAAAAAATACACACCTTTAATAATTTTATTTTCAAACGTCTACAAGTTAGGTTTTTAAAAAGTTTAATACTTAAAACAAAGTTATACTCAAAAACAATGATAATAAACAATAATAATAATAAAAAGAATCTGGTTGTAGCTAATATATCCGACTGATAAATTTTTACAACAACAATGTACGTTTATAACAAAATAAAAATACTTTTATTTATTTACTTTTTAACAACAAAATTTAAAATTATGTACACAGTAAACCTTGGATTAAAGACGTGCTATTGTTAATTTAAAAAAGATTTTTTTAAGCAATGATAAAAACAAAAGTAAAATGTGAATGCTTAATTTTGTTCTCTTCTGTCTGTTGCAATGGTAGAAAAGACAACGTTGGAGTTTCATCATGTTTTCAATTTTTAAACTCATTAAAAAAAAAAAAAAAAATCCTGACGCCATTTTAGCTATTTACTTTTAAATATATCACATGAACATTTCCTTAAAGGTAACGCTTTCACCAAAGTTAATCCGAGAGGCTTGCATATCTTTATAGAAAATTAAGGAAAAAAAAATAAAGAGCAAATTTCATCCTCGCTTTCTTCCTACTTTTCACTAACTCGAATCATCCATTCACAAGTCCGAAAACGTAGGAAAAAACAAAACAAAAAACTAAAAATTGACTATCTTTTTAAAAACATCGATTATCATAAAAAATCCTTTTCTTGTTTGAATAATCTTAATTTTAAAATTTAATATTTTTTTAATTACAATTTTTTTTTCCCGACGTTCACTTTTCACACCTTTTCCGCGGCTATGTGTCATACTTCAAAACTTCACCCAATCGCCTCAGGTCTTGTAATTAACAAAATAAAAAATCGATGTACACTAATTAGGCTCCTTACTTCGGGAGTATTAGTTTTATCAGACGCCCGCTATTTATTTTGTCATTTTTTTATTTTATTTTGTAATAAAGTTGAAGATATGAATGTACATTTTGGGTGGATTTCCTGGTTGCTCGGCAGGATTTTTGGGTTTCCCAATAATTGTCAAAAACTTCCTTTTTAAATCTAAACAATAAAACTTAACTATACAACTGAAAGATTGCAGTCCATATCACAAATAAAAGTTATCTTTCACATAAAAACAATCTCTACTTTTTTTTTCGTTTTCTTTTTCTTTCTTTTTTTTAAAAAGCTTGCATTTTTTTTTGGTTTTGTTTTGCGATGTACAAGAAAGCTATGTACAAACTTTATTAAACAAGGCTTTTTTTGTATATTTTTTGTTATCTATTATGATTTTTTTTTTTGATTTGTAGTACTTCACCAACCTAATTTGCTACCATTTGGGGTGCATTTCTTTCTTTTTCGTTTTTAAATAGTTTCTCAGTCTCCTGGATGCTCAGGGCAACTCCTATTCACATCAAACCATCGGTCGATACAACTAAAACAATATGAAGAGGAAATGAAATTATATGTATATAAATTTGATGTGTTCATCTTACCTTTTATGGTATATGCAAAGACAGGGTAGTCTCGCGATGGTATTGCCTTGGGTTAACTCCTCTAGACAAATAACACATTCACCTTTGTCTTCTGTCAACACATCCTCTGAAAAATAAAATATAACATAAATAAAAATAATCGACAAAGCAAAAAAAAANAAAATAAATAAATAAATAAATAAATAAATAAATAAATAAAAACCGATAAATGCTACAGGATTTGAATCATGGAGGGGGGAAGTGTACTACAAAAGATTTGGTTTGTAGTCATTAGTGGTGGGTTTGCAATAATCAGTGGTAGCTTTGTGTTAACTGTTGGTGAGTTGTGATCTACAGTTGGGTTTTTGGCATCAGCTTTCTTTCTGGTCATCAGTGGTGTGTTTATAGTCAGCGGTAGCTTTGTGTTCATCATTGGTGAGAAAGGTACAGTAAACCAGAAGGCAGAAGGGCCTGGAAAACACAAACCCTGCTTCCTATACCCCATCCATTTGTGAGTTTGTAATCATCAGGGCTGGTTTGTCATCATTGGTGGTAGCTTTGTGTTAATCACTGGTTTTTGGACATTGGCGGTAGGTTTGTGGCAACAGTGTTTTGTTTCTGGCCATCAGGGGTGAGTTTGTAGTCGTATATTTTACGGTGACTGGGGTGGATGCAATACCCAGACTTTTATAACATCCATTTTCACATTATTTAGGTAGCTTTGTGTACATCATTGGTGAGGAAGGTACAAAAGCCAAAAGGATGCAGTGCCTGGAGAGCACAAACCCAGCTTCCTTGTATCCTCCATTCATTGGTGAGTTTGTGATCATCAATGATTGGTTTGTAGTCATCAGTGGTAGGCTTTTGCTTCAGTGTTTGGTTTCTGGCCATCACAGGGGTGAGTTTGCAGTCAGTGGTAGCTTTGTGTTCATCGTTGGTGAGGAAGGTACAATAAGCCAGAAGGGTGCAGTGCTTGGAGAGCACAAACCCAGCTTCCTTGTATCCTCCATTCATTGGTGAGTTTGTGATCATAAATGATTGGTTTGTAGTCATCAGTGGTAGGCTTTTGCTTCAGTGTTTGGTTTCTGGCCATCACAGGGGTGAGTTTGTAGTCAGTGGTAGCTTTGTGTTCATCATTGGTGAGGAAGGTACAGTAAGCCAGAATGATGCAGTGCCTGGAGAGCACAAACCCAGCTTCCTTGTATCCTACATTCATTGGTGAGTTTGTGATTACCAGTGATTGTTTCTAATTGTGTTGTTGGTGAGTTTATGATCTACCGTTAGTTTTTTGGTCATCAGTGATGGGTTTGTAATCATCAGAGGGTAGGATTGCATTGATGATCTCGATCATAAATAATGTGAAAATGGATGTTATCAAAGTCTGAGTATTGCATTCACCCCCAGCCACCGTAAAATATACACCGGGATAAATGGCTGAGGGTTAGCAAGGAAGTCGATAATCAGACCAAACTATCTATTAGGACACATTATCAACCATAAATGGTTTCAAGCCATAACGACTTGCCAAAAATAAAGATTCAGACTATGATTAAGGTTAAGTCATCAGTTCATCCAACATGTAGAAACGAATGGCAGAGAAATGGTGAGAATCCTTCTTCTGGACACCCTGCTCTTGATTACAGCTCTGCTCCATTACAAGGTTTAGCTCGATAGGCTTTTAGGTTTGCTCCTGTTTTGATACTTTACAGAATACAGGAAATAAGGGCGTTTTTCTGCAATATTCAACTGGGAAATCTAATGTCTTTCAAATAGGTTTAAAAAATGATGCCTGTTTATCTGCAGATGTAGGAGTTGTTTGTTGAAACTTACCATTGTATATCAGTCTTGGTTTAGTGAGGCACATAACCAGATGACACTCGATGTCATCGGGAAGGACAAATTTTGAACAGACGGGACATTTAATTCCTGAAACAAAAAAAAAGAACAGTTACTATAATAGCGTTTAGGTTTAATTAACGGATAAGGTCCGAACGAGGATTGAACCTTGAACTAAGTCAACATTGTTATATTGATTTTGACATTAAGCGGAGCTATTAATTTTGCATGTTTATTACCGGGGCCGTCACAATCCGGCAGATAATCCCTCAGTTCTGGTATGATGCTCCTGACTGTCTCGATGAGCCCGGGGTCCGGGTCGTTCTCTTCCGCATTCTGGATTGTTTCCATTTTAATAATAGAAAAACAAATATTTCGTTGTTTCCGAACTCCGATAAAACAAAAAACACCGACAGAGTAAGCAGGGTAAAGGAAACCGACAGCAGGTAGTCCAGAAAGTAGCCTGAGACCTGTGCTGAACTCTCTTGAAAAAAAAAACCCTTTTCTGAGCGAAAAGGGGGAAAATGCAACTACATAGTTTATGTCATGACGATACTACGATAATCTCGTGTAAATAAACAAAAGTTTTGACGAATTGCTGAAAAAGGCCTCTTGAGTAGAGAGAGAAGCAGGGGAAGAAAACATTTCTTTCAAACAGTCCACCTGACACTTGGATTTGGAAAAATAAGTTGGAAATAAATAAAATAGATTGGAAAAATAACTGTCACGAGCAGGATTCGAACCAGCCGAAGGTCCGTGGGTTCGAATCCTGCTCGTGACACTAATTTTTCATCTCAACCAAAAACCTCAGATTAATGGTTCATTGGAATAATTAATATGGTCAATTATGGCCATTAAAAAAATATGGATTAATTACTTATATTCATTGTTCTATTAAGAAAAAATAAGTAAGGTGTAAAATATAATAATGGGCAAAGTTGGTCCTTGCCTAACATTTTTCGACCTTACATTTTTACATGCTTAAAAGAACTTCCTTATACATTAATTTTCATCTCCAAAAGAAAAGAACAGCACATTCGAGGGTGAAAATAGTGAAAAATGGCACCCGAGGCCTCAAGTCTTTTTATGGCCTTTCTTCCATGATTAATATTTTTCATTCTTAAGCGTTAATATACGTCCAATCTTTAAAAGAAATCAACTGTGAGGGTTAAAGGTAAAATAATGATTGAACATAGTACTAGAGGACTCTTCCTTTGTTGATACTTTTTATTCTGATCGGTATGCTCAGCCATCTTCAGAAGACGATTGCATGGGAGGGTAAGAGGGGGCTGGGTTCTTCTATGGCTGGGCATATATACAAGTCAAAACGAAAAATATTAGCCAAGGAAGAGTCCTCGAGTAATATACATAAACCACATTAAATTACCATCAACAGTCACAAAGGTAAAAAGCGCTCTGATCAAGAGTCCACAAGTGCCTTATTTCACAATTTGCCTTTACATGGAGGTCGATTCTTCATTTGAAAACATGTGCTGTCTTTTCTTTTGAAGATGACGAAAATGTATAAACGAGTAAGAATGAAAACATGTTAACCAAGGTAAAAAGGTAAAAAGCTATCTAATCAAGAGTTCACAAGTGCCTTTTGTCACAATTTGCCCTTACATGCGGTCCGTTCTTCTTTTGAAGATGGCAGGACATGTGCTGTCTTTTCTTTTGAAGATGAGACTTATAATAAAAAGAGTCCTCGAGTACCTACATGCGCTGTTCCTTTATTTTGAAGATGGCTAGACTCATATAAACAGGTGAATGAAAAACATTAACCAAGAAAGAAAGGCCATACAAAAAAAGACTTCTAATCAAAAGAGTCCACGATTATATTTTTCCACAGTTTTCTGCATACATTACATAGGTGATAGTGAAAAAAATGCAATCGAGGAATCTTTTGATTAGAAGTCTATTTTTTTAGAAGAGTTCTCTTCCTTGGTTAAATATTCTGCATTCTGACCCGTTTATGTCCAGCCTTCTTCTGAAGAAAGGAAACAGCACATCTAAAGGCAAATTGTGAAAAAAGGCACTTGTAAAGTCTTTTGACTAGAGAACTTTACCCTTTTTCCTTTCAGGACAAAGCGAAGGCTCAGACAGATACCATTAATAGATCCATGGGGATACAACATATAACTAACTAGGAGCCGAGGAGGGGAGACCAAAAAACTTTTTGATAAAATTTTTTAGAAATTTCTCATCTACTTAATACTGTTGATAGAGATTTAGAAACAGTATTAAATATGTTGGGTTTAGCATTCAGAGGGATGTTGTAATTTAACATTAAGCCAGACAAAATTCTATTAAAACCCATCTTAGCAGTAGGCGACACATGCTTCAAATGATATTGGAAGATGATGCGAGTTGTAAGAATAACTTGCTTGTGTTATTATTAACTTTGTAGATGTAGATGTATCAGTCGGTGTATTACACTACGCCCTTTAAGAGCTAAGAGCTAGCTAACCCACGTTCTGTGCTTATGTGAGCACTACTGAGTCCTAGTTCATCAAGCAACTTGATTGGTAGGCCTAGTTTAAGCAGTTGAATTTCTTCTGCTGTTACGCTATACACTCCAGAGGACCTTCTCCTGTGGGAAAATATGGCTCCAGTTTGTCAGTAGGTGTGTTGGTGTCTCCTCTGCTTCTCAGAATGTGCACGTGTTGCGTTCTTCAGAAGTCCATTTAGTTTGCAGTGTCCTGTTAAGAATTCTGTTAGGTTCGAAGTTTTTTCCTGCTTTCTTTCATTCTGTTGTTTCTTCTGTTAATATTGTATGTAGGTCAATGGAGAAATATCGAGTACAATCAGAATGAGTGCAATGTACACAGATGTGAGTGTATTTATCTGTGTGACTGTATTGTAGAAGTTAGTTTTAGACTAGATTTTTGCATGCGTTGGGGCTGAAATGACCTAGATGTCCTTCAAATGTTCTGAATCTAGAACACTGGTGAGTTCCTTAAGAAATTTGATTAGTAGGCCCGGTATCAATGGTTGAATTTCTCCTGCGGTTAAGCTGAGAATCCCAAAACACTTCCTCCTGCAAGGTACTGCCACGGTTTAGAAAGTGTGTTGGTGTCTCCTCTACTTCTGTGCAGAATCTGCCCCGCTGTTAATCTTCTTTAGACGGCAATACAGTCTGCAGAGTGTCCTGTTAAGAATCCTGTTACGATTTGAAGTTTTTTCCAGGTTCCTTCGATGTATTTCCAAAATGTGCGAGAAGTTAGTTGGATTGTTCATTCCCAATGAGTGAATTCCACGGTTTCCGCATTTTCATTTTGTCTTTTTGCCTAAGGTACTCATTGATAGTGTAAATCTATATGCCAGAGAATGGCTCGGGACCTATGTTTGAGCTTAGTTCTTTGATGGCTGTTTGGCCATCATGTTTTAACATCTGCGCAGAAGTATTTTATATGATGGCCTCTTTTCCTTGGTAAATATTTTTAATTCTGACCCGTTCGTGTTTTTCCCATCGTCAAAAATGTAAGCGAATTAAGGGGCGAATTGTGAAAAAAGGCATCACTCGTGGACCCTTTTCATTAGAAGCCTTTTATACCTTTCTTGGTTAATATTTTTCATATCCAGCCATCTTCAAAAGAAAACAATAGCATGTGTGGGTAAATGGTAAAGTAATGCACTCGAGGACGTTTTTTTTTTTTAAAAAAAAAACCTTTTCCTTGATTAATATTTTCAATTCTTACGCGTTTGTACAGTTTTTGTCCTTTCCAAAAGAAAAGAATCGTACAATTTCACCCAAGGTCTCTTTTGATTAAAATTCTATGCTTCTTGTTCCTGACCAACATGAACATGTGTGCTTTTTACATTAATAAACACCCATTAAAAAACGGCAATTCAAATTCAATTAGAAAATCATCACAAATTAAGAATCATATCAGAACGCCAAGGGAAAAAAGAAAACAGACAAAATGTATTTGGATTCAGAATGAAAACATTACAAATACTAGAAAAAGAAACTTAACTAGTATAAAACTAATAAAATCCCATTTTACTGGCGTTTGTTTAAAGCATGTCTCTTATTCCGGTCCGCAAGCTTTCGCTATTACACTTACTGCATACTATCGTACTACATATACTTGTCGGAAGATTGGAAGACTTCTAATAACAATTGTTACGCAACTTGTTACTGTTATAGTTATTTTTATACGTAAGTTTCGGAAAAAGTAGTTTGGTCTGCTTATATCAGATAAAGGAGGATAGGAAGCCTAATGTGCAGATCACCCCACAGACCAAGAAATAGGAAAAAAGTGGGTTGGTTGGAGAATCAAGATTTGGATTGCAACATGATACTAGAAGATGTCGCATGGATTGTGCATAATGTGATGGCACGGGAATGGAAAAGAAAAAAAATGTTATGTCGAGGAGGAAGCCGGTTTTACCGTAGAGGATGCGTCGTATGTGTAGAACTTCGTCTTGAGGAGGCCGTTCGTCGGGTATGCACGTTCCGATGATGATCCCCATGTCTTAATCGGTTCATTTCCAGTCGTCATGTCGCCGTCGGGCCCATTTTCCACCTCGGTCCTTTTCGACAAACACAAAACGTAAACCAAACACTGATGGCTGTTGAAAATGGACGCCCTGGACGGACACTCCGGCATTACGATGTGACACGAACTCCTCGCGATACCGCATCAACACCTCGGACTTTTTTTTTAAATTTCACAAAAGGCTTTTATCGAAGAATTTTACTCGGGAATCTCAGATAATTTTTTTTATTTATTTTAATTTAGACAAATCAGGTGAAAAAGCGCAGCTGAAAACCTTTTCCTACAAGTCTCGTTTTTAAAATTTTCATTTTTTTTCTTCAAAAATTATATTTTCACTTAAATTTAACTTACTCTGAAAAACTGCCGCCGGTTTAGAGGTTTTGTGTCGCCGAACCCTCGTGCAACTCCAACGCTTCATCTTCTAAAAGCTAACTAAATTTCAAACTATCTCCAGACCCATTTCGTAAATAGCACAAACAATTTTAAATCACCGCTGTTTAACTAAATATTTGAGAGAATTTTATTTTTATTTAAACATTCAAAATTTCACAGTCGTTCCAATCGGAGGGGAAAAAATAAAAAACTATAATTTTTATGAAAGTATTTGTGTTAAATTCAAGAAAACACTCTTACATCGAATTTAAATAAATAACTAGCTTTTCAACACCAATTTAAGAAAAATATCCATATTTTCCGACTTTCACAGACGGCGATAACTGCCAAATTATGTATTTATTTATTTTTAATAGGCAAAAACCAACAAAGGGGTATCATTGCCTTTATGAACCCAATTCGAAGAGCTCACCGATTAGGGACGACAACAAGTTAATAGTTTTGTCATACTTTCTAATAAATGTGTGATTTTGCATTTTCATATATTGAGTTTGTGTTATTCAAAAAAAGAAAAAAAACAATAGAACGGCTAATCAATTCGCCATTAGCTCCAGCAATCCCATTCGACATTTATTTTATTTATATATTTTATTTTATTTTTTTCATTTTTTAAGAAAAAACGAGAAATACACAAATCAGACATGGATTTTGTTACGACTCAACGAAACACCCCAGGCATATTTCTATTTATTTTTTCTCATACACGATCGTCTATTGACTGATAGACCGTGCATCTTCCATAATTTCAAGATTGTTTCTGTCTATTCGATGTCGTGAAATTGATTTTTTTTTATACCAAAAATTAAAACAAGCACAATCGATCGACACCTAGTGAGCGGAAACAATCGTACTTTGCACCGTACTGCCACTTAATGCGACAATAGTTTCGTTTAAAACAAACAATCGAGTTGTTGTTTATAAAAATGGACGAATATGTATATCTTTCAATACTGAGAGAGAGAGAGAAAAGAGATACCTACAAAGGTAGATAAAATAATAAAAAGATAGAGAGCAAAAATGAGAAGAAATATAGACAGAAAGTGAGGGAGAGAAAAGAAAAGAGATACCTATAAATCGAAAGGTTGATAAAATAATAAAAAGATAGGTATCAAAAATGAGAAACGAATATAGACAAAGAGAGAGAGAGAGAGAGAGAGAGAGAGAGAGAGAGAGAGAGAGNGAGAGAGGGAGAGAGAGAGAGGAGAGAGAGAGAGGAAGAAGGGGAGAGAGTGAGCGAGGGAGAGAGAGAGGAAGAAGGAGAGAGGGAGAGGGAGAGAGAGGGAGAGAGAGAGAGAGAGAGAGAGAGAGAGAGAAGAGATACCTGTAAATATTAAGGTAGATAAAATAATGAAAAGAGAGATAGCTAAAATGAGAAGAAAATATAGAAAGAAAGAGAGAAAAAAGAGATACCTATAAATAGAAAAGTGGATAAAATAATAAAAAGATAGGTAGCAAAAAGATAAGAAAATATAGACAGAAAGAGAAAGAGAGAGAGGAAAGAGAAGAGAAAAAAAGAGATACAATTTTTTCATGCTAAGTTAAGTCTCTTGGACCTTTGGTTGCTTGATAGAGAGACATAGGGATAGAAAGAGAGAGAGAAATGAAAGATAGAAATAGAGAGAGTACTAACACGTTATTTAGGTGTTGGTTGAGATAAAAAAGTCAGTGTCACGAGCGGGATTCGAACCCAGGATTTTTATCTCAACCAATACCTTTCATAAAGAGTAATTTATTGAAAGAAGTTATTTCGTCAATCGGACCACGATATCTAATGGATTTAATACTGGCATAAAAATATTCTTTTGTGCTTACATGTGATAATTTCTTTTGGGTACAAATCATATATCGGGTGAAATTATATTAGCATCACTGTATTTATTCTATTCGTTTATGGATATCTCAATTTGGACTTGAAAATATAAGTATTTTATTGTTGTTTTGTGTTTAAATTCGAAAGTTTAAAACGGATCCTGTCGGTAGCCGGCGAGCGTCCACAGCGTCCAATAATATAAGAAGTCTTAAGGAAAATAAAATAGCCTCACTGTTTCCCCTTGTGTCCTCCGGACGTCTAGTTGTTCCAAGTGAAATTCACATAACCAAACTGAAAAAACTGCTCATACCAGGCGGGAAAAATTGATTCTGCAGAAGACGACCGACGAGCTGTGTACCTTCAGCATACGAAAGCCCAACTGAATGGGCATGAAAGAGACGGTCAAAATCGATATCCCCACCACGGCCAGGAGCTTTTATTCCTTCTTTTTACACCCACGAAAACAGAAATTCTTACAATGTTTGTTTTTTAACTTTCGGTTTATGATTATTCATGGTTAAACATATCCAGCCGGGATGTTCGATATCGCATGATTCGGTGCAGTGGGAGGATAATCGGCCGGGTCAATGAGAACCCACCCTCGCAACCGGTGCGGTTCCCCCAGAAGCAAGCATCATATTAAAGCAAGGTCGATCAGAATGGGATATAATTTCTAGAATTACGAGGTACGAGATATACCCAGGCAACACGGAATGCCAACAGGGCTGCAATGACTTACGCAATGGCAAGGACACCAGTCAAAACATGTAACTAATGATTTACGTATCCTTCTTAAAAATTAAAAATCATCTTTTGTATACCCTGAATATGTACCGGAGTATTCTTAGGCGATCTAACTTTTTATAAATCATTTTCCGTCCAATTTTAATCAATGAGTTATTAAAAACGCAGTAACGGATATCGTTGACTCAACCACCAATTGCCAATAAATCTGCCGCATTTGGTGAATATGGTGGGCGAGACATGACGAGCAAATGCAACCAACTTTGTCCACTCGCCCATGAATTGATGACCTTGTAGAATCGTTTTAATTCAACTCATTGTTGCATGACAAATCGTCATCATCATAATCATAGACTCCTTCAACCGTCTATCGATGAGAAGACATGACGTCCAATTTTAAAAGTTTGCCCTACACGTTTTAAACTTCTTCCCCTTTTTTCTCTTTTATTCATTCGACTTTCCATATCGTCCCTATGAACCTTCCGATCCTCGGCAAAGTACTTGAAAAAGCTATACTAGCTATGGCTCAACTATCACGGTTTTGTTACAATCACACTCGACCATCCACCTCCCTTGTCCTTAAATAATAATTGAGCACTTTTCTTTGTGTGGGCTTTACATCAGATACGAGGTCTTGTAAGGAAGCTCAGGGATGTATTACTATACCCTTAAGTTCTACCTCACAAACCGATACTTCCGCTCATATCTCTTCGATACATACCATTTTATCTCACCTCGACACCATCGCCACCTCCCTCGAGTATCCACAATACCATCTGACGATTCTCCTTTAACTCAGGCCTTTAATAAGGTATTGGACGAGTCAACAAACTCATGGAATTCCATTTCCATGTCTTGACCTTAAATCCTTCCTCACAAACCGATACTCCCAAGTCATCCAAAGCTCTTCTGTTTTATTTGGTCTCTACACCAATGACATTACCTCGAGTTGCGACAATCTTCCTGAAGGTTTTCTTGGACATACCCAATCCTTTGATCTGGATCTAGTCTGACATGAGGGCTCTAATCCTACCACACAAATCGTTTATTCCATGTCATCCCAAGCATGTAGGGTTCGTTAGGAACTGATCATCTTCGCTTCACCCCATTTTACCAGTTGTCGAGAGGAGCAAACCTGCTTCCATTACTCTCCATCTACCTATGAATATCGACCTCCTTACTGACACCCTCAACTTCCTATCTTTACATTCTAGAACCCCGGGCCCCTCAATGTAGAGTAAAAAAGCCATCACAAATCCCAATATTTAGTTTACACATCAAATTCATCCGGCAAATATGATACGAAATTCTGAAAAGACTACTTGGCAAAATATTTTTGGACTGAACCTACGTACACAATCGATATACTTTTTACCACCCCAGACTCGCTGAAAAGTTTCCATTCTTAACTGACCTTCCAATCCATTAATCCACAACCTATCTACCACAACATCTGCCTCTAAACCCTCGCTGGAGACTATTGTCACAAATATTAACTTTTAACGCCAAGTTGCCAAATGGAAAATTTTTTAATTTTAGTTTTTGAAAAAGTTGAATGGACTCTTTATATGCTGTAAATACATGTCGGTTAAGAGGAAGGGGTCGAATAAAAGCGTCCCTTATCGACCTCATCGATTATACTTTATTATTATATGAGGGTAAAACTGAATATTAACCCGACGGAAATAGAATCCTTCGTTCAACTCCGGCTGCAAAAACACTGGGTTCATTATCATCAATAAGGTCAGAATGTCTCAATTTATAGGGTAGTGCGAAACTAAGCAAGTTGAAATGAACAAAGAACTCATAGATTTTTAAAACAACAATGGCCGAAATTGTTGACCATAAACAACTCAGAAATATCTGGGAGTCAATCCTGAGAAGATCAAAACAGTTAAAGTTAAAAAAAACTTGTTTTTGAGAAACATATAAAGACCAATGTGACAAGGCTGGTCACCAATTTTACACTCAGGCCATGACCAACTCTGCCAATTTTTCCCGTCCACAAAAAAATAGATTTTGGTTTGTTGCTTAAGCAAATAGCAGTTAAGAGATTCCGTTTAGCCTTTTAGACTGCGGATATTCTTGTGTCAATATGGTGGGGCGAAAAAATTGCCAAAAAATTCATCAACCGCACCAAATTATGCCGCTTACCAAAAATGACTGACGAATCGCTTCATGATCAAATCACAGCAATTAAGCGAATCTGTCCATTGATGCAGGATATTTTTCCTTAATTCATTCATGAACATGAACATCTAGTGAGTGAGAAAAAATGGCCAACTTCACCAACATTTCCTCCCCAGCAAAAAACCGACTTTGGATTGTTGCTCAAATTGCAGCAGTTAAAAGATTCCGTTCTGCCTTTAAAACAACGGATATTCATCGCCTGCCAATACCTGGTGGATGAGCAAAAAGTCGGCCAATTCTATCAACTTTGGCCGCCTCACCAAAAAGTTTACTTTGAATCACAACGTTAGCAAATTACAGCAATTTTTTTCATTGATACAGATTGTCATCCATTAATACATCAATGCCAATACCTGGTAGATGAGCAAAAAGTCGGCCAATTCCTCCACATTTTTTTGTCCAAGCAAAAAATTATTTTGGCTTGTTATTCAGGCAACTGAGAGCATTTAAAAGACCTGTTCCGTTAACGGGTAGGTATTTTTCCAAATTCATTACCTGCCAATATCTGGTGGGTGAGAAAAAAGTTGGTCAATTTCACCAATTTTTGTCGCCTCACCAAAAAACTGACTTTTATGACAACGTTAGCAAATTAAAGCAATTGAGCAATTTTTTTTCATTTATGCAGATCGTTGTCCATTAATTGATCTAGTACCAATATCCGATGGTTGAAAAGAAAAAAAAAGTTTGCCAATTCCACCAATTTTTTCCGTCCAACCAAAAAATTATTTTGGCTTGTTACACAGGCAACTGACAGCATTTAAAAGACCTGTACCGTTAATACGGGTCGGTATTTTTCCAAATTCATTACCTGCCAATCTCTGGTGGGTGAGAAAAAAGTTGGTCAATTCCACCAATTTTTGTCGCCTCACCAAAAAACTGACTTTTAATGACAACGTTAGCAAATTAAAGCAATTGAGCAATTTTTTTCATTTATACAGATCGTTGTCCATTAATTGAAACAATTCCACCAATTTTTTCCGTTCAACCGAAAAATGATTTTGGCTTGTTACTCAGGCAAATGACAGCATTTAAAAGATCTGTCCCATTAATGCGGGTCGGTTTTTTTTCTAAATTTATCAACTGTCAATTTCTGGTGGATGAGAAAAAAGTCTGCCAATTCCACCAATTTTTTCCGTCCAACCAAAAAATGATTTTGGCTTGTTACTTAAGCGAATTAGAACATTTAAAAGACCTGTTCCATTAATGCGGGTAGTTTTTTCCCCAAATTCATCAACTATCAATGTCTGGTGGATGATTAAAAAAAAAAAAAAACGCACAAATTTTGCCGCACATCGAAGGGTCTCGCAACTCATATACAGTCATTTTTACCATAAAGAAAAATCGTAAATAAATTTAAAAATCACTCAATTACAGTGTCCAAGGGGAAAAACCGGTATTAAAAAACGCCGGATGAGAACAAGTTTTCTCCAGGCGTTTTAGCAACCATCTCGATGGAATTTCCATGTTTTTTTGTTTTGTTTTTTAAGACAGGGAATGATCCCTAATCGCTCCGTTCCCATTTTTACTTGGCTTGACTCATTCAATAACGATTTGTTTTTGACTTATCTCCATGTTTAAAAAAAATAAAATTATATAAAGTTTAAATTTAGACGATTTGATCAGTGGAAAACCTAATTTTTGATTTTTTTAAAATAATCTTCACAAGTAGCGGAAATGGAGTAACGCGATATTATAAACCAGTCAGATTCTAGGTTTTCACGCCCATATCCATTTCTATATATATACTATGATTTCAGCCCGCCTAGCTTGAGTTTAAACAACACAAGAATTGCCATAATTACTGAGAATTTATTATTAATTTATAAATGGATAATTAACAAATCACTTCTGTTTTATAAGTTTGACACGTGTGGAAAATAATACATAGTTTTATCGCACACAAGCGTATTTTAATCGCTATTGACCTTATCAGGCCGCGTTTTAAGAACACAAAGACAAACACTATTTACGATTAAGAATTACCGAGAATATAAAATTTGATAATTACGACCAACAGAATATTGTAGGTTTAAGGAAAATACAATATGAAATTGAAGTAAAGGCATGATCAAAATGTACCCACCCAATTCTTTCCTAAGGTAGCGTGAAGCCCTTACGCTGTAGATGCTCATGTTCTCAAATGACAGGATTTTCCTTCACTTTTTTTTTTGCCTTTTCTGCATCCACGACTTTCACAGTCACTATCTTTAGGCCTTGGAGGAAGGATTCGCACCCGGCTTAAACAGCTGATCTGCGAAATTAATCCAAGTGGGGGAATATCGTCTATTTCAAGTTTAAATGGACATAACGTGGGGCTAAAAACAATTATGGAGGCGACTGACCTTAAATAACCCACATACAGGGCAGTAGTGTTAAACCTAAAAGGTATGCAAAGGAAAAACCCAGACAAGAATAAGCCTGTTTTTAAATTATGGGGTCATATATTCTCACTTAATAGTCAGAGAGGTCTTGCAGAAAAAACAACAACAAACAACCTAACTTTACACTTTACACAATGTTTTCAAGCAAGGTAAAAAAACAAAAAAAACAACAGCTTTATTTCTATCAGAGCAAAGTACATCATTTACCCAGGGCCTCATGCTTTATAATTTTCTTTGCAAAAATATCTCTTGCTGTGCATTAGAATTAATATTAACGCGAGTTATCTTTAGGGGCGGTTTTGTTTGTTTTAAGCACTTCCAAGACGAGCAGGAGGGTGTTCAGTCAGACACGGTTCTCCAGGTGGTTGTATTTATAGAAAGTTTTATTTATAATCAGCCCACCTTGCAGCATCCTCGGCCATAAAAGGCCAAAGGCGGTTTAAGATAAATCT